GTGTGTGTGTGTGTGTGTGTGTGTGTGTGTGTGTGTGTGTGTGTGTGGAAAATGACCAAAGAACACAATTTAGATGTACACAGCACATATGTGAGCATGTGCAAAAGGTCTACGCTTAACTTTATAATTAGTTTGTGTCACTGATGATCTATGCTGGGACCAGAGGCTCTGATCAATCATGATCTGGGGAATATAATTCTCCTATTAGTATTCCACAGTTAACACAAAACGTCAAGTGGTCCAAACACCACTATGACTCATGTCACCCCAGTATAGCTTTCATTTACATCATCTGGTATGGTGAAGACATCCTCGCTTATTATAAGTGGAAGGTGAGGGGTCATACCTGTTTGATGTCACGGAGCTGAGATGTCACTCCGGCAGTATCCAAATGCATGTTCCCCTGTGACGGACTGACTGACTGACTAGACAGGCAAGACAAAGGAAAAGTAAGAGAAATTTGTGAAGGGAGATTAGCAGACAAAGAAATCAGGCAATACAGAGTTGGCTGGTGGAAGAATGTGGGGAGGACTTGAGGAAGATGAATGGACTCATAGACAGATCACTGAACACGGCAAACGCAAGACAGATGGGGGGGAGAGGTAAAGCGTGAAGAGAAATGCCTCAGCTGACAGCCGAGTGCTGTTTCAGGCTGTCCACAATTAGCCTGATGAATTGACAGGAAGATACAGACACATGTATGTTTTGCTTCATGCCTCTGTCATTTATGTATGTGTGTGTGCATGAATGTGCTCATTCTTTCCACTTTACTGCACCTTGTCAGTGTTACGCAGCAGGCAAAGGCTGTTAGAGGCACCAACAAAAAACAAAACATACATCTTCCACCACTTAATGTCACAGAAACTGTCCTTAAAAATAACCAGTTATTCTGTTTTATTCCTACAGTTAATAATGCATTCCACTTTGCCAGCATCATCCACTGGATCAGCTTGGCTATTCTCTCTGTGTTCTTCACTGAGGTGAGTCTCTATCTTCCCCTTGCTCAACATAAACACAGTCTCACTTATGGCTGATGCAGCAGCCTGTCGATTAATGCTATGTTGTGCAGTATTATCCTCATTAGAATACTAACAACACCATGAAACGCCCCGTGTCCTCTGTCACAGCTTGATTCGATTTTGATTAGTAGAGGTGAACTTGTGTACGACTCTATTAAAAGTGTACTTAACGGAAGTGACTACAAAATCACATCAGTATACCGAAAAAAAAACGTATAACTACTGTTGTTAATGCTGGCAGAGCTGGTCCTTCTCGGGTTGTTCGATTGATACGCAGCACAAACACTTTAAAATGCAGATGGAGCTTTTCTGTTCTGCTAGTTTTAAATAATTTCTAGGCCTCAGGTGCGCCGTATTGATTACCATTTTCTTTACATTCAGCCACATTTGTCTTAGTTCCCTACACTTGACCACCCCACTGCTAACTTTTGTGTAGCTGGAGTTTTACTTATCAATAAAAGCAGCCTCCCCCCCCCCCCCCCAGCCCCAGTGACACATTGAATGAGTAGAAACAGCAGGGAGGATGATTCCTGCTTAAGTGCAACCTTGAATATCTGAAACGAGGAAGGAGGGTAGGGGATGGCAGAAGAGGAACAGTGACAAAGGGAGAGTTGTTTGCTCTCTGCAGCCCCTGCTGCATCAGCAGAAGGAGCTAAATGCAGTGCCTCTAATTGTTCGGATGAAATCCTATCGCGCTGCCTGTGATGTGCATGAATATGATGTCATTGATGAATTACCAGTGGAGGGATGAAAGAAGTCTGAAACACAATTGCAAATGCCTCTTACTGGGACTGTCAGGTTAATTATTGGACATTACTACCAGTATGCTCAGCCTACATCATCCAGTCTCGCTCTGTTTAGCTATCATTGTGTGTAACCTGCTCTCTGTCTCCATCTCTGTCCCTCTGTCTGTCTCAGACGGTGTTCAGGATCGTGGTGCTGGGGATATGGGATTACATTGAGAACAAAGTAGAGGTAAGCTCCCATGGGTACCATTAGTCCTGTTACCCGGGGCTCCTTTCACTGCAGTGTCATTCCCTCAATGTCATACCACTGTGGAAGCTACAGACATAACAGCAGCTGTGTGTGTGTGTGTGTGTGTGTGTGTGTGTGTGTGTGTGTGTGTGTTTGTCAGGTGTTTGATGGAGCTGTCATCGTCCTGTCCCTGGCCCCCATGGTGGCCTCCACAGTGGCTAACGGCCCCAGCAGCCCCTGGGACGCTATCGGTCTCATCATCACACTGCGCATCTGGAGGGTCAAGAGGATCATTGATGGTGAGGCAGGGAGTGACTGATGTCCTTTGTATCCTGTCCTTTACTGTCAGGTCACAGAGATAGATACCGCAGTGTGCTCTCTGCGGTATCGGCTACATTCAATATTGAGGTTGTTTGCTCAATTATTTGTTCGTATTTTTTCTTTATTTTTTTACCAGGTAGTACATCGTCCGTCGTAATGAACCCATGGTTCGAAGCTCAAACAACAGATGTTACATGCAAATTATCATATAGGTGCACACAGAGTATTTTATTTATTAGGAGGAATGCTTTTTGAACAGTGTTGCTCCCCCTTGTGGTTTTTGAATATAGTACAGTACGTGTTCAAAGGGATGATACATTGTGGTGAACACAATGCAATAAAACACCGCCAGAAACTACTGCTTTAATGTTCCCAACCATTAACTGAAGTCTCACAACAGTAGCATGTGCCAGTGAATGTGGCAGACTTTTGATTAAACAAAACAGTAGTTGACTTTGATATTTAGAAGACGTGTGTGCAATAATACACTATCTGCAGGATCCACTTTTGGAGGGGGAATGAATGAATTAAGTCAATGTAAGGTGCAGTTGAAATTATGATTGAAAAGCACAGGATTACCTGTTTCTTTAGAAGGAAAACTGACTGTAATATACCCTTTTGATTTAGCCTATGTGCTGCAAGTGAAGGTGGAGATGGAGCTGGAGATCCAGCAGTATGAGAAGGGCAAGGCGGTGAGGGAAGAACAGCTGGACCGCCTCACCCAGATCTGCCAGGAACAGGCAGTATGTCCTCTTATCTTTCTCATATCTTTTACCTTACAGCAGAGATGGGGACTCCAGTCACACTTGAGAATTAATTGGACTTGCCCCTCAAAGAATTAAGACTTGACTTGGATTTGTAACTTGGACTTGTCAGCGTCTCTGGATTTGAGGGGCTATAAGGACGTGTTAAGATAGTCAATTATAAGCTGTCATTAGTTGGAGACTCCCTGTAATTAGGTTGTACTCCAATCTCCTGTTATTGAAAAATAGGTTATGGTTATTATTACATCCCTAGTAATGTTAATAATAATAATGCTTAATTATAAACAATATTTTCCTATTAGCCTACCTTGAGTGACATTACTCTATATCCATGTTTAGGGCCAAGATAGTTATTAACTTTAAAGGAAATGTTTCCTTTTGTGTGTGTTTTTTTATATTGCACTGTTTAAAGTGATCATATACCAAAGAACGAGTCAATACTGATATCATATGCAATGGATAAAGGAGTGGTGATACATGCTTTGAATTCCTTAGATATGGCTATACACTGCTCTAAGCAGACCAGATGGTATGCAGCAGATGGTATTACCTTCTTTACAACCATTAGATACTTGAGACAACTCAGATTTGCATTTCTGCCTTGAAGTATAGCTGCATGTAATCAGCAGAGGGCAGCAAAGCCCTATGCAAGAACAAAAAGTACTTAAAAGGGCATAAAAGAGGCCTATGACGTATCCTATTTTATCACTAGATAATACATTTACAGAAGTCTTGTGGGTATCGGATAGCCAGCACTGTGCATTATCTCAAAGCATTCTATTGACTACTTCACAATGTGATAATGATAGTTCTAATATTGTTAGTAGGTCATATTAGTAAGCTGAAGAATAACTTTATAACTGAACTTTATAAGTATGACTGCAAGTGCATCCACTGAGTGCTCTATATTTCTCAAATGTCTGCCCAGAGGAGGAGAACAGTCTCTACTGTACGTCCAAGCGTTGTACTGCAAATGTTAGAGAGGTTGGAAATGTGCACTTTGGCATAAGCTCACTGTACTGTATATGTAAAGTTGAACTGTGATGCAAGCAATATAGCAACATATTACAGCAAATATAATGCTTGGACAATAGTAGATGGAATTTTAGTGAGTAGAATATACATTTCTGTGTGTTGTTACTGTGTGTTGCTACTTTCAGGAGTTTTTGGCAGTCATCCGATTTGTCTTTCTTTCGTTCCAGTTTGAAATCAGGCAGCTGAGGGCCCACCTGGCCCAGCAGGACCTAGATCTGGTAGCAGAGCGTGAAGCAGCCATGCAGATCCACCACATGTGGGGTAAACAGAGCAACAGTTTCCAGGAGGTGGACGGACTGGCCTCTGGGGCCTCAGAGCATCACGGGCCAGCTAAAGCAAGAGAGCCTGGGGGGCCTGCAGGTAACCATCTGGAACACCCAACTTCATTGTATTACAGGCTATCAAAGACCTCTCTGCACCATGAGGGAAGACCTAAGCAGTGCATCATGTCCGCACAAAGAGGGCGGTTGATTGCAGACACTCCTCAGTCTCTTGAGCCTTCCAAGATAAGGGGTGGCTGAAATTGTGTAACCAAAGTACTTATTACATACAAAGTTGCAGGTTTCAATTCTTCAGGCGTTTTTGGAGGATTAGATAAGACAGCCTTCCTCATCCTAAACAGCAACACTGATCAGTCAGAAATGCCACAATGCTAATAACTAACACATGTATGGTAGTGTTGTTTCACTAGACCTTCATGCTTATTGAAAGAACAAAAACCTAAATTAGCACAAAATATCCCTGCAAAAACCAGACACCTCTGCAAATAGCAAACATCCCCTTGCTCTGAAGCTCCATGCTGGGCTGTAGGACAGTGAATAATAGTTGGTGTCCTCTTGTCAAAAGCATTCGTCTCATCACATCAAAATGCTGGAGCCACACCGAGATGGACTATAAACTGTTCATACACTGACAGGTCATAACTTCCAGGACTTCCAGCAGCAAAGCGCTGTCAGTGCAGCTGATGCCAGTGCTCAAAACAGTGAGGCTTTTGCTTTATCAAATCATAAATCATAAGTGCGATACATCTGAGCCACGGTGTTTCTAGTCAGACATCCTTTTACCTGCGGCTGCTCCTCATATACTGTACATGTACTCATGTGGTCCCTGTCACTGTTAAGGCTAAACAATGTGGCCCCTCTTGGGATAAATCATAAAATGAATATGTAAAGCCCCAACACAATTGAATGTAAGCCATCTAACAGTCCTGTGGGACCTTGACTAGCACTTAAAGGAAACACACGGACTGATTCAGGATCTGGGGACCATATCCACAGTAAGGGTTCATAAAAAATGATGAATGTAGTTGTAAGCAGGTCAGAACCTTTTTTAAGCTATAGTATTTGTCAGCAATTACAACTTCTCATAATAAGATAGAAAGTATAAATTTATATTATTACACCTGTGTTTTATTATATTATTATTCATTATCTGTTTACACATCAACCTCCACTTATGGGGGCCCACAGGAGGAGATATATTTGTTAATTGACAAAGTATATTGCGTTATAAACAATGAATTAAGTAAATACTAAACTAAAGGACTTATAGTAATGTTGCCCCTTTTGATTGTCCAACTATAACCAACTTGTATGGATTCTGAATCATTTTAAAAGCGTCTGATTGCTCATTGGACTGTGAAACACTACCAATGATTAACTTGCAAATTAACACTGGATTCAGTTTCATAGTGTCCGAGACAAATAACATCAAGTGTCCATTTTTAATCCTCTTCAGATCACCACGGTCATGATGACATGAACAACTACATCAGCCAGTACTACAGTGAGGCAAGCAGCGGTGAGCACCGACACCATCCCGCTCCCCTCTTTTACACAGGTCCTTGTAGCGCCACAACTTTTTCACGGCCCTGTGTGCATTGTGTTCTGTTCTTGTAGATATGGGGATCCCAGACCCTGCACGAGTCATCACCACAGCAGCCATAGATGTGCACCTGCCTAACAACCCCAGCCAGCTTCCCTCCTCTTTGGTGAGTGTAGACGCAGCGTCGTCCAGTCGCTTGCGGCGCACCGGCAGCTCCGTCAGCGAAGCGTCCACCACCACGGTGTCCCGCAGCAGCTTCAGCATCCGGCAGCACAGCATCAGCAGCCACACGCTGGGCTCCACCACGGATTGCAGCTCTACAGTGCGCGAGGCCTCCACCTCCACAGATTACAGCGACCAACGCTGCTACCCTCCGCCGTACAGCAGCCCTCTGGCCCTGGGCGCTCAGCCGCGTGGCAGTCCCAGCGCTGTGATGCAGGAGCTGCTCTCCTCTCTTTCTGAGAATACCTGTCTCACCCCGAAGGGCCTAGACCCCGTCAACCTTAAACCACCCAGCCCAGCGGGTTCCACCAAAACCAGCCCTGAGCTGGAGCACAGGGTCAACATCTACAACAAGAGGAACCAGGAGAGCAGAGTCGGGCTGCACTCCAAGCCTCTCATCCATCTGCAGGGCAGAGAGCCTCTTCTAGAGGAGAAGTACAGGATGATGGAGCCAGTGGACATGCCGGTCAACCGTCTGTCAGAGACATAAGACTCACTTCACAGGACTCGCTCTACTAAACTCTGGTGTTGTTGGGAGTCACTGGCACATAAACGGTGTCCGTCATCCTCTTTGTACTGTTGGGACTGAGAGGATGAACTTGCCAGAGCAGCACAAAAACAGAGGGCATGAAGACTGGAGAAGGCAAATGTGTTATCAGGCAGCACTTATCAGGAATTGACACTCACAAAAAACACTTTTTTGAGTTTTATGAAAAATTTTACCAAAAGAAACCAGCAACCGGACTTGAGCCCTAACATTTTCAGAAAACTGGTTTGCGCAGAAGATGAAAAAATCTGGCTTTTTATACATTAAGTTGTAGTTTGATTTCTAGGAAGTGAAAGCAGTGAGGGAGTGGTGCTGAGGGCTTAGCTCCTTTGATGCACTTTGTAGGAGTTGGAGATGATGAACAGATGAGATCACGAAGGCCACAAACGGTGAATCAAACTTTCCACAAGCTACAAATCCTGGATATATCAATGTGCAGGTGTATCTGCTGTTTAGATGGTCAGTTTAGTGTCTCCAAACTCACAAAGAACAGTCCTCTTTGATGGGACTGCTGCAGGGTACATTGGATCAGTCGCAACTTCTTTCTAATCTTTGTCTTTCTATATTAGCAACGTTAACATTTGTATCTTAATTCTAGGAGTAGAAAGAGCGTGGCAGACTTTTGCCTGGTGGATGAGTGTTTTTATCCAGGTGCCACGACTAGATTCTGACCAAACCCAGCTGACTCAGTGTTTACTGAGATTTTGTCCCACACATACCAAATTATGATACATCATTTGGGTCTAAAATATGTTTTTATGATTTAAATGTTTAGAAGAGATATATATATATATATATATTTCAGAATGGGTTTATCACAGCCACACTTGGTGAGGGACTTGAAGTGGAGCTACACTAACATGTCAAAAAGTAAAATATAGCATGAACCTTCAAGATTAGCCTCTTATTGAAACCAACCCTGTTTGTTGTTCTGTTGACAGACATTTTATCTTGATTGTGGAAAGAGGGCATTGCAAAATGAATCCAATAAAGAGAAAACATGGCAAAATGAGAACTAGTTATTAGTTGGAAAATAATGTATTAAATTGACAAGTGCACCTCAGTGAGTATACATGCTCTAGGTTAGCATGAAGAGCTACATCTTACAGCCAGCTAGGTCGGAGACAAGTCGGGCGTTCCCAGAGATGCTCTTTGCTGAACCAGAAAATTAAATACAAATTTCCAACACCTGTACTACTATTAAAGGCATAAAACACTGTCACCAAGTAGGTACAAATGTACACCGACATTGAACACATGTATTTTTAACGCATTTATTTCTATATAGATGAATTATTTCTGCATGCAAACACAAAGGCGTGTGTTAAGCCAGTGGCTATGGGAGCCTGTGGTCTTCTTTCTGCAGGTTCCAACTGTGGGATGACTTTGGTTCTCCTCACTTGTCCAGTGCCTTCGTCATCTCAGGAACAGCCTGAAGAGAAAACAGTGCAGAGACTTCAGAACTAAATATTCAACAAACACTTTACACCGACCGTTTATCAGGACGAAACTCACAGAATTGTAATTGCTCCAGTGTACTTTTAAATGAATCTCTTGTTAACTGAGCTTGACATCTTTTCGGCATTTAGACTCTGTTAATTTTAAAGGGGAGGCATCTGGCCCATAAGTCAGCACACTGATAATACCAGCCATGTAGCTTTAAAGACCCATTCAAGAAGCCGTTTGTGGTAAATACGAGTAGAAAATGATCCAAACGGCTTTCCTTGCGAGTCAAGCAACTTCACAAGTTGATCATCAGTCACTGGGAGTTTGTCCGAGGTATCAATTGTCCATTCTGGGGTAAAGTAGAAAGCCCATCCATCTTAATCAGCTATCTGAGGAGTGATCACTTGTAAGGGGATCTCACCCTGCAGGTCAAAACTCTACTGCCACTAGCCATTATTACTAATCACTTCTACAGAGTCGTCAGGACACCTGGGCTGCTTATGGGGGGGGCTAAATAAAACATGACCAACAGGACACACGTGAAAATATAAGCTACTAGCCTTTCACAAGCAGCACTGGACTCTAGTGCAGCTTGTGCCAACACTCCTGGCTCACTCTGCCCAAGTACCAGCTAGATACAAGAATGCAACCAAGCAGGTAAGAAGCCTGGCAAGTAGAAGCTCAATACTAAACTGAAGCCACCTTTCAAGTGACTTTTTATATCTTTTGATGTGCTAATGTGTCTCTCTATTCAGGGCAAGCTCAGCCACAGCTCTCCTCTGATTAATTCAAGGACTTAATAATTCAACGGTTGCACATTTCCATTAGCTGGAATAAGGCATCGTGCAAAATTGATCAGCGAGAAAGCAAACGTTATACTCCGACTGTCACTCTGGTCCCCAAAGTCCGGCAGAAGGCGAGTGAGCGGCGGTTCCGACCGTAGTGACACGACTCACCTTGAAAAGATCAGCGACCAAGCCGTAGTCGGCCACCTGGAAAATGGGAGCTTCTGGGTCCTTGTTGATGGCAACAATAGTCTGAATAGAGAAATAAAAACGGGTTTCTCTCAGTACGCAGAAGACAAAGGAACAAACTGCCTAAACGGTTAACAGCCTGTGTCTTATGCTTCAACAAAAGCAAACAAACTATGATCATTCAATAAAGAGGAAAAAAGAATTGGGCTTAACTGCAAAATGTCAAAGAAACGTGATGATTTATAAGCCTAACATTTGGTTCTTAACGGCAAACAATACAGAAGTATCCAAACATTGTATCACAGGGTATGTCAACTCTAGAGAGTTAAGGTTACCGTATATCAGTTTTCATAAGATCTCCTTAAAAAGTGGAATATTTTACTCCATTATTCAAAACTCATAGGTTGTTAAGGGGAGGTCTATTCATGACCTTTACCTTGCTATCCTTCATTCCAGCCAGGTGTTGAATAGCTCCAGAGATACCGACAGCAATGTACAAATCCTGTGGACACGAACAGAAGACAAGCACACAAGTGTTACTCGATTGTAGACATGAAGTGTGACTGATGGCACAATGACCACGGTGTGCAAAGGGTCAGTACGCATATCTCCACCATCAGTGCCATATGAATAGTGCCTATTTAATGTTGCAGCTGAAGTCTCAGAAGAGCTCAAAGAAGCAACATATTCCTACGAGATTATGAAAGCTCACAGGAACGGACACGCCATTCAAACTGAATCCTTATTATTTAAACTATGTCCGTGATCCATACTGTGTCTCCATTACATACATTTTAACACAATCCCTGGATCAATTCAAGTATCTGAGAGTAGACAGACTGGTGCTGTGACGGTGAGTGAGCAGCATTTTAAAACTACCAAGCTGTTTCTAGCACACATTATTCAGAGACAGTTTAAACACACACGATTCTAATGTCGACAGTACATTTTGTGACGAAATATTGAATATTAATCAGCAGATAAGAGATTATTTTGTATATATACAAATCTTTAATTTGACTGAATACACAACATTTAAGATTGCGGGGGGGGGGATAAACTAGATTATTATCATATTTAATCAACTTAGCCAAATTCAACAAGCTTGTCATAACATTTGGAAAATCTAATTTGGACACTCTGGCCGGGCCGCCGCTCTGCCCAGACATCCACTGCACTCTGCTTTAATGGATCAGCTAAATCATTTAGGGCCCTAAATGTGCCATCAAGTCCATTTTGCCGGGCCTAATGTGTGGATAATTAGAGCCGGGGTATCCCGGCTGAGTCACATAATGGACAGTTAACCTTTAAAAAAAAAAAAAAAAAAGGGCAGAGCAGCCACCCAGATCGTACTGGATTGCAACCACGCTGTGTAATGGTAAACAGCTATTTGTCAAAAGCAACAGATTTTGAACCCAACTGGTGAAATTTTGCTTTTTTTGACAAATGTTTAGTTGATTACGTCACTTCAGAAAAAGGAAAAACTTACCGGTGCTACAATCTTGCCCGTCTGTCCAACCTGCATGTCATTGGGGACGTACCCAGCATCCACTGCTGCTCTGGATGCACCAACTGGAAAAAGAATATTATGCAATTTAAACTCTTCATAAGTAAAGAAATTAGGTAAAAAAAAAAAAAAGTAAGATTATGAAATTCCATTTTACCTGCAGCATTCATCTTGTCAGCCAGGTCATACAGCAGCTTGAAGTTCTCTCCACTCTTCAAGCCTCTCCCTAGGATAAGGAAACTCCATTAGTCTGCTTTGTGAAAGAAAACTGAAGAAGCACACAAGCTAATGAATTCACAACAAACACAAACAGTGGCACTGCAAACAAATGGCCGAGATTGCTTGATTCAGAACACAAACGGATGTCTCACCTCCTGACACCACAACTTTAGCGCTGGTCAGATCCGGGCGGTCGCTCTTTGTCAGATTCTGTTCCAACCACTCAGAAACTCCAGCGGGAGAAGCAGCAGCAACTACAGATCAGTCATGACAAGGAGGATCATTGTGTTAAAATGATGAACAAATAACATTTTGTTTCTTTGTGGTATATCGTGTCATTTTCAACAACACTGACATAATATCAAGTCATATCTACTGTACCATTTTCTGATGTAGCACTTCCTCCTTCTGTTGAAGCCGCCTCAAAGGCCGTCCCTCTGACCGTGAAGATCTTCACCGACTCGTTACATTTCACTGTGCTGAGAGCATTTCCTGTACAATCAAAATATTATTAACATGCCATATTTAAAAAGCACAGAGACATCATTAATACAAACTTGCCAGAGAAAAATCCTGTTGCAAAATAATTAGCAGAGTTCATCTGCATCATATTAAATGTATACCTAATCCAGGTAACATGATTTAACACGTCTTCTGAAGTAAACCTGTGTTTTTTTTAAAAAGGGCTTACCGGCATAAATTGTTCTGACAAACGTGTCTGGAGACTTGATCTCAATAATATCGGAAACTGGAGCAACATCCAACTTGGCAGCCACTCTGGGAAGCAGGTTCTGGTGAAAGAAATGGTGACTAAGCGTAAGCAGGGAAATATGCAATGATCAATGTTGATGAAGAATCAAGAGGAGAAAGAGACTGCAGTTCATTGATAGACGGACAAATATGTGGAGAATATAATATTTAGAAAAATGAATATATTTGAAGCAGGAGCTTAAAACTTTTGGTAGAAAAGAAACTCAATCGCGACGAGGCCATGAGAGAGTAAATTAATTTCTATGACTTTTTGATAACTTATTATAGAATTATTGTTTATGACATGCTGGACTGTGCATTTTTTTGCAAATAAATGTATGATCTTTTTATGATGTACTATCCCATAATTTTACATGGCATACAATACTGGGACTTTTTTATGAATTACATACATTTACTATACTTTTTACATCATACTATTACAAAATAAGACGAAATGCACAATAAACAAAGTTTGGCCAGAATAATTGTGTCGTGAAAACATGATGTTATTTCAACATGTACAAATTGTACAGGAATCTCTCTCCGTTACTTACCTTTCCAAAGGCAGACGCACCAGCACAGATGTGGGTGAAATTGAATTGCTTTTGAGTTTCCAGGATAAGCGGCGTCAACTCCTCTGAAGAATAAGAATAAAATAAATAAATAAATAATAATAAAAAAAAAATCAGATATCAATACAAATGATTACTGCTGAGCCAGTTCTAGACAACTTGAGCATACGAGTATGGATCAAATGAAAAACAAACTCCCCTCCCTCGTTTACTACTCCCAAGATGCTCTTGAGCACTACATCAACCAGCTGTTAACATGAAACAGCTTGTTGCTAAAAACAACAACAGACATGGTCGGTATATATTTGCTCTGTGAGTGTAAGTTAACTTACAATAGGTGTCACATACCTGGCAGGGCACCTTTGTAAGAGTCATGTTGAGCAACCAGAACCTTATTCACACCTTGGACTTGTCCAATTTGCTCTACAACCTGAAAAGACATAAAAAAATGTTTTTATTTATCCATATGTCAATGCGGTATGGTGATGCCAAAATAACAGCCCTTGAGCAGGTCAGTGTAAAAAGCGATGCCTACCTGTGCACAGTTTGTTCCAGCAACTAGACAAGACACCTCACCACCAAGCTTACTGGCAGCAGTGATGGCATTGAGTGTGATAGGGGTCAGTTTCTCGTTGTTGTGCTCTGCAATCACCAAGGTGCTTTGAAACCTTTGGAGAACACCGGCCTGTTGGAGAAAATGTCGACATCTCAGTATTAAATATACTTATGAGCCAGTAAAACCAACGATCTGGCAATGTGTGTTTGATTAAACAGTGTTTGTCTAGAATATAGAGGGATTACTAGTAGAAGTGTACAGTTAGGTTAGTGTAAAATCTACTTGTCACAGGGCAACAGTAAAACCTTTGAAGCTGCTGCATCAGGTTGTATCACAGTAAAACAGGATAATACCAGCTTCTTCTGGACATGACCGAACACCAGCAGTAGATGAAGGTCATTTAAATCAAGTCAAAGAAATAAAACGTGAAATCCCACACGCTGGGTTACTGAATGAGCTGTTATATAGTCTATGCTGCTACACACAGGAGATGCAATGCTTTAGGTAACACTTTAGTATTACCCGCTGCGTCAATGACAGTCTCACAGTTTCGTAACTACTGGTTTGACGTTGGTTGCATAAATGCTAGGCTAGCTGTGCTAACACCAGTTAGCACTAGCTCAAACACAAAACCTGCAAAACGTTGCCATATTCTTGCAACATTACAATGTGTATATACTGTTGCGGTCAAAACAAGTCACACAACGCTGTCGCACACAAATTGAGAAATAATACCATGGTTTGCCAGACGAGCATGCGTCTGAAGTAGTTAGCAACTGCAGCAATAACAAACCAACAAGTAAGCTAGTTTTCTACTGTGCTGCTGCGAGAACATATCAACGCAATGTCTATATATGTTATTACGGTATAACTGTCACCCCCTTACCAACTGCTTCAGACTTGTTTTGTTGAACGCTCTGTTCATCTTGGACCCTTCAGACTGCTTGCTTCTCAGGTGCAGAAACAAATCTGTGTCAAAGGTAACCTGACGTAAGCATTAAGGTCTCGCGACATCGACGAAAACGACAACTTCCGGTCACTCTCAAAAGCGCTTGCAAACAATTATTTCAAAATAAAGAGCAGGTTGAAGCTTTATTAATACAAGTTTAACATATGGAAACATTCGCGATTCATTGATTCGTGAGAGTCATAACAAGGTCTTTCAGAGTTGATATTTTTGCTCAATTTCTCACTCAGAGACAAAATAAAGAAGACATATAAAGCCAAAATAAAGCCTATTTTCCAATTCCTATTTTAATCATAGTGTAACTGTTAGTGTAACTAATTGTATGTTGAATAAGTACAAAGTAACAAGTACGGACCAGGAAGTAATAAATAATGCTAAATATTAGAACCCTACATTTAGTTTCACATGAAAAAAACTATATATTTTTCTATGTAGAACGATATTTTGTTGATTTTACAATCATTATCTCAACGTATACAGTCAAGCCCACATCAATGGGTGCTGTAGGCTATTTAATCAATTTTTTAATATACAAATACTAGAATATTTAACAAAACAAAACCCACACAAATATGTACGTTTTTTCTGGTCTGTTGAATCTGATCGTACATTTTATTCAACTGCTTTAATATCAGGCATAAAAAACGTTGTCTTTTGGCTGTGTGACTCTCTCACTACTTCTCTCTGTCTCTTTTATTCTAACAGTTGAGTCTTGTGTATGTGAGAGGAACTGAATAGCCATCCTTCGGGTCCTTATTTATTGTGGCCAGGACTTTCTATCAATCACAAATATACGAAAGCTCAGGTGTACGAATTTATGGATAATCCATACGCAAAAGAAAACAAAATCTAGATCTTAAATTGTGCAGTTTATTGACGCTCGGTGGATCCAAGATCTCTATGTGATATTTTATCCAGTAGAGGGCTCTCTACAGTAGCGTGAGACTATTGGTTAACTATCAAACTTAAACAGCATTAAAAAAAGATAATAATAAAGTTAGTATAAAATAAAATAATGAATTAAATAGTTTCTAGAATAAAGATCAGTAATAATAATAATAATGAAATTATTATTAATAATAATAATGCTAGTAACTATTATTGTTATTAATATTATTATAGTAATGCAAATAGTATCATGTTCATAATTTATAGCAGTAACAAAATCTTGAACATTAAACATTTTCCAAGTTCAACTCTGTATTTTAGTGGGAATCCAAACAACATATGATTGTTTAAACACAAAAAAATAGAATATCTCAGTAACAAGAATATTGACACGGATAAGCTTACGATAAACAATACGTAAGCCCATAAGGAAATATTAAGAGAATGGGATGTACCAAAATAAATGACAACAACAGCATATCTCACACTCACAAGTATACCTAATTGCACTGTGAGTTAACAGGGAAATTGCTTTCACTTCAGGAAATAGAGATAGCAGCGCTGTGGGACAAAAGATGGATTAAAAAAAATTCACAGCCAGTCCAAAGAGACAAAAGGAAAAAAAGAGCAGGGGTCCAGGAGGAGATTTGCATGGCACCCTCTCCCTGGACCAACAGAGGTCCAGGTTTGCAGACGTCACTGGTCGAGGATCTTTGTTTTCTCTCCACCTCTCGGTGGAGGAATACAAGTTTATCATCCAGCCAGGGACGGGACGGTCTCCTCTACCGCACCTCTCCTCCATCTATCGGCTTGCACTGGGCTATTTCTCCTGTATGGTGGATATCCGGCTCAATACTTCTTTCTTGGATGATATGGGGGATCATTCAAAAAGTAAGTTATTTATCTCTCTCTACTCCTTCTTTTTGTCATTCCGGGGTTTTGTTCTGAGTTTTTAAATTTCCTTTCAAGACGTATCCGGGGTATAGTCTCTTAAATTTCTATTAATTGTTCGATTAATTTCGGCATTTGCAGAATAATATCGAAACCGCAACTAAGGTATGATCAACTGACCTGTCCTAAATATATATATATATATATATATATATATATATATGGGCTAATATCCTTATAAACTTATATCGTGTGGTGCGTTTGAAGTGACCCTTGTCGTAGGTTACTTGGTGATATTTTTAGCTCCTGTTGCGTCATTATAATAAGTCTGAAATATTCTTGGAAGAACTCTGTTTGTTGTGATACGCGCAAAGATTTTCTCTCCTTAAGGTGGAGGGGTGAAGGGGGTTTAAGGGATGTCATGGGGATTAAAAGAGCTCGCACAGTGTTGCATTAATGCATTCCGCTCCTCACACAGAGAAGTCGGGAATCGCAATGTGTGTGGGCTGTGGAAGTCAGATACACGACCAGTACATCCTGAGAGTCTCCCCGGACCTGGAATGGCATGCAGCCTGTCTCAAGTGTGCAGAGTGCAGCCAGTACCTGGACGAGACCTGCACTTGCTTCGTCCGAGACGGAAAGACTTACTGTAAAAGAGATTATGCAAGGTAGAGTGCAACTTTCAGGATTTTTTTTACTCTCCTAAATTTCAGAGACCATGTGTTGGGTTGTTGAAAAGAAAGTGTTATATATAAAGGATATACAGGGGGCACCTGAGATGAGATAAATCATAATCTCATAATGATAATGGCAATTTGAATGGCAAATGTGCAGGGTGTAAATGAAAGTGGGCAAAATTGTGCGTCATGAACTACAAACCTGAATAAGATCTGTGCTGCAGGCATTCAGATTTGTGTTCTTTTTCCTGATTATTATATCAGCTTGCAACTTTTTTGCGCTTCTGTTGATTGGAACGTGCTCTGAGATCAACGTTAGATTCGTTTAGCCTGCAACATTTTAGGGCTACTGCATGAGACCAATGTATAGTCTCCATGCTCCCTTTCAGGTTATTTGGCATCAAATGTGCAAAGTGTAACATGGGCTTCTGCAGCAGCGACCTGGTGATGAGAGCTCGGGACAATGTGTATCACATGGAGTGTTTTCGGTGCTCGGTTTGCAGCCGTCACCTCCTGCCGGGGGACGAGTTCTCTCTGCGGGACGACGAGCTGCTGTGTCGGGCGGATCACGGCTTGCTCGCGGACCGGGCCCCTGCAGACAGCCCACTCAGCCCGGGGAACATCCATACCAGACAGCTGCACATCTCCGGTAGCCTACAACATGATTTATTATGAACCTATAAAAGTAACACAGTAGGCACAGAAAATGATCTGCATAAAATCGTGCATGCTATAACCTATTATTATAAGTATTATAATTATTGTTGTTATTATTATTATCATCAGTATTATTATTATTATTATTATGTACATTCTGACTTCCAAAAGTATTGCCATTTTCTAGGCAAAATCTAAACAGCCGACTAAATATTAATATTTTGTGTGCATCGGCCAACCATAAAATATTCAATATAATTTACAATTTAATTTTAATAAATGCATACAGTAGTCTGACGTTTAAAATGACGGCAGTGACTTACAGACGCCTAACAATATTTGGTGCAATATTTAATGTTTTCAATTTCATAAACTACAGCCGGTGATAGGCCTAGCCTACTTGTAAATCGAAGCTATTTGTTACTTTAATTTCTTCATTTAAGTTTATAATTCCTCCGACATAAAACATTTTTTCTGCTTATTTTAAGTTTCAAATTGATTTTTTTCCTTTTTCCAGAACCTGTTTCTGTCCGACATCCTCCTCATCACCGGAACCACGTCCACAAGCAGTCCGAGAAAACCACTCGGATCCGGACGGTGCTGAACGAGAAGCAGCTCCACACCCTGCGGACCTGCTACAACGCCAACCCGCGACCGGACGCGCTGATGAAGGAGCAGCTGGTGGAGATGACCAGCCTGAGCCCCAGGGTGATCCGCGTCTGGTTTCAGAACAAGCGCTGCAAAGACAAGAAGAGGATCATCTTCTTGAAGCAGATGCAATCACAGCAGCACAGCGAAAAAACCGTGAGTTATGTTATGTTTTTTATATTTTCATGGTATAGCTGAAAACATTATGCTTTATTATAGACCCGTTTCTCATTTCAAAGGCCCAATTGATCTTGGGCAACACATGCTTATTAAGCATATTTTCTAATGTGCTTAATAACTGACTGTCATGCACTCACTATTGCCCCGTACAACTTGATTAAATTCTCCACTGGTTTAAAAAAAAAAAGAAATCAACAAAGGTTGTATTCAAGATAATGTTCATGTTCAAATGTATCGCCACACATTATCTCGATAAGATAAAGAAAGAAATAATTAAATGGTAATACTGTTGGAGAGAGACCACAGCAGAAAACATAAACATATTGTAGACTGATTGTTGTGGATAAAAAATACAGAAAATAAAATTATTTGTCAAACAACTCTTAACAAACAGGAGGTTGTTTTTCCATTTTTTTTAAAAATTCCATATCATTTTAAATATACAGGTGGTATATTTTCATGAATCAGAAAATAATTGTCAATTTAGTTAGTCTACTGAACTGAAATATTTTGTAATTGAAAAATAATTGCATGTTTTGCAGAGCTGACCACATTAAACCCAATGTATCCTTTAACTATTGCAAAATTAGATTTAGATATTTTACAGGCTCATATAAACTTAATATGCTTTCTAACAGTTTTAAGGCTAGTTAATGTTCATACAATTAAAACTTTTTGTGCACGTTTTATGTTTGCTGTTGCTGAAAATGGCTGTTGGTTCCCTCATAATGACAAAAAAAATATGATTTTTATTGGTGTGGCTGAACAGCTGAATTTATTCAATGTATGGCCAATATTTGGGTCGAATTAACTGTTTCGTTGCTCTTGTAGAATCTGCAGGGCCTGACAGGCACACCTCTGGTGGCAGGTAGTCCTATCCGGCACGACAACACCGTGCAAGGGAATCCTGTGGAGGTGCAAACCTACCAGCCACCGTGGAAAACCCTCAGCGACTTCGCCCTGCAGAGCGACCTGGACCAGCCCGCTTTCCAACAGCTGGTAGGATGACATTCAGTATATATATTTAAAATACATTATAGGCCTTTTAAAATAATACAAAGGGACTGATAGGCTTACATTCGTAGAGAGAGAGAGAGAGAGAGAGAGAGAGAGAGAGAGAGGAAACAGAAGGATTTGCTAAACTTCAATCATATCCAATAATAATTCAGACATGGTCATAGGGCAGTTTTTTAAACGTGATGATGATGATAATGATTATGATGAGGATGATGATAGCCTTCATTTAGTTAAAAAAAACAACGCTTAGATTTAGAGAGAATTCTTTAATCTAGTAACGCCTTTAATTTCCAAAATATTCAAGCGCAAACTTGCGCCAAACTGTTGATCAACCTTGTGTATGGGCTCCATGTGGGTCACTCGCTGATGTGGTCTCGTGCACGACTGATAAGGTGATTTGTAGCCTATTATGTTTTAATTGACAGGCCTGATACTTTGACAAAATAAAATAAATGTATCCCTTGCTCTGGTCATGAGCACATTCACATGTTGTCATGTGAATGCAGAGAGAGAAAATCTGTCTCTCTTAAAACCCTTTTTTGTTGACTCCTTCGGTTTCCTTCGGCAGGTGTCTTTCTCTGAGTCGGGCTCCCTGGGCAACTCCTCGGGCAGTGATGTGACCTCACTCTCGTCTCAGTTACCGGACACACCGAACAGCATGGTGCCGAGTCCAGTCGACACGTGAAGAGTCCTCGAGGTCAGCTGGAGCCCCCGAGCGCGCGCCCGCGCCCTCTGCAGGGGACGCGCAGAGACCTCAGTGACATTCAATCAAAGAAAAACGAATTAAAGGACCAGGATGGATTATGCTCGAGGATACATTCAGGTTGCCGACTGGAGGATGGGAGGTCTGACTATTCTTTTTAAATTTAGGCATTTTAGCTCACTGTCTTGCTCAAGGATACTTCGGCAGGACTCACAGCTGTTTATGGACATTATGGGCTTATGGGAACTTCTACCATGATGCCAATGCCTGAACTGGCCATAACGTGGTGAATGTGTAACGGGATTCAAACACACTGTCCTGTAATGGACGTCTGAAGGTTACAATATGTTTATCAGGAACCAAACTGTGTAGATGTGCATGTTTTGTTTCAATATCGACTCTTGTAAATTAAGGAAACAGATGAGATGCGCATTGTTCGCGTTTTCTCCAGAAAATAAGTTATTAATATTTATTATGACGACAGACATAGCCGATCTTATCAATAAAACCATACTTTTAACTGATTATTGCATGCACAATTCCATTTGTTCTGTAAACTACAAGATCTTTTTTATAATTGTAGTCGGCAAAATAAATCAGTTTTTAAGTGAATTGAAAAGCAATTGGTGCTTATAATGCTTGACACTGTTTGAAGTGCTGGAGCTCCCCTGTTTAGAAAATGCAACTTCTTAGGCTGTAAGACGGCCTAAAGCTCATACAATAAATGGTTAAATATGCACGTTTGGGCAATCAGAAATTAAATATTACGGTATTACAAATGTTCAGTTGCCCACATTTGTGGGTGCCGTTCTGTCTGTAAACAGTAAACCCTGAGGTAGAGGCCCTGCTTATATTTAGGCCTGCTCAATTTCCGAGCCAAGTGGATGAGTGACTGATGGCTGACACGATATTATTAAGCATTTGGCCCACGTGTCATAGGTCACTGAATCAGACACAATGGGCTGAGGTCTGAGTTCGTGCCCTCACATGATTTTCTATCTTCATTTAAAAAAAAAAAAAAAAAAAAAAAAAAAAAAAAAAAAAAAGCAAAGCCTCCAGAGCCTATATTTATAGCAGATTTTGCATAATATCTGGTTCCCGTCATAGTGATAAAACGATCAAATTGGTCTTATTTAGACAAATGTCACAGTGCCATACCAACCTGAGGCCCATGGTTACAAGTCTAGACAGAGGACAGGCAGCGGCAGCCGCTTATCTGCATCTGGCATCACCCGCAAAGGATACACTGAATGGACCCAAAACAAAACGCGCAGCCGCGCAGCGCTGACGGGACTCCCAGCCTGCGGACGCATCCTGGCGTGTCTTGAGTTTATTTTCATTCCTGTAGGAATCCTGAACGGCAAATAGCCGCTGGACAAGAGAGCACGCAGGTCAAGCCGGGACTGACACACTACACCTCAACAATTTGTTGGGGAGGATCGCCTTTATCAGTGAGGGAAGTGCATTGAAATTCAGAATCCTGTTAAGTCTTGAAGACATGCTGATATAGCCTGTAACAACTTTAAACTGTGAGTACAACTGTAGCAACAATACACTCAAGTAAATGTTAGAAAAATACAAGACGGGGCTAAATATCACAAATCATTTTAAAATAAGTACACAGGTTATCTGAATTTATATAGTTATATGTTTATACTTAACACATTAAACAGCTCCCAAATGTGCAACATCTGCCTTTAATCTAAAACTGGACAAACTGGATGAAAGTTCCAGCAGTTTCACACTGTGGGAAATGTTTTGCGAATATAACTTTTGTTTTCATTCCCAACAAATCCCCAAAGCCCGTTTCTAAATATTACCTGAACCTGCTGGTTGATTGTCATCTGTGCATAACTAGAGGCCGTACTGATGCTGTAGTGATGAACCATTGGGAATAAAACAACTTGATCACTATTTGAATATAAATATGCCAATTAATAAACTACCAATAAATACGTGCAGAAGAAGATGGCTTCCTCTTAAACCTGAACAATCTGTTTATGAGGAATTCAAAAGCGTGAAAGTACATTTCTATATGTACAACCAATTCCTATATATTCACGTTTATTTAAGATTCAATAATCAAATTTGTTTCTATGAATTGCATTTGTCCATAGACTAAATTAGGACATCGTCAATATTCAAGTTCATGAGGGTGTAACTGACAGGAATACAAGAGTCACCACCCTTTGTTGTATCTTACTCATCAATATAACTTTGTAAAGTTTACACAGAAAAAAATAGAATGACAACAAAATATAGCCATAAGTATTTTATTTCACATGAAGGTAAATAACTCAATAAATTATATTAATTTGTAAGTTTGCCTCCTAACAGAGATAAAGAAGAGACAAAGATGTGAACTTGAAAAGGATCATTCTGAGCTGGCAATCAAGGCATGCCACGTAACTTGTAACGGACATCATGTAGACTACAAATAATAATTCTGGCCATTCACATTCAAACATGAGACAAATATAATAAATTAACACAAACAGTATTCATGAAACACTTGGCAAATGATAAATTACAGTATAAGTAAATGTTTCAGATTTAGATGGTCCCTGCTTTGAAATGGATCTTTTTTTTTTATCTACAACAGGGACACAAAGATAAACAAATGGCTTGTATAGACTTTAAATGGAATAGCTGTGCATGTGTTCTAACTGCAATGAACAATGAAGACATTTTGTGCAAATAATCATAAACATCAAACTGATTTCAAAGAAATCAAAACAGATACACCAACATATGATAAGGCTTCACAACTGGCAAAGTCTGAAGAACATATTTGCTCGTGTGCAGACTTAAAATTGTGGAAAAAAGAGAAAAAAACAAAAGTCCACATGTTTCTTTTGAAATGTTCATACTGTGCTTATCCATTCTGAGGACAGTGTGCATCACTCTTCCTGCTTCTTGAGAAAGAACTGCAGCGCTGAGTCCCACTGGTCTCTTGGAAAGCGGTTAGACAACTCGCAGTAATCCAGCAGCTGGGAAACTTTAAACAGACAGAGAAGAACAACTTCATTATATAACGGGAGTCCAACAGCAATCCTTTTAAATCCGTCAGAAAGCAACCAATGTGCCAAGATAAATGTATCACAAGGAAAAATTCTTAAGCCTCAATACTACTATTAAACATATTCCAGATCTATTGCGTAACCGTCATGTCTGTTCTGAGGCAACGCCTTCTTTAAAACAAAACAAGTCAACTATCCTTTAGAATTAAAAATATGAAATATAATTAAATTCATCCAAATTCTTGTATTGCGTTTGATACATTTATCAGAATAACTTACCTCCGGGCTTTATTTTGTTGTCTGAATCTTTCTCATTTGCAGCACAGTCCTAGAAGAATGAACACGAGCATTAGTACGATAACAGTAGACTGCAGGTACCAGCAGTGTTGTGTGTGTGTGTACAGTTTATTTGGTCTTATCTAAAATAATTAAAACCTTCCAGTCAGAAAAAAATATATACAAATAATGTTATTTAAAAGTTGCCACTACATCTCAATGTATTTTCTCAGCAAAATATATGTTTTTAGAATGTCGGGTGATAAAGAACCATACAGGATCAAACCGTTTCACTCCGAGGAATGTTCTTGAGGTTAACTCAACAATGAGGGCGGCGGGGCACGACACCATGCATTATTGCTTTGTTTGAAAGAAATGACAATAGCTTGTCTCCCTTTGAATGGAAGTTAATCGGTGTCTAAACAGCGGTGGTTGCAGAGTGGTGAGGGGCGGGTTGTCAGAGGAAGATGAAGGAGACAAGCTGTTTACTGGGAGTTGAACCAGTGGCAGGTAAATCCACTGTGAAGGAAGCCATTTATCTTTGTACAAGCCTGCCTGTTACAGATTGACCGGGGCCGAGATGAGCAACTGTTAAACCAGCCGAGGCAAAGAGGTTCCCCTCTGATTATAGCCTGTTCTGTGATGGTCAACTGTGTGTAAAACTATGATCTATGTCTGCTGTATGTGACACCATGGTCCTATATTTACCTGAATGAACGTAGCCAGCAGCACACAGCTCATCTCCTGCTGCAGAATGACCTTGTTTTGGGAGTTGTTGTAGCAGGCCGAGATGAGGGAGGGGAAGAGCACTCGGATGAGGCGCGGGTGGCTGAAGTACTGGAAGGGCAGCTGACACAGTTTCTGCAGCACGCTGGGCTGGCGGCCAGACTGCACTATCACCTGGAACACACATGGAGCAAGGCCAGTCAGTCACTGAGCCAGTCAGGCGGCCAGTCAGTGGCACTGTTGGTTGTAAATCACTGCACTGTCCCTCCCACATGTAAATCTGCCACTAAAACAACACACAAACAGCCATTAGGAGGAGACCTGGGGGGCACAGCCTCCCACCACGCAATTATGGGCTATAAAACACAATGATGGGATGTTTTCTTCTTCCTTTGTACCAACAGCAACGGCAGAGATGCTGTACCACGAGAGGGAAATGTGAACCGATGTCATTATCAGCGGTTAAAACTTCACTTTCAAGTTCTGTGTTAAGCTCTCTGAGCAACACCGACGCAGAGAGTCAGTGCAAAAAGCTTGTTACCGCCCCGTAGGAGGGAAGCTCAGGTTGAGAGGGCATTCAAAGTGCAACAGGGGGAATGGAGGGGTGGGGGTGGCGGGTGAAAGGCAGGGTGAGCAAACCTCCACCAACGGTGTTGGCCACCCCCACTTTGAGAAATGAGCAATACCATTAATGGTATTTTCACCCTGCCGACATCCTGCTCTTCATCACAGCCTGTCAATCACACACCATCACATCCGGGCTACCAGCATTAAAAGCAAATCACTCCCAGCCTTATTTGATTAGAAAGGGGACTGCTGCAAATGAAGGGGTCCTGGCCTAATGCTCTGGTCATCTCCCCTGAGCCCGAGAAGACCACGAGCACCCCTCTGAGAGCACAAGGGGGTCAGCGTGCTAAATCCTGGCTGAAAAGACACGGCACTACTTTACAGTTACAGACGACGGGACCGGGCGGCTCCATGCCAATAGAAACCAGAAGGGCGAGGTGAGGTCCCCAAGTCACGGTGACATAAATTCACGAGATTTACAAGATTTTAAAAATGCACCCACTAATACTCTGCCATTGGCTTCTCCTTTGATAATGCACTCCAAGTTTCAACAGCAGGATAAACAAAGCGATAATTCATCGCTTTTATCAGTTCAAGGTGAAGCTTCTCAGAGCTGGCCTCTACAGCAGCGTTCAAAGGGACACAAAGCAGTGCCACTTCCTATCGTCCTCTGTTTAAAGCATCCGCATGGACAGGTCAAACAATCTGAACTTTAATGCATTACAAATACTTCAAAATGTGGAGAGGACTGAATTTGTCAACCTGAAATGCGAGTGTTAATTTTCAGAAGGTAAGAGAACACGAGGTCTGCTTTGGTGTGTTTTACTGAGTGCTGTATTGAAGTCTGGAGTACATTTTTAAAGAGGTAAACCATGCTGTGAATATGTGCGCGTAACGGTGGAAGAACAAAATCCCCACAGTTTCACTGACTTAATAAGTGTTTCTCACAAAGGAATGTGGGACTAGGACAAATTCATCCACTCACGGAAGGGAGAAAAAAAAAAAAAAAAAAAAAAAGGCAAGGTCTGGCTGTTTTCAAAAGTAGAGCTGTTTATTTTCACTGCATGTAGTTTTAGCATTTTCATGCTACTTTCCATTAAATCCCACATCATCGTATTTATCTCGTCTGTTGCAACATTGCTCAAAGACTAACTGGCATTGAAGAGGGAGTTATGCAGCCAAAACCGTGGTTCTGCGAAAGCTAAAGAATATATTCATTCTTGGGTTTTAATCCAGAATATTTATGGTTTAGGTATCGTCATTTAACACCAAAGCAAGTGTTGGATATTTGAGCCGGGGCTCTGAGAAGATCCAACCCACAAATCACCAGGCAATCTCATAATCCTCCACCACGCACAGTTCCATCTTCAGCTGCCTAAACAAATTGTCCACCCTCAAGTGCCTGACGACGCAGAAAGACATAAAACAAAGCTGGTGGCAGGAAGAGTATAGCCGTTACACAAACTTGAGTCTCCTGCCAACTTTCCACGCCTCTACCAGGTGAAGAGCAACACCAGAGCCCAAAATGGTTTCCAACTAGAGATTACCCCGTAGCGTTGCCTCTCCCAGCTCAGTTGAAGTATCTGCAGCTCAAAGCCTGACATCATAAAACTAACAACAAGCATCTGAACCCATGCATCTGGCTCGCGTACAACGCAGACCCAGTAAAAACTCAAGTGTCTCGGCTGCTCTGTTCTTTCTTAAGTTCAGAGACCTGGCATTTTCAAACAGTGCCGAGTTTTATGACGCCTCCATTACATAACTTCCCCACTGTCCACAATGACAACAAAGAGTGTGTAAAGTTAATGTTCTGAAACGCAAACAAATTCCCGGGGAAAAACCCCAGCGTCGAAGCGTAAACCAAAGTTAAAGCAGATTTAAGAACGGAGAGGAAAAAAAAAAGAAAAAAAAAAAAGAAGTGGCCGGCATTGTTCCTGCCGTGCAATAAAGCATAATCTCAAACAGCATAACTAGCCTGTGCGCATGAGGCTGCAGCACTGCTGGATAAGGCAAATATATGAATTTCATCTTGAACGTGTAGAAGAATTTCCATTCGTTGTAACGTCTAGACAGCCCGAACACCTCAGGAGGAACCAGCGTGAGAGCAGGGCCATATATCTGACACTGACTCCACAATACAAACCAGATCCATCAGAGTGGAACTGCCTTACTGATAAGACAAGCAGCACAGCATGCGCCACAAAACAAAGTCAGTCAAATGGCTGTTTAGTGCCTCTTTACAGCATTTACAACGGCTGGCTGAGACGTGCACAGGACGCTGTGTAAATTACCTTTGGACAATTAGACGCTGGCGACGCAGACATTGACACTCCAACTTGACTTTTAAGACAAATGTCAGTTGTTTTAAAAATCCCATAAAAAAAAAAAAAACTGCTGTTTACACAGTGAAGCTTAATAACTCTTTATTTATCTCTATGAGCCGACGCTGTCATTCCACCCCAGATCTTTACTGCTGATAATTCTGCTCTGAAACTAACCTGATGACAGTGTTACAGACAAATGGAAACTCCTCACTGAAAGGTCTGCAGGGATAAAAATGTCCTCAGCTTCACTTAAAGTCAGTTGGACCTGCACTCACCCTTGAAGCAGAGTGTAAATCATCTACCGAGCTAACAATCAGGCCCTCTCCTGCCAGTCAGTAGAGAGTGCATCTGCCTGCGTTACTCTGCCTTTGTTTACTCCGCTGGGTGATACACAGTGTGCATTCCCTGCTGCTGGCTCCCTATGGTCTGCACGAGCTGCACTTACCCTGCAGGCAGCGAGGGCTTGGTGTGCCTTGGCTGTAATGGACTGCTGCAGGGAGCGTTTCAACATCAGGTTAACAGGAATTACAGGCCTAAAGCTCGGCTTGGGCCTGCGGGGCAGAGGAAACGCCCTCGTAGAGAATGGGAAGAAGAGGAATGACCCCACGGATGAGGCTGAGCTCAGGAGATGTGTGTGGGATGTGAAGTCTGGAGGTGATCCATAGCTCTTGTGATGCGTACAGGTATAAAGAAAGCTGTTTACGAAATATAAGCACAGAGGAGTCGGGTAATCTCATGAGCCAGCGCAGGGAAAACCATTCCATTTCTAAAACGTCCATACGCTACCTGAAATCAGACCCTCTTTGTGTGTGTCGCTCACTCTGCTTGCGTGTGTGTGTGTGTGTGGCCATTTTCCATGTACTGAAAAAAATGCAAGGTTTTCTTAAGATTTCCACACTCTCAAATCGCTCGTGTCTTTCTAAAAGAGCAAGCGGGAGTCAGGTGGGTTATTAACATGTCAACAGTTTACAATTAAAATCTCGTCAGCTCAGAGTTTCAACAGATCATCACCACGGATGATTCACAAATGAATCACTGCATTCACAGACGAGGAGATTACCGGCATATATCTCTTCAAGGGGAAAAGGAAGTACAGTTACTTGTCTGTTGCAAAATAGGTGTCATTTGTTCTGCTTTTTTTGTTTTTTTGTCAAAAGGTCTCGAGGGACTCACCCAACAGACCATGAAACATATGGCTACATGGCTCGGTGGCCCCCACAAGCAGAGACGCACTTAAAGAACACACAAGCCTGCATATGTCACTCTACCGATGGCTTTTCGTGTGACAAGGTGAATTATTCATGCCTCCAGAGCAGGGGGAATACATCACTACTTATACTGCTGCTTCAAAGTTCTGCTTTTTATGAGCAGCCTTATTCATATATATATATATATATATATATATATATATATAAACAAAAGCTGGTGTGCCGACAGTGAATCAGCAGTCTCCACCAACGCACAGGCCTCGGGTCGGGCTGCTTTTGTGCTCTGCCAATGCTTACATTAGCTTGAGAAAAGCTCAAGCTGCTCTAAATATTCTCCTTAACGCCATCCATCTTGGTGCGGAACTGAGTGGACGCATTCCAGGAACTGGACCACTGGCAAAGATCAACTCTGTGTGGAGGTTGTGTGGGATCTTGTTCCCCCGACAATATATACTTAAATATGGTATTAATTTTAAACTAAACCCTGAACTGAAGGATTTTTTTGCTGTTGCTTTTTCACAAAACGTTTCTTATAAGCAGCATCAAGGTTGTGGATTTTGCATTAGCAACATGCTTTTTCACCAAACACAGTCCTGCCCTGTTAACGTCGCTGTGAGTGTTCAAAGACGAATCATCTGTCACCCGCTTAATTTAATCTTCAGTCCTCATTCAATTATTCAATATAATATGCAAATGTTATCTACAATGACAAACAGATGCTAATTCTGTACATCAGAATAATTAAATTGCAAAGGAGCTGAGAGGAAAGCGCCGTAGACTGGAGGAAGACCCTTTAATTAGAAGTAAAAAAAAAGCTGGTAAGAGAGAATCAGTAATCAGCCTATAAATAGTGGTTATGGGGGTTGACTGTGACCGTGCGAACATAAATGACATATCGGAGGTTTGAGGCTGAAGCTGTGGCGGCTGCCTGTGTGGGTCAGGCTTAACATAATCAAAGCCCAGCCAACTGTAGCATGGCTAATCAGGGGCCCGGTAGACGGGCCATGCATGACAGCCAATTACACAGCAGCCAGGTCTGCTCCATCACATCCTGCTCACTTCCACAGAGCTCCTAAGTAGTTGTAACACCGGGACCAGCGTTACCAGGAAGGAACAATGGGTCACTCTGTGGTACAATAGACGACACACAGAACAAAAGCAAGAAGGTGCCAAGTCATGAATCTTTGAACAGGTGCTTTTTGTTACAATTACAAATCTACGACCCTTTTTTTGACAAATGATACACGAACAGGACAATCGTACGGTGATATTACCAGGCTCTTCTTAACTCAGCGGACAGCTTTTCACAACTGAAAGAATTAAATGGAAGTTGTGCTGAAACAATTAAACAATTGAAAATGAGTACATTGACAGAAAATGTACCAATTACAATTTTAGCAATTGATTAATTGTGTAAAGTATTTCTGAAACATTAAGTAGATTCATTTATTACTTGGTAAATAAAAAAATGAATAGATAACTATTTTGACAATTGATTACTTAATAATCCCTATTCTCATATTATGAGGATTCTATGCTCGATGTTTCCACATGTATCAGTAAACTGAGGATTTTAAGGTTTTAGACTGTTGATCGGATAAAACAAGATCAACTTAATTTATGGGGAATTAAAATTGACATTTGAAAACATTTCTTGAAACAAATAGCAGTCTCATATAAAGTGAAAACATTCATGATTTGGAGACATCGGAAATCAATGTTTTTTTAATTTCCCTAATCACCAACATATTTTGGTCATTAAGATGGGAATTTGTCATGATTGTTTTAGATTTTATTTAGAAAGCAATTATACAATCGCCACAAATTGGTAGATTGATAAATAACAAAAGCAATTGTAATTGTAAATTGTAGTTTGGTTTTGTTAAACTGAAGTAATTTCTGTGCAGTCAGTGCCGGTTTACCTGGTTGTCTGTGTGGTTAACGGTAAAGTATCCCACACAGACGATGACTTCGTGCAGAAGCTCTTCAGAGGAATGCTGGGTACAGTACCAGAGCAGGGAGCTGACGATGTGTCGGAAGGCCAGAGACAGGCCCTCGGCTCCTAGAACAGACTGACGGGTCAGACAACACATGTTAGTATGTTTACAGGAAATGAAGCATGAATTGTCTATGATTGTGATTACAAAGAGCTCAATAACAATACAAAGTAATGAATGACGATATGTGTTGCTGCTGGGAAAATACATAGTGTAAGAGTATAAGCAACTCAGGCGGGGTCCCACCATAAAACACCCCAATGCTGCTCAGAAATGAGATGCTAGGAGCAGCTTACAGACAGTATTTATTAAACATGTCAGTGTGACGGAGCACCAGAAGATCATCACTATTCCACTGGAAGTTTGGGTGTGTTAGCATTGTGACATCCATAAATGCAGTACCTGAGTATGCGTGCAGGCAAAGTGTTAAACTCACTGAACCATGTAAGCAGCTGTCGAATGGAACGGAAGCAAATTGTTATTCAGTAATAACGAAATAAATTTAGATTTAAAAAAAAAATCAACTCAACAAAACAGGAAAAACATCAAAAAAACAGTTCCTTCTTTCACTTTCTTTTTTTGGTAAATCTGATTTGTTGCTGCATATTTTGCCAAAATGCAACCACTGCATAACCCTGTTATTCATACTGCACTGAACCCTTTTGAAATGTCTTTCTAAACTAATTATTGGGAGCTGATGCGGCAGCAGAGAGCATTAACGGCCTGCACTCTAATCATCCACTCACAACACCTATTAGCCGGTGCTATGGAGGTAATGTGAAACACAAGGTGACTACGACCCCCGTCCAAAAGAAGAAACATTATTTAAAATGTTCATAAAACTCCGGCAGTGAAGTGCTTTCATTTCCAGCTGTTTTGAGTTGCTCGAGTGTGGCGGGTCAGTGAGAGGAAGCCGCTTCAATGTGATTACCACAAGACATTAAAATAATTAACAGCATTCTCGCTTGCTCTCGCGGCTCTCCGTCTACATGTTGACTGAGCTCAGTGAAGCTGTCGCCCCCTCCTCCTCAGAGTGGGTAATGTACGGCCCTGCATACAGTGATAATCACTCGTGCTCCATCCTAACTGCTGACCCACCGGGCTCGATTCAACCCCAACCACTGACCCGGGGTCAGAGGACAGCCGTGTTTATGTCCACAGGTCAGCTTTGTCCTGAGGAGAGTAACTCCTCTTCCAATGGCTCCTAACAAAGGAACTAGCATCTTTGATTTTTTATTAAATCAGGGGAGTATCATTTAAATATTTGGTGGAAATTTTACCACATGTGATGAGGGACAAGTCATTTAAATTGCTCTTTCTACGATTTATTCAAATACCAGTTTGTTAATGCAAAGGTACCAGCTTTTCCTTTAGCAATCCATGTACTGTGAATGTTATTCAATAAAATATATATATGGTATAATAATGTATTTACAATACAGAAAAATGCTCAAACAAACGTCAGATGCAGAACTGTAAAGATTTGTGAAAAGTGAAAACAGAATATTTTTGGATGATACCTGGAAGGCGGACAGGTCAAGCAGGGCAAAACTGTTGAGGAAGCGGATGCCTTGCAAAGCCACCTGGATGACCCCGGGGCCATAGGGCTCCTGACTCTGGGAAGAAGACTCTGGCGAGAAACTATGCAGCAGGATGCAATACAGCGTGTGCACCACTCCCACCAGGTCTGTGGACTGCAGCAGGGCCGTCAATCCAGTCGGGTCCTGGCGTTTATTGTCAAATATACTGGGAGCACTGGAGAGGAGGAGAGGGCGAGTGTGTGGTCAGCAAAACCAAAAATAAATGTGCATGCTCATAAATAAACACACACACATATATATATACCAGATACCAGGTTTTGTAGCATTTAGGTCTTTATTTGTGCCTTCATGCTGCTGGTATCATGCGAAAAAAAACAACCAAAACTGAACTTCAGACTGTTCACTCACTGGGACATCCCAAGACTACGGACACATACAGTCTAGACCTCGGCGGCTTCTAGATTTACTCCCCAGACAAGGGCTTAGAGATGACTTTCCCTTCAGATAAGAGACGCTACCCTGTTCGTACTACCTGACTTAACTGACTGCTGCGAGTGGAAGAGCACAGACTTTAACATGTGGAGCATAAGATGAAGCTGTGATCCAACATATCAAGATGCCTGTTTATTTATGGAATAACAGTTTTGCAGTCTTTATATGTGAGGAGCTTTTTAACTTCACTAGTAAAATTCACTGCCAGCCAGTTTGGGTGTAGCTGAAGAGTGGGACATTCAAGATTCAAGATAGCCTCTTCCGCTCCCTCCTCCAGCTACAGTAAACATAGTAATGCCATGACGTGAAGCTCATGGCAGCTACTTCAAGCTGGTGGATTGCACAGAGCTGCCTGACAAGGTGCTGAGTGCTCCAACTCATTTAATCAAGGCCTGCTTAAAAGGATTCAAGGCGATATGTTTGTTTGGTTTCAACAAGATGCCACCTTGTTGGTTAAGGGATCGGTAACACCATCCTGTTATTGAACATTACATTTAACACCAAAGCCAGAAACAACGCTGCTTTGAAAACAGGAGGTACATTAAATAAAAGCTTCACAGGATGGAGAAAAGGCCTCAGTCTAGAAACCATTTCTTAAAGAAAATTTGTCATGCTAGGAGCTTCAAAAGATAGAATCTAATCATAGAAAATGAACAATTACAACATTTTACCGAGATGAAATATGTATTATCTAATCATATCAGCACCTGCAGGATCAACTACACTCAACATGACTGCATTGTTTTGACATAAAAACCCTGCAATGATAAAGAAAAAGAGAGAAATGAATGCTTCAGTGTTATTCATTCTCTCCAGTATCAACGCGGACGACTCTGGTGAAAACCCTCGGCTAGTCCAGACAGACAATTTAAGACTACCGCAGCAGCACCGGCTATGATTTGCAGCCATGTAGAAAGGAGGGGGTGTGACCTCTGGATGGAACCTACAGCGCATGCTGATACTTGATGTTAGCCAACAGGCTCTGCGTGAAATATGCTGCGAGGCAAGAACACAGCCTTCCTAATGCCATTATAATCCCCTGACACAGCAACTGGCATGGCCAAAATATTCTTCGAGCCGATTGAGCATTCTTATACACACGGAGAATCTTGGCAGAACGGCGCTCGCTGGCTGCCGTATTGATCATAACACGGGTCTCATTAAACCTGCAAAGTCTGACACGATGTTTTCTCACAGATATTCAGTGACAAAACCGCCGTAGCCATCTTTCTGCTTTGCTGGTGTGAAGCAGCTGGTCATTGTTACTGCAGCACCTTGCAGCTGGCAAGGTGCTGCAGCACACTGGGCGACACTTCAAACGCAATGAGAAGATCATGGCGTAATGTGCTGCCAAGTGGTGCAGTAGTTATGAAAAGGAAACCTAATTGGCTGGATTGATACCTTGATTCTGCATCGACAATTACAATGCATAAAGCTTATTGCAATTGCAATTGCAATGCACAACATCAAAGCATATCTCCTTGCTACCGTGGTTTAGCATTTCCTTTTAAGTGAGGAATTTGGATACTGGCGTCCCTTGGTGTGACTGTGTGCGTGGCCTCTGTCAGCGGTGCCGCTGAACCTCTCTGTGTGGAGGTCACTGTAGCACACGTTGTGTGGGCTCCCCCCACGCTGCAGGCTAAGGTTTATGGTGAGTGACAGAGCACTGGGTCAAGTAGATGCCTATCTCTATGTGCAGTAACGACAGCTTAGCCAGCTAGCTGGCTGGAGGAAACGACCTGCTGGCTGATTGCAGAGGAACCACAGGCTTTGTTTGAGTAACCGGGATTCCCGTCGTTATGGATCCTCGTGACATTAAAGAACTGACGGTGACTCAGTCTCCGCCATTAGACGCACGGAGAAAAGTGAGTGTGTGTGTGTTTGTCAGAGGACGATCAATAGATCACACAGACGTTTAAACGTGTGTAAGAGAAATGCTCACCGTCCGGTTACGACAAAACACAGCTTACACATGCTGTGCAGCAGAGCCGAGGCTTGCTGGAGGAAAGCAGACATCTTGGGCAGCTCGTCTACAGGACCTTGGATCGACAAGAAGCACCCGTACAGCTTGTCGATCAGACCCATGTTCACTACATAGCTGAAAGAAACACACAAGAGAGGAAAAAAAACACGCTGTGGTTAATATCATCTTCCCCAAATGCACTATGGTAGACTTCCTTTGAAAAAAAAGCTCATCTCACACAGGCAAACAAAGGCCTTTACTGTGCATACTTCCACAGCACTGCAGCTGAAAACGGACACCTCACCTAAGCCCTCCACCCCTGCTATTACTGCGATATCTCCAATTTGTCTTTGCCAATGACAGGTCTCGTGATCATGTTCCCTGTACTCTTTCAGCCACAAATCACTGCTAATAGTGTCATTAGAGGGCTGTTGTGGCCCCTGTGCCAGCCCAGCTCTGGGGCCCTTGACACAGTGTGCTAACCTGGGGCCGTCTTCTCACAGCTCCGGTATGCTTGGACCTTCGGGCTCTGCTCAGGCACCAACAGCTTACAGAAATCGACACAGCACTACAGCTGCCAATCAAGGCTTTCTAGGAGCCGCCGTGGCCGCTGTGAAGCCACGGCTCCTCATCTAATCACCGTCTTGACTCTTCGCTTCTTTCGCATACCTTTTTTTGTTAGAACTGTCACTCATTGAGTTTCCTCTCAAAACAGGTGATTATGACCGTTTTCAACCTCCACTCCAGGTCATCTGACACTTGAACCGAGCCCCATTGTTTTGACTTGATCCTCTTCCACAGCTTTACGTGGGTTGAAAGGATCTTTCCTCACACCGACTGCTTTTGTGCGACGCCTGCTCTCTGTTTGACAACCTGCCCGGTGGTCGAACTTGCCGCTCGGCGCCTCAGCATTTACAACAATGATGGGGAACTAAAAGCACTGAAAGTCAAACTGAGGAACTGGTAATAAGAGGAAAGGAAATGGCGATGTCCTCTCTGTGTGATGTATGGGTTTGCATAATGGGAGAGTGTTGCAAAAGCCAAAAATGTTTTGATCTTTTGTCCTCACTAGCATATACATTATACAAGGCAGTTGATGTAAATCTCGTGCTCGTACTTGGGATTACCAGTCTGACGACACCATTTTTCTCAGGCCCTCCCCTGTCTCCAGGGTTACGACTGGGTCAGTGGATGAGAGTGGTGGGCCTGTGCAGCTGCTCCGACCAGATGAATCATGGCTTGTGGGAGTGGTGGTGGAAAGACTGCACTCTTCCATGAGGCTTCATCAGGCCGGGCCTGCCTTTCCTCACAGCCCACATTTCTCCAACGCGGCCCCAACTCCTACAGCCCAGACCCACATGGCTGGAGCTCCAACGCCAGGTTCAAGGAGGCCTTTCAAAGCTGTGGAAGTGCTCTTTGTTTATGCTACTTTGTGTGCCCCCCCCCCCCCAAGCTGGAAGGATGCCAGAATACACCCTCATTCTCACACTACTCCCATTCTAACAAGACACCAGGTTGGATCATTTCCAAAGAGATCTGACATTTTGTCAGCCAATTCTTTACATAAGGCATGATGAGGAAATCAGAGGTTGACCAACTCTCAACCCAGTGAAGAGGAGTGAAGGAGGGATGTACTAAAGAAGGTAAAAAGGTTGGGAAATGAGGGAAAACAAGGTGCCATGTAGGAGGAGGAGAAGCAGCGTCAGTAGTACAGAGCGTAGGAAGGAAAATACCTGATTAGGTCTTGTGTGCGAGTGTTGAAGGACTCTGTGGCAGAGCTCTTGACCTTGGCATCTGGGGAGGAAATCCATGTGTTTTCACCTTGTCCAGACTCAGAGATATGCGGCCACAGGGACCCGAGGATGGTAGCGATGGTCTGCAACAATCCCGTCGTCAAACCCTCAAAGACTTGTTTGTTCACACTGCGCCCGAAAATAGATTTGTCCTCATCTGGGACATATAGCTGCAAGAATAGAAAGGAAAATAATAAGGAAAATAATAATTAAAACTGTGTTCTTTGATAGATTTGATAACATTTAATGCAGAGGCTAATGTTAAATGACCGTTTTTTGTTTAGCAAAAGGATTTTCCCACATTGTTAGCCCATTACACGGTTTAGTGAGAATATTCACTAGTTTAAGGCCAAAAAGTAGCAGAACACACTCGTTATTTGTAGTAGCTACAGTAAAAGGCATACAGTAGCCGTTTAAGGCCTTTCCTCGGCCACACAAATGACAGAAAAGCCGGGGTACACGAGTAAAGATGTACCAAGAACAAGCTACACGGTGACAAGATAAAGCTCGTATAAAAAGGCTCTACAACTAAATTAAATAGTGTAGTCAGCCGAGCATTTCTCGTTTCATTTGCATTTCCAGACAAACTTGATAAAACACACAAGCAGAGGGCCCTGTTAAAATATAGTGCTACTGCGTAACATGGAAAAGCTTGCATAGGTAAAAGTTTCTCATTTGCTCTAATGGTTGGGTGCATGCTGACAGCAAAGGTAAATCCACCGACATTCTCCACAAATCTAATTAAAAGGGTACATGCTCATATGGCAGTGCAACCCCCACTGCTTTACTCTATTGCTTACACACACGCATACCAGAACATAGACATACACATGAACACACACTCAGTCAAGCAACGAAAATACAAAAATAACAAAATTAAAGCTGTGCGGAATTTGAAAACTTTATTGTCTCACTTGTAAATTTAATTACAATGTATCAAAGCATGAATAGCCTAATTCTTAATCTGCAGTGGACACATGGAGAACAGTTAGTGTGTCTCCTGCAGTGCTGTTGGATATGTCAGTCAGCAGAGCAGCTGCTGGGATATGTTTTATATAAACTGAACCAAACTAATCTCTCCCTGTGTGCCCTAAGGAAATATGACTTCTTTGGATTGGAACTCACTCACAGGAGGAGGAAGCCCCAGAAGAGTTCATGCATGTACCACAACCCTGTGCCTGTGCCTTGTCCTGTCTGTGTTGTGAGCGTAGGCGGCCCCAGCGAGCCGCCACCGTTAGATGTTTGGAGTGGGCTGATGTTTACAGTCCTTCTTACAGAGTGCTGAAGGATATGGGGCTGACATGTCGCCGCAATGCAGCCTGCCTGCCTGCGCTCTCACATTCCCCTCAGTCAGGAGGAGGCATCTGTGGAGAGGCTGGGCAAATGCTTTGTTACTCGCTAGCTAGATTGTGTCTTGCTCTGTCTTTCATTAACACTGTGGCAGGAACCGACACTAGCAAAGAAGGCAGCGGTCAAAGCACTGTATACAAACAGATTAACGTAAAGAAAACAAGGAAGGTTTAATAAAAAGGCTAAATGAATGTGTGGCTTCGCTACAAATACTTGATCACGCTTTGTATGCCCTGTATCTAAACCTATCCAACACCTTCTTCACAGTTACAGATAGCAAATTAGGTGGGAGGTAATCGCAATGTGCTGGGACGCATAACACTTACTGTTAGCTGATGCAGCAGCAGGTCCATGAGGAGAGCTATCTTGTTGCTAAACAGCACATATGAGCAGCTGGGGGGGCAGCAGGAACATGCCAGGTAGTAGGTGTTTACAGCAGCACAGAGGGACCTAACACAGAAAGATGACAAATGGTTACTGATCACAAGTAAAAAAAAAAAAAAAAAAAAACCACACCTCAAGGCAGGCTGCTACTCCCCTTGCAATCCGTTAAAGTAACCTCATTACTGGGATGTAAATGTCTCGCCCTGGGCACTGACAAGACTATCTGCAGTCATCAGGAAACCAAACACACTCTTCTGTATTTGTGGTTCCTTAAGGGGGCAGTTTGTCTTCACAAGTCAAAAGCATATCTCACTGACGGCGCGAGTAAGGAAGCCGATTTGCGGAATAAAACACTCATATCAGCTACTTATGTGGAGACTCCCCCCCCCCCCACCACAGCCACCTTCAGAGGAGCTGAGCGCAATCTCGGTCCCATCTTGGCTGAGATAGCTCAGCATTTCCGCCGGAGAGATAACACCACTCCTCTCAGCAGCTCCTCAGCATGCCTCTGTTCCAACACAAGCCTCCCCAGAAGATTAATGCTTCAGATAACTGGCCATCGTTCTGCTGTGACTGCTACTCCCCCCTCGCCTCCCGTTTCATCAGTTAATATTTTCTGACAACTGTATATTTTAGCCATTGGCAGAATGGCGTGTCCTATCTGCTCGCTGGAGGAAAGGAATCTGCCTCTCCAGTGCCTAAAGTAGGCCATGTTTATTTCAACTCGTAAACATTTTGATATCTACCGAAACCTTCACATCTGCTGCACGTTTTCGGTCAAACCACGCTGGCATGGGAAAGGAGAATAGATTAGGCGGAGGCAGACCCGGGTCTGTCGATAACTTCCTCCACTCTTTGCTCTGCATTCAGTCGTTCTGCTGCATCATTATTGACATTGCAGAGTACAGCTGTCAGACGTGGAACATGGTGTTAATGTGAGAAGCACTATATTCTAGTGATCGGATAGCGTCCAAATCTCACATCAAAGCTCACTTCCGTCAACCTGAAAACAATAACAGAGCAAAGGCCTCTTGCAAGTTGTTAATGTCCTACATGGCAGCTATATTGACAGTAATTTTATTAAAGCATAAAGACAGTGGAAAAAGTTAAACCGTAACGCTTAAGTGCACTGATTGAGCAGTCTGTGTGGAGCAAGAGGTGAGGTAACATGAGATCCCAACCAAACTGTGCCGTTTCCAGCCATGCGGCATCAGGACTCTCCATTTCCAGTGAACACGGGACGAAGATCAGCTTCTATGCAAATACCAAGATGGCAACTCATCTGCTTTCTCCTCAAATACCGTTTTATAATTTAATGTTTCAAATAGCTTATGAAATTCAAGCTGTGGTAGATGACACGTACATTTTATAAAAAGGACAAGAGCTACTTTAGTACGTTAAGTCACTGTCCTGGTATTTAAGATCATGTGCCTGGTGAGTAAAGCAGAGCACAATAGTAGGGATATCATATGACCTATCAGAGATAAAAATGACTAGGCAGGACTGACTTGATTACTGTCAAAGAGCTGTTTTCTGAACAGCCAGATAGAGTTCATCTTGCTCAATGGTAGTAGTCGGGTTACACCGGAGACAACTGAGATTTGATGCTCTCTTCCTTATGAATGTTTGTTGTACGTAAAGTATACCTGGGAAGCAGTACTGTCACCGTTTCTTTTAGAACAGCTTCAACCCTTCTTGGATTGTTGCCGTGCTAGCCGCTATGATGGGATATTCAATCGTTCATTCCAGAAGAAATGAAGAGAGCAATAATCTACTTTGAACTCTGAACTTCTCGTAAAGATTTGGAGAAGTTTTCGATCAGCTGACCCGAGAGGCAAAGCACTCTTTCGTGACTCAATAAAGTCCAACATGCCCAAAAAACATTTATCTCAAAAAAAAAAAATGCTAAAAATGTACGAACAAAGAGTCAAGGACAACTCATATCAAAACGTATTGTTTGTTACATTTGATACAGGCAGTTTCCACATGGCAACTTCACCAAAACCTATAATGAAATGATGTGACAAGTGTGTGAAGCCACTTGCAACTGTCGCTCTATCTACGTCAGACACCTTTTGACCACATTTTTCAAATGCAGTTTGTTACGGTTCGGCAAATGATGCAATGATTCCCGAGACTGGTCGCCTTGTCTCATACTACTTCAGAGTATAAACAGGGAACTCTGAAAGCTCAGCTTTATCACAAAAAAAGGACAAATAAGAAAGTAGTAGTACACACCAGTGATATTAAGGCTTTGAATTTAAACTCAAGGCATGGCTTTATTGTCTCTCTACAAACTGACAAGTATATTCTAATTAAACCACTTGACTTCTGTCACGACAGACCGGACCTTCTGGCTTCACAATCGACTCACTCAACTGCTCATGTAATGAGCATAGCATTGCTTTGAAGCACAACTAATCAGGCTTGTCTTTGGTCGTCTCTGAACAAATGAGGAGGCTGTCAGAGGCATGTCTGAGTTATGCCCTTACACCAGCTCGTACAATGAACCATCACAGTGATCTGTATTTGGTTTCCTCCCACCTAATTGAGCTTGATGAGCACGACACCTGATAGTCCGCCCTCTCTGAGATTCTCGCTATCTCAATCCCCCCCCCAATGACAGCTCCAGTCAAAGATTTTGTAAAACAATTTGGTAAAGTGCCACACCACCCTGTCTCACGTTGCACAAAAACTTTGGAGGGACCGATGTGTGCCAGTCCATCTGAGCAGGCAACATTCCTCCACCTACACCGCTACGGGTTTTCATTACTCTGAGAGATTGTGCTTCCTCCCAAAATGACCACAACCACAATCCATTCAGTGCATTATCACTCTTAGAACAATTCTGCTTTGAAGTTGGACTTAAGAATGGAAGTGAGATGCGAATAATGAGCGATGCAATCCGCCCATCTGCACCAACCAGCTTAAACTCACACAGCCAGGGAATAACAATTTACCTGCAAAGCTATTCAGATCCATAGAGACATGCGGCCAAGAGGTAGAGGGACGGAGCACATCTGATCCTGTCTCGCCCCTCTGCAGCCCTCTGGGGGCTCTGCCTGGGTGGCCAACAGGCCCATGCATGATAAGGTGGAGGCTTGGGTGTAGGGGATTAGGTGTGCAACTGACTCTGAATTTAAACCCTCATATTCAAATATCACTTTATCAATTTTAGTAAAAGGTTGATAGACACCGCTAGAAAAAAAAAAGACAAATAAGAAACTATTCCAGACGGTCATTATTTGTCCACAACAGGACTCGGAAAGCCTTTCACAGCCTGGTTAACTCTCCAGCATACATCAGAAGTAAAACATATAAACATTGTCCTCACAGAGAGACGTATGGTTAAGTCATTCATTATAGTAAATGGCCAACTCTCAACTCAGTTGACAACAGGACAACAAGCATGTAAAAGGGTCTTTATGCTTTTTGTCACTGCCTTCACTTATCAAGCCGGAGATCTGTGCTCCTCAACCCGAGTCTCACATTTCTCGCCCTCTCTGTGCGTTTCCTATGTGCGCAGCCAAGCCTGACCGGAGCGACGCTGCAGAAATCGGACCAACTTCCAGATCAGGTTGAGTCCCTTCTTCTTAAACAGGGTAAATTTGTGTTCAGGGGAAGAAAAAGAATCCTAAGCCAAAACAAAAGGTGAGGAGGCAAATCCATTTCCTTGTGCTGTCAAACAATCCCTTCATTCACTTCTATCTAAATGACATTTAATTTGATTCTGCTGTTGACTCTCCGATACCCTGAGTGCTTCCAAGACATCTACTCTTGCTGTCGTGCCACACTGGCCAGGTATGAAATCTGATGAGCCGTCACACGGGAGCAAAAGTGTGTGCACAAACACACACACACCCTCACAAATGGTGGAAAACATCCTGAAATAAAACCACAGGTAGCAGGTCTGATTTCACAGGATACGCCAGGTCATGTGAGACAGTTGTGGAAATACAAATTGGGTTAACACGCAATGTCCAAAGACTCCTAAACCCTTCACTTCCTGTTCAAGTTACCCTCATAGCTCTGCTCTTCTTTTTTAAAATCATTGGAAACCGTCAACAGACAGTGCAACCAAAACATTACTTTTGAATTAGATTTTAGCTCCCCATATTATCATTATTATTATAATAGGCGTTGGTTCTGTTCCGTTAGGTGTTTGGTGTTTAAAAGCATAAGTTGTGTTGGGTCTAGTGCTGATACCATTTACAAACAACACAGAGGTCTTCTCTTCAGTGACCCCTATTGGAAGCCAAATAAAGATACTAGACTACTATCTTTGACACTGGGTTTGGGTTTAACTAGCTAATAGAACTAATATGCAGTTTTCATAACAGAAAGACAAAAAGGACTCTTCCATCGAAGCCAACTACTGAAACGCAAACAACAGTTGGTCCCTTTATTTATTTTGTCCTTACTAGTTAAACAGTCTGGGGACAAAACAGCTCCAACTACATAATAGTGATTATATACTGAATATCCCTGGTACAAATGCTGGTACATATGACGGGTATACTGGGTACTTCACACAGTACAACATTAAATATATAGTTTATTAATCAAAGTATTGTTTTCAGCTCTGGTGTTAAGGTGACTTCAATGTAAAATAATAGCTGATTAAAATGGGAGTATTTACCGATTATTTTAGACTTCTATTTCTTTGTGAAAGTAATACGCAGATTGATTGTTAGTCGCAGCCCTAATTGGTCTTACTAAGAGACAGATATATGTTGAACAATAGCGTGATTTAAGCATATTAAAGCCCGTGAATATCAATCCCCAAGAACAATAATGAGCCTAATGAAAAGCTAATAAACTAATAAAATGAATGTGAAGTGATATTCATTTCGTTGCATGCAAACGTTTTGGATGTCATTGTGCGTTTTGTGAGGCATCATCTCGCCAGCAGAAGCTCAACTCTGATCGAGACATTCCAGTGACCACAGGGTTACACCAGGACATTAGCGGAGCCTCGCAGAGGAATTAGCTCATTAATGTAATGGTAACAATATGGAATCAGCCTCCCCGGGGAGAGATATGGCAGGAGCATCTCCGCAGCTGCCTTTTTTTGTAAATCACTCAGCTTATCTGGTAGGAGGAGGTGATCAATACGGCAGCATCGCTGTAAACAGATAATGTAGCGTACTCTGGGGCGAGCGTCTACATAGCAGCCCATTAGGCCACACAGCCATCCAGATGATTGATAGTGATAAGTAGACAGTCGGGCTGCGTCCTTGTGTTGCATCTCGTCACCCACTCCCAAACACGCTGACCCGATTGAGGTGCATCACGAGGTTTTGAAGGGTGACCCTCTCCTGCTGTTTACAAGGTTTACAAAACATGAAAAAAAAAAAAAAAATAGAGATTTGTTTGGATTCATAAAAATAAAGAGCCTTTTTATGTACACACAGTAGTAGCCTATCGCTGTAATGTAATAACAAAGCTAATTCATCATGGTAGAAGCCGTTTCAATCTACGCTACAGAACATCTTGCGTACAATATATACGTAGTGAGGATGAATGTCTCCACGGTTGCTGGATTGATGTGTTCATCGAGGGCTTATCACCGGTTTAGCTCTCGGCTCTCAGCTGGCAAACTCTCAAGGGTCCGGCAGTATTAGCAGCACAGGGGGAAGTGACAGGCAAGCCGGTGAACTGAGGTATTAAGCTTGATTCCAAACAAGCTACTGAAATAACCTATTAGGCCTCGAATATACCGTAGTGCGACTACTGCTAATCTCATGCTTGTGTAAAACTCCTCTGCAGAGAAACCCGTTTAGCCATTAGGGAAAGGTTCAGTTCAAGACCATACTTTTAGAATTATCTATAACTAGTGTGATAGCAACACAATGGACTAATCTTCACCTCCTGTTCCTTCACCGCGGCGTGTCAAGAAGATGTCTTAAAAGCCGAGGAGGTATCGTGTGCACTTAAGCTAACAACAGCGTCATGCACGGATGTGCAAACAAACGCTTTGTGCAAGAAGACAGTCTTTCCATTTAAGATAATAACATTTCTTTAAATTCAAAAGTCTGCTCGAAATTCCCCCAGATTACAATGATTGAGGAAGAGAGAGTAGAAGAAAATCAATATACATGTGATGCCCTTTAAAAGCCTTATAAATATAAGAAGCATTTGTCCATTAGCAGAGATTCAGAGACCAGTAAATGCTAATGAATGGGAGTGCAAGGCCATTCGAGTCCATTACAGAGTCCCACTAGTGAGTACGGCAGCCTCTCTGAGGTTATCTACTGGCAGGCCATGCAAACACCAGACCCACAACTCAAAAATACTCTGCACTCTAAATGATGGATAGGACACGTGTGCTTTTTGTGTTTCGAGAGAAAAGAATGAGCACAAAGTGATTACGGAAATGGAAACGCTCTCAATTTCTCGAACGCTGTTCCTCGTTTATACATTTTGAGGATATTTACTGAGACGAAACAGTTCATAAACAATGATAAAGTTGGTTCGTTGAGAATAGCTTACTCACTTTGGGCAATTGCGAAAAAAATACAAAGAGAGAGGAAATAAAGAAGTCTGTTGTCAGTAGGGTCAGACTGTGACAGCTGTTTGAGGCCTTGTGAATAAAGAAGAGTAGACAGACATCAAGCAGTATGTCGTTCTTTACCTTTTGTAAACACAATCAGAAACGCAATAATACAAATCTGATAATTCTTTATTATTTCAACACAAAGAGCTTTCAGTGTATTTGTACACGGCCAAAGAGAAATGTAAATATGCGTTTATCTAGATATCATATATTAATACTATATTTGATGAGATAAACACCATGGAGCAACATTTATGTGATAATAAATGTGTATTTTCAGTGGGGTCGTGCTGTTCATTATAGATCGTTCACAGGGAATATCTATCATTGCAGAAAATCCCTCCACACCTGTTCCCATCCTGACAATGAACCTAAATTTAGACTTACACCTAGTCAGCGAGCTCACGTCCACGCATGGCTAATGTCATCTAAAGAACAACTGGTCAGAGAGTTTCAGAAATCAAACTGTTCCCATTATAAGCTAAAGAGACAGCTCACCCTGCTGGCTTGAAACACAAACTTGATTAAGTCACGATAACAAACTTGAGCGTATCGCAATCATTTTTTGTTGTTTTTGAGTTGTGTGTTAAAATCACGGAAAAATACCCGAGCACACCATTTACTTTTATACATTCAAAGTGTATGATGATGTTAATTGAAATCCAAGTATTTCAATTTGGTAACTGTACTCACTTGAGAGGAATACGAGGAACTGCAGTGGGAGTGGAAGCAGCGGCAACGACCTGCAGAATTTGTTCCAGAGCCGACAGGCCGCCGCCTACTTGGAAGGCCACTTGGTCTGCATTGTTCTGTTGAGGCAAGGACAGAGAGGGAGAGGGAGAGAGGGAGAGAGAGAGAGGGAGAGAGAGAGAGGGTGAAACAGAGGTACAGTGAAAGGACAACAAGCCACAGGCTGGACAGGGGATTACATGGCTCTCACCAGAGAGGGAACCGCTCTTTCTCCAACAGGGGCGAGGGATTGAAATCTGAAACAAAGTGATCCCAAAAGTATTCCTGTTTAATCTCAAAAGTGCACAACCCGACTGCACCCTACAACAGTCAAGTTTCTGTGGACGGTAAATGCTCTGCAGGCTCCAGTTAGCACCGGGGTGGTCTCAACGGATCACCACAGACCGAGAAAACGTCACTTGGCCAAACAAAGAAGGGGGCAGCTACAGAACTACAATCAAGACAATCGATCTGTTAGGATAGTGTACTGAAAAAAACGTTCTTATCATAGTCACACCTAAGTTGAGAATGCATTAGATGTACTGAGGTAATAAAGATGCAGCATTTACATTATTTCACCTATTGCGTCAGCATTTACAGGGATTAAAGAGTGACGTAATCCTGTTAACACACTTTTCTTTAACCTTCAACACGATCCTGCCTCACTCGCGTGCAAAGAAGCTGCTCCAACACTTCTAGTTACTTTAGATCTAAAAGTGTTGCACTGATAGCGGACTTTTGTTTACAACATCATTTCAGTGTGTTTGACTAAATGGTACAATGCTTCGGCTCTAATGGCCTGTCACAAGATCTTCCTTCCTCTAAATCAGTGAGGACCTTTAGTGAAATAAACTGCCAAAAGTTTTTACATGTATTCTTTATAAACAAAATCTGTAGTTATTTTAACTTCTCACTTTCCTTATAACAGTTAAAAAACAGAATACAAACTAACCTAAGTTGCGAAAAAAGTCAAGTCCGGTCCATCAGATTTATGAACACATGTAAATAGTTAGGCCCTGCGCTCCTGTGATGATGAGTAATTGGCAGTAGGTCAGATGCTGTTGCTACAGTGTCTTATAAATCAACAAGTACAAAGACAGGAGCGAGCGCTGACTATCGGGCGTGTTAGTGCCCGGGTCGACGGGGAGGGAAGGAGCTGCTGATGGAGGGACAGAGGGCCGTGTTACACCGCGGGTCACTCCTACACCTAATGAGGTTACAGGCTCCTCGGTGCTGTGGCAGCACAGGGATCCAGCCTCTTCACAGCGCTTTTTGTTCTGCACATGGGAAGCTGCCAAACAAGCCTGAACACATTGAGAGAGAGGAGTTCTTTACCAAATTACAGATAAGCTCTTCATCTGTCATTCATGCTGAGGTAACTGCTCCTCGATTCAGGTGTTACACACACACACACAGAAGACACACTGAACAATCTTTTAGGGTTTTGGAAAAAACATTATCAAACACGCCAAAGACCCTTTACCTTTAACGTAATGAGAAATGTCTCAAAGACTTCATTTTGACTTTCTTTCTGTACGTTGCCAGCAGTTTCCATGCCTAATCAATTGGGTCTCAGTCACTGAGCTTGGCTTAACCCCTCGCTTAACCCCTCTCTTAACCCTCCCATCAACACGCCTACCTAAAAGCTTCTCGGCTAAATGAGAAAAGGCAGCTCTTTCATAGCAGCTTATCAAACGGTATTAAAGGGGGGAACTGGGACCTGCCCAGTCCTGGCCCGGGTTTCTTGGCTTGTCGCTGTCTTTTCTGCTCTGCTGACAGATTTATCTGTTGTGATGACGGAACAATACAAGTGAAGAGGATTAGGTTCAAACTACCTGACAGACTACCTTTAGGTGGTCTCTGCATGCAATGGTCCACAGAAAAAAACAAAGCAGGCACCAGAGTCTTACTGTGAGGACACACGTCTCACCAAAGACATAATGTTTAAAGTAAAGGTTTGTTTTGCAAACCGGCTCCGAGCTCTGTAAATGTTGATCTCCGCGCCGCGCAAAGAAGTCGACATTCTAAGCAAATGGGTAACGGTTTGTATGTAATTATGGGGACAGTGTATGTAGCCATTAAGCTGAATTTGTGTACAAACTTTATGAAACAATGTTTTCACCCAGCTCCACCCAGTGTTCTCAAACAGATACGAAACTTTGGAAAGTATATTTGTTAGATGAAATGAGTAATTATCAGTTACCTCTCCATGCATTGAGGCTATGAACAAAACCAAAGAGACTATTGGAAGCATGGGTGGCTAACAAATGTTAGCATGCTAACATGCCAAGATGGTGAACTTGGCAATCATTACACCCAATACATATCAGTGAGTAAGCATTTTCATTGTGAGCATGTTAGCATACTAAACTGCTTTTGAAATGTAGGCTAAGCATTAACCCTTGTTCTAACTATTTGTGCTAAGCTAGGCTAAACAATGTCCCAGCACTTCAGTATCTCTGTACTGAAAACACATGACATTGATATAGGTGATGGAATTCATATTGGGACTGTGGGTAAGACAGCCAACAACCATATTTCCCAAAATGAGCGTCCCATTAAGTTCCAATCTGTCAGTGCGTGGTCACACCCCAACAGAACACAGTAACAGGATGAGCAACTAGTTTCCCCTCAAACACTGAGGGCTGAGCATGAAGACACAAGCGAGGAGCATGGCTCCTGAATAATACAACGGGGGGAATCTTATCCAATTATTGTCCAGAGTGACCATTGTTACCCCAGCTGATGAGAGGCCAGAAGCAGCTGGTGATTCCTGCGACAGTGTCCGCAGACCAGCAGACCAGCCAGATTGCACTTCGTAGGCTCCTCCCACCAGACAATTTAATTAAAGCAGAGAGGAGGGCACCGCCTCAGCGCTGCCCCACCAACAGATGGACGACAACTGGCGGAGTTCATTAAGGACTGCGTTCAACTTTAGTCTGTACCTTCAAATCAGGAGTTCACTCCTTCACAACTGCAACCCGACAAAGACAGAGACAAGTAGGACACCCCTCTCCTTACACCAGTTTCATCATTATACTGCTTCCTAAAAAATCATACGAGTGGTAAACAAAGCTCTGTGGGCCGAGTCCACTGCAAACCACAACAAGGCTGCTGGAGTAAACATTTTAAGGTCGAGTATAAACTTGTGTGTTTACGAGACATGATGGCATATGATTCAGTGGACTGTGTGAGTTCTGGGCAAACATGGAAAAAGGATAATTCTACAAACTGTGTTTATTCAATAAAATCAGCCAAGATTAATCAAAGGCCAGTGTGGCGCAAAACCAAAGCTTCCACAGAAACCACAGACAGCCTCTAGCTGGAACAAATACACCAAGAAGCTCAGAACTATTTCACTCCCTATTTGTCTTGTGGTGAGGAAACAAACAGGACATTGTTTGGGGAAGAAATGACAATGACAAAATACAATTACATCAGAGCTGAAACTTTTAGATGATTTTCCATTCACGATTAAGCTAATTCTTTCAATTAATCATCAGATTACTGCACAACCAAACGGCAGCCTTCATTATAATGATACACATGTCTGATCACATCAGGGCTGGAACTAATGATTCAAATACTCTATGATTAATTTGATCAATAATCTCATCTAAATGTCCAAAACACTGACAAATATTTTATTATGTTATTATTATTGACAGATAGCGACAACGAAAGTCATTCACTCATTTTTTTTAAAACCGGGAAGTAATGATCAAACTGAATAGCATGCTGCTCACTTTTACCGCCTGTGACAACGTTCTGACGCTGCTGCTCTGGGCTGTATCTGTCAGTCTGCTGGAGGCCCGAGCTAGGAACCTTATTACCCACGCTGCCCTTCACCTTCCCCCACGTCCCAAGATACAACTCCCACCAGTCCCAACCAGGCTCTGACAGCTGGCCAAAGGAAAACGTCTTGGTTGTCAGAGCACCATGCTCCTGACAGTTCATACCTACACGACGTTCATGTTGCTCTGTTCTAGACAGGCTTCAACTGAAACCATTGGGAAACACAAGTGCTCAGTAATAAGGCAAGAAAAGAGCAGCACATCGGGAAAATTGATATTCTCAATCACTGTGAGTAAAGAAAAAAACCAAAATAAACCATTAGAGGCCTCAGAGGGAGAAACACACTGGGGTCAGAGACTAGACGTAGCCTAGAAAGCAGGGGAGGACTGAGGGGAGGGTGGGACCCAAACAGCAGTGCAGGAGGGGGAGTGTCGGGTGTTGTCTAAGGAATTAGTAGAGAAAGTGGAGACTGAATCAGATATGGGGGAGAAAAACAAATCTCTAGGTGAGTCAATGACATGAGAGATGCTTGTTAGGTCAAATAATCTAAAGGGTCCCGACTTGATGTGACTCAGGGGCCAGACAGCCATGCTGACGGAGACTCTATTTATTTGACTTTGTCCAGGGATTACAGAGAGAAGTGCTCCCTAGGCTGCCTCGTCGGCCAATCGCTTTGCTCCTCTCGGCTTCGGCTGGATATTTCTCTAAGAAGCTGCTGAAGCAGAACTTGACAAAACTTGCTTTTGTGCCGAGGTAAAAGAAAGACAAAGCAAAGGCACCCGGACGGAGCCGCCTCCTTCACAGCGACACCGCTGTTGAATAGAGCACATCTACTGTGGCCCAATGACCTCTGACCTCCCACTGGGAGTACGTGGAGCTGAGGGGAGGAGCCCTCATATAGTGACAGCTTGTGAGCTACTCACATCACACTGGTCTCCTCCTCTCTCTTTACGGGACGCTGTGCCACCCACCTCAGCCACTTCTTTCTTCGCCCCTGGGGAAATTCGGTAATAGCCTATCCAGCCGGCCCCCCTCGTCACTGATGGGATACCATAATCTCTCAGTCCTCACGCCCAGAGGCATGCACAGTGGGATGTTATGATGGCTCGAACCGCAACTTGGCAGGAAATTTATGCCTCATTACAGGAAGTGGGCTGTATATTCTCCTCATCATAAACACGGTGGCAGGTGTTTTAATTCCTCCTCTCAGTCTAAAATTGATGCGAGTTTTACCGTTAAAAAAAAAAAACCCCATCATGCAACAAAACCTCTGTGACAGATGTTTCAAATCAACTATAGTTATAAATGTCTGCCATTATATCTGACAATTATATTTATTTATACAGCTGTATGAAGTGTAAGAGAAAAGGCAAATCTCTGAAAAAATGTCAAATTCACTTGCCTTTGTTCAATAAAGTCTCGTGAATTCATGGCATTTCATCTGGAAATCCAATTTACTATTGTCTAAACCAGTGACATCTGAGTCGTGCGAGCCCCATAGACACGAGACAATGCTCGCTCTCGTGCTGGGAAGCTCCTCTATTGGTACCATCTGCACAATGAAAACACAGCTAATCTGGTCTTCATCAGCCAATAACCAAAGGCAAGTTGGTTTGGAGTAAGCGATACTCTACATTGGGAGGGTGAGACACGGGGCGACACAGCCAAACACGACTCATCAGGGAGGAGACATGCCAAAGGGCTGGCATGACCTGTGCACTACTGCAGACTGCTGCAAAGCAGACCGGCACAAAATGCACCAGAGAGGATGTGAACTGGTAACAAACTATTGAGATGGACATCTATGGTAAAAAAAAAGTAAGGGTATAGGTGCATAGAACAGTTTGATTATTAATATACAACCAATATCTTAGAACCACCTCACTAATAAAAGACACGTATAACTCATTCACGCTGTCTATTGTATCTATGGGATGGGTGTGTTGCTCTACCTGTTTCTCTAAGATGCGAGAGATCTCTCCCAGAGTTCGGTCCAGACCAGACACTTTGTTGTTGGCGCTCTGGCCGCTGTCTTGACCCTGCAGCTGCTTCAACAGGTCCTTCACCAGGCGCTGCAACCTGAACACACGAGAGCCGATGGAGGTTAAAGATCCGTTCACAAACACCAGATCTCCATCCGTGTCTCCACGCTACGTCGGCCAACTTCTATCCACCACAGAAGAGCTGAAAATCTTACTTCAATGTATGATTAGTCAATCAACAGAAACAGAAACAATTTTGATGGTAATTTATCTGCAACAATTTGGATCATTTGCTAAGCAAAATGCCAAATTGTGCTTATTCCTGCCTCTGGAATGTAATGATTTATTTGTATTTGTTTGTGTGTGTGTGTGTGTGTGTGTGTGTGTGTGTGTGTGTGTGTATATATATATATATATATACACACACACACACACACACACACACACACACACTATGTATGTATGTATGGATGGATAGATGGATAGATAGATGACTAAATGATAACACGGAAATGATATAAAATAATTGTTAGTTGCCGCCCTACACCAAAGCTTTATAGTCACTAGAGTAAATTATAAAAAATGAAGTAAACCTATGAAACTTTAAATTGTGAAAAGATAAAGACTTACTTGGCCTTGTACGGGGACTCGGGGACCTGTGTCTTTGCCTCCACTGACCGCTCATATTCCTTCGCCCTGCAGGAGGAAAAGTAGGAAAAAGTCTTTGACTACCAGGAAAAAAGTGTTTGGCCCGTCAGTGAAGAACACAACGGATGAAAGTGTGAAGAGATCGAGAAAAAGTTCAAACTGAGTCTGTTTATTTGGCCTGTCAGCCGCTCACCAAGTAACTCTGTTTAAAATAATCAGACACCGGCTCTGCAGGGACGAGTGTTTGGCTGCCATCGACTTAACTCTCCTTTTAAAATCCGCCTTCCTTTGAGTCGTTCTTAACAAGGGAGGCTCAAGTTCTTCACTTCACTCACTGTCAAATAAACAGTTAAAGGGGGTTACGAGCAGTGTTTTCAATGCGAGACCTCGTAAAAGGTCATGGTCATTAGGGGACCGGTATCTACGGGGCACTGCTCCAACAGCCAGACTCGGAGAAACACAAACCCTGTTCTTGTGTGTGGGGGATTCTATCTGTCAGTCAGGTATTCCCAGACATGATAAGTAACTATTGATCAGAGTGAGATTGAGCGCCTTCCGGTTACCCATCTCTACACTGATAGGATCACAAAGTTCCTGGAAGACGACAGGTGGATTTGTCCCGGCAGGCCGTACGTGGATCGACCAGACCCTCATCCTCTAATCACAATCTCTTGTTTTCAAGGACGGTTCTCGAAAAACAACTGATAACTCACCTCACATTACATTATTATTATACACATTACAGTCATTTAGCAGACGCTTTTATCCAAAGCGACTTACAATTCAGATTTTATCACATTTCTACACCGTGGGCACAGCTACAGGAGCAATCTTTGGGGTTAAGTGTCTTGCTCAAGGACACATCGACATGCGATTAGCAGAGCCGGAACCGGGGATCAAACCACCGATCCTCTGATTGAAGGACGGCCCTGCTATCCGCTTACCCACAGTCGCCCTATAAATAGATGCATCTGTTAAAAAACGGTTGTTAAGATTAGAATTTTAAAAAAGCAGCCCTGTCTTATCAAATACTATACTGTTCTTCATATTCAAATATCAAGGTAAAAATCTCAACATGCAATCAACAAGACCGGCCATATTTCTATCAAAAAGAGGAAAAGAAAAACGCTATCACTGTATTAGAATCTCAATAGAGCAGGTTGTGATCGAGGATAACAATATACATTCATTGTATAGTTATGCTCCGTGTCCGGTGAGCAGGATAAATGAGTCGCACAGAGTTGCTTTCAGAAGGGCCTGAACTGTATCCGCCCTGTTTGTCATTTATGATATTAAAATATTAATATCAGACAGGTTTATACCTAAACAGGTCAAACAGGGAGCAATTGCAGAGCAATTCATTACTGTCAGAAGCAGCACATGTTGGGCCTCCAGCAATAAATATCAGTGATCAGCAAGAAGAGAAAACACAACTATATAATCAATTTAAACAGTTTATAACAAAACAGATCTCAACTCATTTTACAGAGACACACTCCTCTCCAATGCTGCAGAAACACATTATTCAAACTGCGACGTCAATGTACACAACACAGACCTAGAAAGCAAGCCAGGCATCAGTTCAATGGCAATAAAGAGAACTAAAATTATACTAATACTTCAATAACTCAATGTACTTAAACCCCATGTAGCTTGCATATGCATTGTTAAGGACGTAAGTTAATTCACGAGCAGGACCGTTCCCCTTAATCTAGGGCAGCAGATGCTAAAATGAGTTAGGTCATGCTTACCACCTCATACTGTATATACCATTCTCCCTGCAGGAGTTTCTTTGCACACACACACACACACACACACACACACACACACACACACACACACGCACGACTCTGTTCCCTGCAGAGCAACCCACAAGCAGCCAGCTACAGACAAGCAGCTTGTACCGGAGCATAAGTGGAGACCATCCTGACACTAAGTGACAGACTACTTACGTGAAATTTTAATAGCATTTTTTTTCTATCGCACAACACTTATCATGAAAGGTTTGCCAAACCGCTAAAAAAAGAAAAAAAAAAACTTGGGTTAAAAAGTGTTTTCGCTGCTTTATGACAGAGCAAGGCTGCAATGCTGGCCTGGTGAGAAGCACTCACGTTTTACGGACACCATACGGTGTTCCAATAAAACGCTTCATTTCCACCCGGCGGTGAAGCGGCTCACCTTTATGTTTACTGGCACTCCGTGTTATTTATGACCTCTGAAAGCCTGCTGCCTTTGAGTGCTGGTCTCAGCAGGGCCGGCGCAGGAGTGACGGTGAACAGGGACGGATCATGTTGTCACTTCCTCAGTACCGCTGAGCCTCACAAAGCCTAGAACAGCAGCACTGAGAATAAAGCGCTGTAGCGGCTACAGGGTTTCGGCCTGTAGCCGCTACAGGGTTTCGGTCTGTAGCCGCTACAAGGTTTCTGCCTGTAGCTGCCTCTTTTGAGTCTTTTTTCCTGAAAAGCCTAATAATAATGAATTCTCTTATTAGAGACCAGAGGTCAATCATGACAAGAGGTTGGAGGCTCTATTAGGATCAATTAACTTATGTAATAGTTGATAACGGTATAATTGGTTTACTTATGTCCAACTTTTAAGACCACATTATCAACAAGCCCTCCATTATATTGTAAATGGACGGCATATTTTTGGACACTGTTATTTATAGACTATTGTACTTGTCTGCTACACACATATTTTAGGTTTACATTGTGTTAGTGATTCCTCTGCCACCGACTGAGATTGATAGAGGCCGTATCTTACTTTGTCTCTTTTCATTATTGTTAGTATGCAACGTTCCTGCCTTCAGAGCGTATTAATGTCTCAGATATTAATACTTCCAATAATCTGCATCAATAACATCTTACAGGAAGTATTGTCAGGATTGTGTCTCTCTCCTCTCCCTCTCTGTTGTGACGGCCAGTTAAATTGATTGAGCTCCAGGTCCGGGTTCTGACACACAAGCAGCTATGCCTCCTTTTTGTTGATTACTATTGATTTTCTTTGATACTTCATTTAAAAATCAATAGCTCAGAAGAAGAAAAACAGGCATGGCTCATACATACTTCAACAAACATCCTGTACACAGAGGAAGGCTTCAGATTTGGCAATGCCATGGCAGCAATTTGGAGGAAAGCTCTTTGCAGGTGAAAGCTGGGGCCCAACAGATCGATTTGCAGTTTTGCTCCCCAATCCCAGAAAGTGGTCATAAATTAAGCTCATCAGTGTTACCTTGTGGACAGCCAGGATGCACATAACATCTGCTTTCCATCTCCTTGTCACTCATAAAAAAAGGCCTGGCAAAGTTTTGTCCTCTGCACCTCTGACAGGATGCCGAGGGAGAAAAGGAAAGAGAGGGAGAGAGAAAGAAAATGGATGCATTACCTGGAGTTCATTCTGGCACGGAGCTTCTTAGCTTTCTTCCGTGCCTTCTGCCTCTCTTCTCCATCCTTCATGCTCTCAGAAGACACAGAGCTGTCCGTCACTATATCCACGATGTATTTCTTCAAGGAAAGATGCTCCTGGAGTAGACAAAATCAATACATCAAAGAGATTGCAGGCAATTGTAAGAACCATTACTTATAACAGGCTTCTAAAATAAGCTATCGTGTCTGTTTTTGGTGCAAAAACAAGCCCATAAATCACTGGTGGAAAGTAAATAAGTACTTTTACTCTGTACTGACAAACAGTTTTAAGGTACTTGTACTTGAGTATTTCCATTTTCAACCCCAGTATATTTCAGAGGGAAGTATTGCACTTTTTACTGCATAAATTTATCGAAAATCTCCGTCTATTTACAAAACACGTAATCAGCTTATAAAATAAAAAGTAAAGGCTCGGAATACTTCTCCCACTACTGTACAGAGAACAGGAAGACGTTCTTCTAGGAGCAGAGGTTGTACACTTCAGATGTGGCACTGAATGTATAGTGTGCCATGTAGATCCATACCGCTCAATAACGCCATAGTATCCTGTAATTACCCCCAATGCTTTAGTCTTTTGAAGCCGCTCGCCCATGGACCATGCTAAAAAGGCTGGAGGTGTTGCCTCCTGTCTGGCCCTGTCAGATGACTCGGATATTTCCACCAGAAGAAAAGGGAATGTAACCCAATTTGAACAACACTGTGCATGTGCAAGAAACCAATTACCCAATTATGCTGTCATCCAGCACCCCGGAGGATAGGACGGCCTCACAGATAAACGGTTTCCATTCAGACGTCGAGCTAACCCGTGCGTGGGATGCCGTGTACCCGATGGTCACGAGTGTCGTCAGTACACCTGCTGCCTGAATTGGGTTTTCACTTCTCAAAAGGGCGAGAAAACCTGTTTTCTAAACGAGCTTCTTACTATAAAACTGAACCGTTTTGGTTATCTTACATGACACATATCCTGTGGTTATATTGTTGTCTGTGCTTCATTCAATGTTTGGAAGTCGGCGGGACTCCATTGGGAAAACGTGGTGTCACATACATGCTCATGTTGCCAGCAATTTCAATCAAATCTGCTTATACCACACCAAAACATTCCTAATGGTGCAAATTGGCTTTTGGGAGTAAAAACCCCCTGTTGTATATATTTTATAAGAGTTTTATTGTTGTGCACTTAGTAATGCTTATTCAATATTATGGAGAAATATGTCAGATTTGAAGCACCATCTTACGGAGCTTTAATTTCTATCAAGTAGTTAAGATCAAGTAACTAACTTAAGAACTATTTTAGTCCTTTTTTGGGGCCTAAAAGCAACAAGAGTAAAATAGGGGGGAGAAAGATGCTGATATGAAGGAAGTGTGTGTGTGTGTGTGTGTGCGCACACCTCTGCCCTCTCCTCCAGGATACTACAGGTCAGTCATGACTCATGGCTGTAGCGGTCCCTCTCATGGGAGGCAGCTGTTCAGTAATCTCTCTGAGAGGCTATCCAGTGCACAAGCCACTCACTTAATGGAATTTCTCAGTAACACATCCAAAGCATCTTTGCAAAAATCACACCTGTCACATAAAGGGCTACCTGAAATATTAAGCTGTCAAATATAGTATAATGCTGACATAGAGACCACGATACCGACTATGAGAGCAAATAAATATATAATGACTACATCCCATTTCCTGTTGCTGGGAGGTGAGACAGAATGGTAGAAGTTGTTTGAGACAATCAGACTCGATGACAGACAGGTGCCAACCACTGAACCGTTGTAACAAAGCAGCAAAGACGCTGGCCTGAGGGCATCGCTACCACACCACAGATTGCCTCTGGTGGGAGGAATACGATACCGCTCTACACGTCTCTCCCTTTCCCCGACTACACAGATCCAAAAGGCTCCCACACAAATACAGATTACATGGGATATGTTCATCCACTGCCTCTTTTGTCACACACAAAGGCCTGAGAGGTAGGCTTTCCATTTGGCGTGAAACAAACAGCTGTATTTCATGCCGGCTACTAGATAAGATGCGCAGTGTTGAGTTACCATCAGGACAGTGGTTTACATGACATTTTTGTATTGAACTGCATACTATCAGTGACATTTAAGGAGGGGACGAGTCACTCAAAGACAAAAAAAAAAAAAACAACCTCAAAACTATTCACTGGTTCTCTCTTTCAACAGCAGCTTCACTGCTATAACTAGACTAATGTCAGATCTCAAAACAGTCTGGGGGGGAGAGGCTCGCTTCAGCTGGCAGTCTGGATATTTCATCAAGGTTCGCAATTTGTGGCCATCAGCGCAGCTTTGACGACAAGAACTTCAGCACTATTCAGTGCCTTTGGGAGCTCTCATACCCTCTATTGGCCGTGCTTACTGAGCACTATAGACAAGCAGAAGAGCGTTTTTTTTTTAGCTGTCGTGTCTAAAGGTGATCAATAAATAAAGTCCTTATGTCAGAAGCCATGCGTCTTGAATATTACCTGCAGCGTATTAAACCAGGACAGATAGCGGACGAAAAGAGCAATTGCAGTTCTCAAGCTCCCTCCCCATACATGGATCCCACCCTGTTGATAATTCTGGTATTTTTCCAATTTAATTCACAAGTCAAAATGAGAGGAAGTGACCAAATATGAAGGCGCGGGGCATCTGCTGCTCGCTTCTTCTGCCGAAAAACTATAGAGTGACCTCTGCACAGTTGAACCAACCGTCTTCATTTTAATTAAAAATCTTTCATCGCCGGAAGAGTTATGGAGCCGCAGTCTGGAAAATAGCTGGCAGTGGTATAAATGAAATAGTGGACACCAAAATGAGCTTTGATATAAATAACAAGGAGCCACATAAGTCTATCTAAACAAAGTCTCCAGGCGTAGATCTATCGGACGGCTTAATATACTTTCACATAGAGAAAGAAATAGTAGTTCTGGACATCTAAATATCATCTATTAGAGATGCTACACTGATTAACAATCCAATCCAATAACAACACACTTAATACAGACTGTTCACATTTAGATTTAGCCGGATACAGAACAGGACAAGGACGACTTTCAGCAAGGGCTTAAACTTTGACTGATAAGTATTGACAAAAAGACAATTTAGAAGCTGGGAAAACAGTAAAGCCTCAACATTATGGTTATCGGTAAAACTATATCATATGGAAAGAGACACATTGCAAATGTATATGCTCATATATGGACTGTTCATAGTGCTATATCGGTGAAGTGCCTTGTTTATCATACTATCAAACTGAAAAAAAAAAATGACCTGCATTTGTAAAGGAAATGATTTAGAGGAAAGGAAGGAGGGGGGTATCAATTATTCCTCGCTGGAAAAAGCTTTGAATGAAGGAGCTGCTGGGGCCAAAGGTGCTGCGTATAGCACCAACAGTTGTCAGCCTCACAATGAGCACTGCTGAAAAGCCAATCTCATATTGCAGCCTGAGAGGTTACCTTGCGTTAACGAGCTGCCTTCCCATGGAGAAGCGCTTAGTGACAAAAAAAAAAACGCCCGGAGACGAGGGGGTGATGTCACCCCTCCACTGAATCACTGAACCCTAACTGTGTACATTTCAAGGCCCATTTGTAACCGCACAAAGCCAGCGACGGAGCCGTGGCCGTATACAAGGGGATGCATAAACAATAATAATGACCACGTCATAAAAAGACAACTACGGTGTCTCTTTGTCTTTTAACATGACACATGCAGCGGTAATCTTTGACAGGATGAGTGGACGTTTGTTCCTGGCGGGGTGTGTGTGTGTGTGTGTGTGTGTGTGTGTGTGTGTGTACGCACCACTTCCTCGTCAGAGAGCTCCCGTCCTTGGATGCTGCTACTGTCTCGCACGGCCTGTTGGTGCCTCTTGCCCTTGGTGTGGCTGAACAGGTGCACCTCTGAGGTGATCTACAAACACAAACACGGTGGTCAGAGGTCACTGCTGCGGACACAATGGAGACAGAGGCAGGGAAGGGTCAACAGAGCCCCGTGGGATTCTGGTGAAACAATATACCACATGGGCTTTTCTTTACCAATGGGACATGACCTGTGTCTTTCCTGAACCTCCGTTTAAAGCAAAGACTAAGGCGAGGAAACGTGATGTTATGTGTAACTTGGCGATACAGATAAGATGCCTTCATGAATGCATTATCTTGTTCTTACAATACTAGTTGACAGAGTGTAGCTGTAGAAACCACTCAATACAACAACTCTCTTCTGGGATCATAATATATATTAAAAAAAAGACCTCAAAATGCCTTATTTCTTTTTCAAAAATAATATAATAATTAGCTTGGATTACATTGTAACTCAGTCAAATATTGCCAAAGGAGAGTTGTGGACTAGATGAAATAAAAGGTCTGAGAAATGGCCACAACACAAGTCAGGTGTATAGCAAGCAGTGTTGTTCTGCCATCTCTGGAAACCAGCCCATTTCAAATGGTTTGTGTTCAATGTCATTAAATGAAGTGCTCGCTGCTGATCCATCCATGATCTCTGGTGTCAGATGCTGGCCAAGGTCATCCAACATTTTAACAAGATTTCCCCCTTTGACTCCCAACCCTCCTCTTTACCTGATGCTGGTTTGAAGACTCAAGGTGTCCCACCCCCCCCCTTGTTGCCGGGGAAGCCCGTCCATCAGAGATAAATATGTCTGCTTGTGGATTTGTTGCCTGACACTCGAAAAAGAATAACCATGCCCAGTAATAAATCTTTGTTTAAGAGTCCATGTTTAATCAATGCGGTTAAATCCTCATTTAAATGCGCCCTCTTCCAAAAATCCTCTGAATCACCTTCCTCAGCATTTTTATGTACAACCAGTCTGCCAGTTAACATCGCGGTTATGCTGCAGCATGCATCCTTCTTCTTTTCTTCACACCCATGTGTACATTTGAAAGTTACCAGGACTTTGTGTTGTATTGAGGACGTGGAGGTTGTGGTGTTAGCAACATAGTGTATAGAAGTTAGGGAGACCAACATGAGCCCTGACGGGATGAAACTGTACATACCATAACACAGCACAGGGAGCACTGTTTCTTGCGCTCATAGGGTGTCAGTTTGGGGGCGTAGTCTGTGTTAGCATGTCGACCGCTGCTGAGCTCAGCAGCCTTCTCCTTCCTCTGCTCGATTTGCTCCATATGCCTGCGGCTGCTCTCATCATGCTACGGAAGAAACCAGAAAACCAAGGATCATGTGGGAAACTGGGATTCCTGTACGGAGTCCAAATGGAAATGTCCTGATTTAAACGTACCTTCAGCTGTATTTTCTTCTGCAGCTCCTCCATGGCCTCCTGTTGAGCAGCACTAAGAGCAGCCAGACGCTCTTCTCGATCTCTTCAGATACGACATAGAAAAGCAGTGTGAAACAACTGTACATGTAAATACAAGTCTCACATTTATCAAAGTAGCCACCTGTGTACACATACTTCCATACTGAAGGGATTTGGGAATACATACCTGGCTCTTTCCCGTGCTGCGTCTTCTCGAGCTCTCTCTTTTTCCTGCTTCTGCTGTTCAATACGAGCCTCCTGCTCCTTCCTCCGCACCAGCAGCTCCCCCACCCGGGCCTGCCGCTCTGCTTCCAGGACCCGTTTACGCTCCTACACAGGAAACAGAAGATATTGTTGAAGATGCACCCAAATGTGAAAATTTACGTTTAAGTACAATTATTCATTTCAAAATCAAGTATTGATTCTTGTAGCACCTGCACCGCCTCATCTCTGGCCTGCTTCTCCTCCTGTCTCCGCTGTCTCTCATCCTGCAGCTCGTTGAGGCGTTGCTCATACTCATTTAACTTGGCCAGGGCATCGTGCCTCTTGTTTTGGGCTTCCAGAGTGTTGATGAATGCGATTTCATTCACCTGTACAGACACATATACTTATTACCGAGGATATGAACATGAACACACACACACACACACAGTATATAATATTTAAATAAACATAAACACATGTACACAGAGGCGTATCTAGCCTAAATGTAAGTGTTGAAAAATTCTTTGAGCTAGAATCAACCTAACTTACACAAGCAACCCACATCACTCTGTTTTCAGGGACATTGTGTATGTATGAAAGAGACATTTGAAGCTGTAGATTTCATGTTTTACATTACACTTGATTTAGAAAATTCCTCAGCTGTCACATGTATATAGTTACTGCATTTCCCTCCTCTACCTTGGCCTCTTCTTCTTGAGCCTTCTTCACAATCGCCTGGAGCTGAACCTCTCGCTTTAACTCTGCGTGTAACAGCTTTTCGTCCATCATCCTCCGACGCTGCTCCAACAACTCCTCCTTCCATTTCCTCACCTCCTTCTCCTGCAGAAAGAATTATGTACATTATCTAGGACAACACAGACAATGGATTCATAATCTTTCAGTTGCAGTGTGTGCACATGGGGATTAATGCAAATACACAACACTTTATGGTTTTATGTGGTTAATTCTGATTTATTCTAGGTCTCACTCATCTTGCCATGGTCTTGAGAACAAAAACAAACTTCATGAAAGGCTGTTGATTTTGGCCAGGGGTCTCTCTCATGACTGTCTGCGGCCAGCTGGCCTGGATGCGACTTGAGGGGGTTGTAATATTTAGCGATTCTATCAGGCAGCGTGCTGACAAAACCTCTCATTATGAGCCAGGCTGGGCTTAGCTTGCGTAGAGTTTCTTCAGGGTGCTTTCCGTCAACTCGGCATGTTGTACTCACCCTCTCCAAGAGCTTCTGCAGTTTGAGCGTCTTTTCCTCCCGGAGTTTGTCCCTCAGCTGCTGTGCCTTCAGCTGTTTCTCCTCATGTTTCTTCTTTGACTCTGCAATGGTTCTGTCACAAACATGGAAACAAATCATTCATCTCAACCTCCTTATCAACAAAGGCAGACGTAGACTCTGATAGGCACTAGGGCCTGTTTAGACGTTCTGGGTGGTAACCGAAAAATAAAGAGGTCATATGCAGTAAGTGGGCCTTTGACTCTCAGGCTGCTGGGTTAAATCCTTGTCAAAATAAGGTGAGGGGATTGTGAACGAGGAGGGCGCTAAACAAGCAGAGAAGCTAATTGTACTGTGCGGATGCTGTCCGTGTGTTAGAAACAAATGAAGCTGTTGAAAAAGGGGCAGATGTGCTCAACCAATCACGGCATAAAGAAACTGTTTTGCACCTTTTGCGTGATGGTGAGGACAATTTCTCGTGCATGTGGATTCCATGTCCAGGAGGCCGAGCGGGTTCTTCCTCTACTATGTCCCCCCATGAGGTACTCTGACGCCATGGCTCACGGGCTACAGGAAAGACGAGCAAGGAAAACAAACGGATCAGTGTCGTGTTTGCCATTACAAAGAATGAGAGCTCAGTTTTTATTCAGATGTTGACATCCATACCGTCATAATCCGCCAGCATTTCACACCAATCAATATTGACACCTCCAACGCCGTTGCCGATGCTAGCCTGTGGTAAACAAATGTGTTGTTGATACATACAACATAAAATAAATAAATAAAAATAATCTAAACATGTACAGTATAAATGAGCAGGATTCATCTTACAGAGAAGTCTGTTTCGTTGTCAGTGTCCAGGTCGTTGTTCTCGGCCTGGATCTCTCTGGTCAACTGCTCCTCCTCAGCAATGGCGCTGGCAATCGCCTCCTCGTTGGCTTTCTCCAGTCGGTCGGCAAGCTCCTCTTTTTTGGCCAAGACCTCGGCCATGGACTGTGGCTGAACACATGTGACAGATACCAGCTCACACACAAAGCATTTCACACATGTTGAGTTCATACAAACGACCGCTGAGACATTACTTTTTTTTATATATATATATATATATATATATAGTTTGCCTGTTTTCTATCATTGCTTACATTATGCCAAAGAGCAGTTTCAATACTTCTGCCGCTCTCTATAGGTCAATTATGTTGACAAAATATTGAAACCCCTTTGATTATGATGCAGTATATATATATCACACCAACTAAAATAGAGCAGACATTTCGATTTTTCTCGTAAAGGAGTACAAATTATGAAATATCTTAAGTAAAGAAATGTGGTAAATATTTCTATTTGAATGAATAATATTCAATGTGCAGCACCTGTAATGCTACAGTTCAGCCTCTGTGCAGTTGGTTTAAACACTGAACACCATATATCAACCCAATCACAGTTTGTACCACACAATCATCACAAGTGAGGAAGCATTCAAGAGTCATGCAGGGCACATTTACCGTGAGGATGAAGCGATGGTGACAGGAGGAGACTGATGGTTTTGCCACAAGGAAACCGTTTACTTCAACCGTAAAAGTATTTTGGGAGTTTTCATGACATGGCAATGATAAGCGAATGACTCAGAGACTACTCCAGAGCAGCAACTACTCTAAATGAATTATAGAGCCTTCTCAACAGTATGTGTCTTTTATACGAGGTATGCATGGGAAGGTTTAGAAGTTCTGGATTTAAATCTTAAGCACACAGGTATTGCCTGTACAAGGTCAAAGACGAGACTGGTGTTAAATTTGAGGCCAAATAGCCTTCACGGCAGATTCCAGTTCAATTCACAAACTGTCAAAATCTGACAGTATCCCATTTAAAGGTGTAGTCATCCATGATTAAGTATACGGAGCACTTTGTTTGCACACTCCATGACGCTTAATAACAGCGACAACACCTGATGTAGGTGGACAGTGCTTGCCTCAGATCAGACGCTGGGTTGAATACAAACTGGAAAATCAGTCCGGGCGCCGCAGCATTATTTTTTGCACAGAATTTGGTATTTTGGCCAAAATAACTAAAACAAATTGAGAGATTAGATTCAGGCCATACCCCGGGAACACATGTTCAAGTACAAAAGTGATCTGCTCACAGCTATTCGTCACAGTGAGAGGCGCTATAACAACACTACACAGAGCTATGCAGTCTTTCCTGCACATTGGGACTGGAGGTTTCTTTAGATTGACTTTGTTTTGGCGGTGAAGTACCCTTGGGGATCCCCTCCCTCCCTCCCTCCCCTCCTCCCATCTCTCAGCACTCACAGTAGAAAGCTCTGTGGGGTCCAACACACTCTCCAGTTTCACGGCTGTCTCGGGAGTCTCAGCCTGTCCTGGAGCAGATGTGGCCATGCCCTGCGACACGCCACCCTCAGCCACACTGTCCCCAAAGGCCAACAGAGCACCAAGCCCATCCGTCTGGGGAAGGTCTGGGGATGTTGAGGGGGCCGGAGCAGGGAGGACCGGGACTGACAAGGTAATGTCTGTTGGTGAGGATGGGGGGGGCTCTGGGGCTTGGGAAGGGGTAGGAGCTGGTATGGGGGGAGGCGCGTCTTCACAGGGTGCGTTGACACACTGCACCGAGTCTTCTACACTCTCTGCTGGGGGCTGCACCGACAGTCACACACAAACACACGCACACTCAATTAAAGACATGCAGATTTCAAGCAATTCATGAGAGCAATAACATAAAATAAACTTAACAAAACATATTAAACCAATCAACACATAGCTGAAAACACAAATCATGCAGGAAAGCTGGTACTGACATGCCCTAAATATCCAATCATGATCTAAATAAACTGATAGATTGGAAATAATGACCATGTAACGTATGTAATGTATTTAAAAATCAACCGATGGCTGTAACACACTCTTACCATGTGTGTCTTGAGGCATCGACAGAGTATTTATTTCATGATAGTGAAAATGGGTTTTCTGCCTCTGAAATGTCAGCGTACAATCAATCGCCTTAAAGTTGATATGCCTGTCTGGACGGTCTGTCTACGAATACCAAGGAGCCCAAAACAAAAACAAATGTGGCTGATAAAGTAGTCTAGTGTTACTCTGCTCCTTGTGAATAATTGATATCAAGGGACCGCTCTGGGAGAAAGACGTCACAAGGTACTGAACCTCAGTACCTCAATCGTGTTCCCGTTCTCTGGACATCCAGCTTTGTCCAGGGGGTCGGGCTCCACGGGGCCCGGCTGCTCAGCGTCCTTCAGGGTCGTGTCCTCGTCCGAGGGACACAGAGGATGGAGTTGTTGCTCCTCCTTTGGTGGCAGAAGTGACTGGTCACACTTGACGCTGTCCTGCTTTGGGGGGACATGAACCAAGACGGGGCTGACCGTGGAAACTATGACGGCAGAGCGGGGCTTGGCAGTACGTCCTCGCTGGACCGTCTCCCAGCCCTCAGCATCCTTTTTACCTGGGAAACACAAGAGGTACGGTGTCAGTCAAGGATAAAAAGACGCGTTACTGCGCTCTCCATTCTCTTAAAGTGCATTCTGGGTCTGTGCAGAGGAGAATTCTTACCCAGTTTCTCTACAGGGGCGTTGGTTTGCTGACTGGAGCTCGGGACGGACTGAGTACACTTCACCCGGTCCGCCCAGCTGGGGCCTGCGTGGCAAAGCCGGGCTGCAGCCAGTGTAGGTGGGGGACCACTGAATAACACACACACACACACACACACACACACACGAGAACAAACAAATGTGAACCTGACAATGAAGCTTTCGCTGTGGGAAGGTCTGATTTTCAATTATATTACAGCAGCCTGTCTGAGAGGCTTCAGCCGTCTGAAGACAGCGTCTATCTAACACGCCAGCACTCTCCACTCTGAGGCAGCACGGGACTGTAGTGGACAACAGGCCTCCGTTATGATCAATATCCATTTCCTGCAGCATCCGATTACAGAGCAGTGCACATATTGAACCGATGCCTCAGCAGTCTTTAACTGACACTTTCATCTACACCTTCCACTGATTCCACGGCCAAAGAGTGAGAGACTCGACAAATTGCATTAAACAAATGCTTCACCGTCAGGAATCAATGTCTGTATTGTAAGATAACGTAGTCTGCATCTTCTAACCCCTTTAAAAACATTTAAAATATTGATTGGTTAATAGCAGAATGCCTTAGGAGTCAATTTTAATCAAATAACATGTTGATCTTTAAATGGATCAAATGCCTAATGGGGTTTGGTGAAATACAGTAAGAGAGCTTACCCAAAGGTGAGGGCGCGACGTGCACCTGGAGAAGGAACCATTCTGTCCGCTGAGGAGCTCGGCATCACATGACGTCCTGGAGACATCTTACGCACCTCCCAGGCTAACGACGTGGGCCTGAAGTAAAAGTGGCAAACATTACATAACCAACACTAATCACGATTCCTATTCGCCAAACACGCACAGACTTGGCTCACACTTTGGCAAATCAGTTAAATGGCTGATTTATTTGCAGCAATTTACGCAATAAACGGAGCATGTAAAAGTTTCAGGTTGTCCTATTGATTAACGGGAACAAATTGGGGAGGCAGCACTGGGAATTTCATTTCTTAGTCAATTTACGGTTGCAGTGGTCACTGTGTTAGAGAGAAGCCAATAAACTCATGGATCTCTTGGAATTAAAGCCAAGGCTATTGATCCGTTCTGTTTGCGACTCAAAGCCAGGGACCAGACGCCGGCACTTCCAGTTTCACCTCAGGGAGCGATTGAAAACGGGAGGTGACTGAGAGTGAGAGATAAAGAAAGGGGAAGATCACCTGTTCTGGGCATCTGTTTTCTCCAACTTCTCCTGGAGCTGGATCCAGTCTATGAGAGCTTTGAAGTCCCGTACGTAGTTGTCCAACATCATCAACACCTCCTAGAGACAGCAGTCACAACAGGAGGGAGAATGACAGAGATTACAAACACAAACATGAAGACAAGGTGCGATGCACAAACCATTTGTTGCACGACATTAATTTCAAAAGGCAAAGTCAATTTTGTTTCATAAACCAAGACAATTACATTTCAGTGTCTATAAAATGCAGCAACCAAACATTCAAAACTTGTCGTCATGTAACCATGTTTTCAAAAAATGTGGTTTTGTCTAAAACAATTCAAGCATAACGTAAGCATAAAGTGATGCTTTCTATCTTCGTTATTATTTGCTACTTAGAGCTTGTGATCAGTTTGATTAAATCATAGATACTTTTTTAAAACTAAAACCAATAACTGTGGCCCTTGAAATGATTGTTGAGAGTGCAAATCAGTGACTGGGACCTCATCGCTAGATCAGGAGTGTTGCAGACATATTCATGAGCGAAGACAAAATGTTGTCATTTAATTATTGCTGTATGAATTGTAATAGCTTTTTTTTCTATAATAGATTTTCATGTTGAGGGGGGAGTTCGTTATAAAGTCTGTGGCTTCTTGACATCTCCTGTCCCATTTCTTGTTATTTTTCACTATCTGGACTTTAAGAACTCTTACGTGTGTGATAATCAAATAAACAGACAAACGCTTGATTGAGAAACAACCGAGAAGGCAAACTCCTTCTAGAAAAGGCCTTTCATCTGTACTTGCAGTGACTCAGTGTTGGGCCGCGTGGAGCTTTTTCCCAGAGCTCTAATGAAACGAACACAGCTGATTGATGGGGAGCGTGAAGGGAGTGGTAATTGAGAGTAAAGCTCCACAGTGCTTTTAGTTAATAGACAAGTCAGGCCAGTGAAAGATGTGTCCAGCAGCAGGTCTGCTGATTAGAGCTGGTTAACAGGCAAAGACCACCACCATGGCGCAGTGTTCATTTGGTAATGAAGGCCGAGATAGAGAGAGGTTTGCTGCTCCTCTGACAGAAAGCAACAATGAGTGAAGGCACCGTAAAGTGGCTTTCAGCATGTTAACAGGCACACTTACCTAAATACAACCCTCGCATAACATTTCACAAGGAATGACAAAATGTTTAACCTTCCAGCGGCATTGCCATAAAATAGGATGGGCAGTAAAAGCTCATGGTCCACACGCAGAAACAAGAAGGAACAGGTAGAGCCGAGTTCAGACTGACCGCTGGTAAATTATTCACAGTTCTGATTGGTTGATTTTTTTAAAGTCAAACCATTCAAGACCAGAATAGCCTATTTCGGTCTACTTAAAACGGTTATATAAATTAAAAAGAATTAAATTCATTCATCTGCCTCCAAGCGAACAGGAATGCCAAGTACCTCTCTAGCCGGGTCTGTGTGATCCGTCTAATAAATCAGAGACGGGATGAAGGAACAGTTGATAGGAACTAATCAGGCCTGGGGGCTTGGGTTAAAGAGGGCTGGGCATTATTAATAAGCATATATGAATCATTCTGTGTGCAAAACATATTACATCAGCACTGAGGTTCTCATGCAACAAAATATAGCCTAAATGGAGAATTAGGCATCACTTCCTGACAATGGTTATGTTTATGTCCATAAGTTTGCGGGTGGAAAGTTGTTAGCAATTTATGTGAGAGCACATGATGCAGATTGCCCACGGCTACACTGGGGGTTTGTGGCTGGGGGTAATCAGAGCACTCTGCTTCCCCTCCAGATGACTCCATCATCTATCAGTGTCCATTAAGCCCGAGCTGGGTGGGATAGGGGCTTATGAACAGCACCCAGCGTCATGGCCATTAGACAGCATTAGGGTGGAGAGACATACAGTGGTGTGAGGGGGAACAGCCAGATGTCTGACACAGGCCAACTGGCAACATCCTGATCACACCACAGGGAGCTGCACTGTGGCACTGACAGCAAGCCAACCGCACCACAGGGAACTGGGCTCCGGTACTGACCGCAGAACGTCACCAGAACCATGGTCGGCGTAATGCAGCATGGCAGAAGAATCAATAGAACACAGGACCATCAGTATCAAAGCAACATCACAGTATCACTTCAAGGCTGCACCCAAACAAACACACCGACTCCACAGAAAGGAGACGAATGCTGTTGATTAGATGTGCAACATGTTGACCAATGGCCAAGCCCCATTTCAGCAAATGCCTGACGACAAAACACAGTGCATGGGCAATATTGTTTACAGTCTGTCACCGGGCCCAAGAGAGAGTCCTGTGATGATTCTTTCAGCAGCGAGCCTTCAGAGAGCCCCTCTGACATAAAGCAGAAATCAAGAGGAATGTGAGCTGTGAGGGAGATGTTGTGTTATGATCTCAAAGTCCCCCTCTAGTGTTCATAAATCCCAACACCTTTCAGGCTCCACAGATCATGAGCCCACTCATCCTGACACTAGAATCTGCATTTCTAGCTGCCAGTGTTTTTTGTCTCTCCTCAAAGCGGACTAACCTTGCATTCTACGACACTCTGATCGGATTCACAGGTGACGTAAATCTCGTCCACAGCTCGACGCAGGTTGTCGAAGAGGAAAGCCCAGTAGCGCGCTCGCAAGTCCACCTTGCGGGGCTGTCTGGCTTTGGTGGGGCTCTTCTCTGGCCCCTTATCCGACGAGACACCAGCCGTGCCTTTATTTTCGACTCCAGCATTCTGGGGAGACAAAGTGTGGACCAGACATTGCGGTAACAATGACAAACTCATCGCAGTGTCATGCAAGTCTGTAGTTGCTTTTATATATTGCAAGCACATTACTTTTTTTTCCTGTTGGTTGGGACATGAGGTTCAGCTTTTATATAACTTTTGAACTCCCTTGTGGCAATGTTGGCTCCAAAGAGTATCCCAGTGGTTTCAGGAAGTATTAAATATTAAAATAAAAAGCATCAATAAATTTAGGGGACTAAAAGAAAAAGAAAAAAAGCTAAAATAACATTTCACTAGTCCAGTGAGACATCTGGCTCACTGGACGCATATCTTTTTACAAATTTCGCAACAACACCTAAAATGAAATTAGGAGATCCGAGTTGAGATTGATTTTTGTTGGGTGCAGCAAAGGAATATTTAGGCACGTAACACAATACAATTGCAGACTAGGATTGGTCACCTTTTTACTCCTTTTCTTTGTCAACTCAGCTTTTCCAAGACTGACTTACAAAAGCAAAAACAGGAAGTCTCATGACGTCACAGATCCACTTACAGTGTGCGGTAAAAATAAATAGTCTGGCCCAATCCCAAGGACGGCACAGGTGTGTTCAGCCTGGCAAATTACATTTACTCAGAAACATTAAGGGTTAAAGATGAAACAAAAAAAAAAAAAAAAAACATGGAATCAGAGGATATTTATTTATTGATTCATCAAATATTTCATTTTGTCATTGAAGCTGTTTTGACAAAAACGAATAAATAGATGATATAATTGTATAAATAGATACAGTCTGTCATACTCAACCACTTACCAGGTGACTTCAGTGAGTCCCTGAGGGTTCAAGACTTAAGGCTTTAGGGTACATTGGGACTGGGCCAACACTTAGCTTGGTGAATTGTGCCCTCTAGTGGAAGAAGATAAAACACAAACCTGTTTCTTGTTCCTTTGCTGAGCAGCGTTGATCCTCTGGGCCTTGGAGCTGCCACTGGAGTTGCTTTTGGACTTTGCTACGGGGAAGAGAAAAAGTAGGCGTGTACTGCGTATAGTAACGGATGAAATAATCAATCTCAAATGATCGCTATGGAGGTATTCAGGTGAGATGATCAGGTCAGGCGCTAGAAAATATTCTAAATATGCCGTTTATTTAAACTATTTTCATGGTTGGACCTTTTTTTTTTAGGTGGCTAAAATAAGGGTACCCAATCTTTTCTAGAGATGATGTCCCAGGACATGTTCAGTGAGGATCCAGCTGCTTTGACAGTCGTCCATTAATATGTTCCAGTCTGTGGAAGTCCGATTTAAAAGACGTGCAGTCTACTGCTGTAACTTGAAATCATCTCTCACAAGCTTTAGAAATTAAGACAAATTTATTTTAGAACAGAATAATAATAAAAAACTACCACAGCTACCAGTCAGCAGTGACTCTTATTTACATTTAAAGGAGAATGTAACTTACATTATACAGAATTTCCCTGTAAAGAGCCTGTAAAATAACCTTTGCTGTGGTGAACGCTGGTCTAAATGAAGCCTTCTTTGATAATTTGATGTGGCACTAACATGCAATACAGGAAACAATACTGTCAACATCTTACCAGTGGTTTTTCTTTGACATTTCAGGATTCCAAAGATTAGAGTACTGTGTAAACAATTCAAAGCCTACTACATAATATTATATTGTTATTATTACACCGTGAACCACAGCAAAGCAGTGAACTGTGCCACCAAAATTATGCTCTTCGACATAACGAGGGACCAGGTGTCAGTGTGAGCTTGAAACCACTTAAGAGATTTTCAACACTCCTTCACTCATCAGTCTAGCCTTGAGATGAGAAATGAGCATTGAGTTCACTGGAATACTGCAAATAAATGACTGAACACCTCCCACTGTCCCAAAGATATGGGAAATCAAATCACCTAAAGCAAACACGAGCTGCAACACTCACCACCGCACAATGAGGACCTGGACAACACAAATGTCATACTCCATTTACTTGTGCTGTTAATATGGCATTAATGTGAAACCTGCAACAAAAGCAGAATAGCAGCACATTGGCATGCGTAGAAAGTGCGTCTGGCGTGCAGCTACTAACCTTCCTCCTCTTTGTTCTCCAGAGGAACACTCCAGGCGATGAGGTTTCGAGCGGCGCGGCCTTCTTCGGCGACGATCTTCCTCACCTTGTCATGGCTGTTGGAGCGCTGAAAAGATGCCTGCAAGGGAAGAGTAGAGCAGCACAACATGAGTCATGAAATGTGATCATAAACAGAGAAGAGAGTAGATGTACATTTATATCTTATTTCAGTACGGTCACTGGGATAACAAACTGAAATGACTCATAGTGCAACAATGTGTGGATCAATGTGTGTTGGTGTATGTATGATTCTTTCTCTCTCTTTTTGTACGTTTTTTTCCTTCTGCCATCATCATTACTATAGTCGGGTGTGGACGGGGAGGTGGGATGGACTGACAGGATGAATAGGAGACCAGAGGGCGGGGAAATGGGATGGCGGTTTTTATATTTTGTATATTATATTGTGATTTTGTATTATGTATACCTGAATTCTTTAAAATGTTAACAAAAACATGATGTACTGCATGACAAACACAAGATCCCCCGACATTCACAATAATGCATCTTTGGTTTGCAGTCAGTTTAAAAAGATCAGTCAGGTGATAATCAACATGTAGGTTAAAGCCATTAGAGAAAGCCTGCTGTACTGCATCTTATTCCTGTGTGCTATAGAGCTCCATTGTTGTCAAAGAAACTATTAAATAAAACATCAACGTGCCATCATGGAGAAGCTTGGCACTGGAGCGTTTTGAGGCAATCTCACATACTTTTGGGAGCAAATATTCACCAGCAGCTGAAAATAGTCCCCAACAAACCGGCCGACACCAACGCCTGCAATCGGAACAATTGCTCAAAACAACAAAACAGCTGTGCCCGGTTGTACAAACCACGTACTTGTGATGTGTTTTTAAAGATGCCACAGACAGGGTAGGGACGTTGGGATGAATTAAGAGACGGACTAGTCACCAAATAGTTTCAGCGGCGAGCTAACCAGTAACACAGCCTGAAGCATAGCTAGTGTTGCTATGGTTACCTCCGTTTTAACACCGTGCACTCTATTTTTGTACAGCGCTTAAAGTATAGTCTAGTGTGTTATTATAGCCCTGAATATGCTCAAATGTGTTTATAAACAAGCAAGTCCATTGTATTCTGCATTTGTTCAAAGCATTATGAATTTTAAAACATAACTGACATCAAACTGTGTGCATATAAACACATGATTCAAATCTAAAACAGACATAAATGCCACAAAAACGCACGTTAACTGCAAAATCAGTTTAACAGAATGTTAAAAATGTATCAAAAGATCAAAAAAGGACTGTATCAAATCCCTAATCCTTCTAGTCGATGTAAAGTAGCAATACTCAGCACCACAAGAGAGTATCGCACTATGACGTTTCAATAATTTGTCCCAGCCCTGGTGTGTGGATGTGAGCAAAGGTAGGCTCAACAGTGCACACACTCATTTAAAGGCACAGACTGTGACAAGAAACAGCTGGAGGCGGGAGCTCTGAACCCGCTGTGTTCCCAGCATGCATCATGGTTGACCTACACATTGACTATGCATCAGTAAACATGACTGTAACCTCGGGGTGAAGCGGACACTCTGTGTGAAGCAAAATAAATCACTCATCATCACATCCTTTGAGTTTGGAAAATGAAGACGTCCTGTGAGCATCGACAACTCTCTGCACCCCGTCTCACTGACAAACAGTCTGTCACACAACAGTCATTGATGCAGTCAGAGACCAAATCTGTTAAGCAACTCCATTTTCTAAATGAAATAACAAAAGACAAAAGTACACAGTGTACCCAACAGTCTAGTATAATATGGTATATTTCGCCTATTTAAATCTCACATTTAAATGTTCTGACTTCTGGCCATCTGGTTATAAAACTACACAAAAGCTTGTAGCTAGAGGCTGATCGTTCTGGATCTTTCACTTCCAGCAGCCTGCTCTGTATTGTTCATAAATCCTTTACTCTAATGTTGACTAAAGTCCTGAGCAAACTGTATTTTGGTCGGACATCTATAACATGTGGCTTCAGACTTGAAATGCATTGTTACCTGAAGCCAACACAAAAACCGAGAGCCAGTTCTCCTCATAACAGCAAATGAGTCACTGAACAAACTGTTCTTTGTCTTTTCCCGGCTGTCTCTCACGACCACAAATATACAGATAAATCATTCCTCTTGGAACACACTCGTAATTGAAAAGAAGAGAGATACAGTTTATGTCTTATCCAAGGATTTGACAACAAAAAAAGTGATTTATTTTACGTAACATGTAACAACCTTTGCAGACCATCGTTCACTGCCAGTAAATGTGAGCATGGCTCATTAGGCGTTACACATGCAGAAACAGCACGCGTGTATTGGTCTGATGCTATTTAATGTCCCGAAGGGAGATACCCAGCTGACCTACTTTTGGTGAGCAAAATTCTTTACACGTCGAGTGGCTTTATTCGGCCATGTAGAAAAGGGACTGCAAAGAGATAAAGGAACATCAAAGAACACAGGCCAATCAAAAAAAGGAGCAGGAACTAGTGACGTAGGTCAGCATCAATGCAACAGCTCCCAGCTACTTTCTGTAAATATTTACTCTGCGGTTACTGGGTTTGGCAGCCGTTTGATGACAGATGAATGTTGTGGGAAAACCGTACCTACTTACAACCGATGGCTGGCGAACTATGTGCAGCAGCCTGAGGCCAAAAACAAAAAATAGGCCAACAGCAACATTCTCTTGATCCACTTAACCAGCTGTAAACAAGCTGTCTCCTGGGCTACACTGTAGAAAAATACATTGTTGGAGCATAACTTTGTTTAATTCTCTGGCTAAGGCACTCCTTCGCCAAGCACCAGAGTGCGCTTATTTTCTAGCCTGTGCTGAGTAAGGGGCAAGTGTAGGGTTTCCCTTTTTGACAGGGAAGGTTTACCAACAGATGCAAGTAGCAAGACAGTGGGGGAGATGTTGCTCATGAGGAGAAACACAGATAAAAAAATTAAAAAGATAAGAGGATACATACAGAATAGAAGTACAGTCTGTAAGCAGGTTCCTCGTCCTTATCCACCCCTGACATATTTTTGCAGCCCACTTCAGGCAACCTGTTGCCCCACACCAGCCCCGCCACTTGTGCAAAGTGACATCGTCATCTGACAGCAGGACCAAAAATAGACTCCTACTGTTTAGTCCACACTGCTATAGCAACTTGCCCAGCTGTGTCAACTCCTCTCCCAGTGGCAATTGAGAGGGACAAGTGCTCAGCGGTCCGCCAGTCCACTTTGTCTGTAATCTTAGCCTGAGCCCTCAGTGCTCTGCTGAGTTAGCAACCATTTCTTAGGCCCGACTCTGCCCGCCGCTGTCTGTCTGCTTGCCACTCTCTTCTGCTCTCCACTGCATGTAGCTTCCTATATTTACAGCTTCTCTCCTCTGCATCAGAGCCCCCACTCGCTCTCGCTCTCTCTCTCTCTCTCTCTCTCTCTCTCTCTCTCATCTCTCACTCTTCTTCTGCCACAACGCTGCGCAGTCATGTGCACACAGCCAGCCTGCTGCTCTGCCCCCCCCATCCTGTGTTGCCAGTGATGAGAGTATCGCTGCAGGCTCAGAGACAGTGTGTGTGTGCTAACGCAAACCTGGCCAGGCATTAGCCTCACAGGGCGATGCTCTGGATCTGATTGGACTAGGCATCCAATAATTCATAGGCTGCTTGGGGGGACAAAACACACAGGCCCATGCGGTTTGACCGCCTACAAATGATGCAAACTTACAAAGTGTGCAAGAGGATGTTGGGATAAACGGGGACAGCAGGATAAGCAAGGTGACCTGGTACAGACTTATCACAATTACTCCTGTGCTGCCCTGTCGTCACATTTATGTTATACTGACGATAAGACAACACACATGTACACACACATCCCATGATGCATTAGCATGTTCTCACACATCTCACAGGGCCATTTATCATCATTTAGTAAAAATTGCACAAGTTGGTGCTGGTGGAAGGGGACCACAAGGGCTGACTACATCACACAGATGTCTCTAAAATGTTTATTTCCTGCTGCACCCGTCAGCTGAGTGAACCCATTCTCAATTATCCAAATCACCTAGCTCAAGCTAGCTAGCAGTGCATTGGGATTGTCATGCTCTTGACTAAATTAGCAGCCATATTGTGGCTGTTAGCAACCAGCTAGGATGTCAATACGAACCTTCAGAGCGGTTATGGATGTATTCTTGCTTTTGCTTCCTCCATGCGAAGAGCCTGAGCTGTTGCTACCAGACCTCTCCCTCCCGTCCCCACCTTGGCTAGCTCTAGGGCCGAGGCGGTGCTGCCCAGCTCCACGCCGTCTTCCATCATGGCGGTTGTCTTTGGACATCGACCACGCAGTATGTTCAACGCTTATTAGTCGGTGAGAAATACGAGTCTACGGACACGGTTGTCTTGTTGTCAGAGTTGATGGAATAACATGTCAGATAAAAACATGACAGAGAGGACAACCTAACACAGCAGGAAGTCTGTTAAGGTCACGTGTTGACTGACAATGGGGTTATCCAATGACATCGCTGTAACAGCGACACAACATATGCGCCAGCCAATCGCGTGCAGTATAGCTTAGGTTAAGGGGCGGGACTTCAAACTGCCTACCATGGCAACCATGAAGACTGAAGATCGGGCGGGACGTTTGTTTGATTGCGCGTGTGTGTCAAGCATCTACAGACCGGAAAAGGGAACCTGCCTTCAAAACAAAAGCCTTTGTAAGCACACCTTTATTTTGTTTAAATGATGTTGTTTGTTTATCTCTGTGTTTTTTTCGTAGTTTATTTATTTTGCATAATTCAAACAATAAAATAAAAATAAACAAACTTAACAGAGATAAATTAATATCACAGTGCAGGAAGAGAAAAAAAGCCAACTGGGCTTATTTGAAGCCTCCACCTATATCATATTAAAATGTTACAATATTACAGAGAACATAAAATGAATATGCATAAGATATGACTACGTAAAATATTTGTGTAATATGTGTGTCTATTAATTCATCTACTTGACTGTACATAGCTTATGTTTGCTTAATCACTGTGTTGCGCTCAGTTAGATGCATGTCTATCAGGCCTTCCTCTAAATTTGTATATGTATATATGTGTTAATTTGTATTATTATATTCCATTTTAAATGTAGGACTGCCAAAATGTACACAGAAAACTTGGTTTGAGAAACGCTGTATGAGAGTAAAAACTTCCCAAGGAAAGAGTATATCTAGCAATCCAACACCCAAAAGTGACTAAATATTATAATTCCGAGACAAACTCTCAGCGTCAGCATTTTCTTTTGTCTGGCCCTATCTGTACACGTACTTAACAATGTCATTCACATAACTCCTTACCGTGAAACAGGCCCGGATCATCTTTTCGGCCTGCTAACATCTAGTTGGAGAGAATTACATTGGTCAACTACGTACACCCTAAAGTTAACACAAGTTCTCTCTCAGACATGACAAAGTTATTTAAAATATTTTCTCATTCATCCAGACTATTGCCCCTTTCCTCCGCACAAAGGGCCACCAAGCTGAAACATATTCGGGAAAGATAAACTTTTGTACATTTTAATTTATCTTACATCTTTACATTTTAAGTTTGACATACACCAGAATAACAAAATGTTTACTTTGAAATGTTTGCCCGGAAGTACACGTCTCCTCTAGGGTGAATAACAATCGCGTCAACACTTGTGCAGAGGACTTTTAAAAAATCAAATGTAAGTTCTCTGACGATCACAACAGCGTCTTCCATTTTCATTATCTGTCAGCCTTGTCGCAGTTACTTCTTGATTATTGACTTGTGTGCGTTGTCTTTAACTGTCTATTATTTTGGTTAACGCTGTTGATTTTGTCTTCGATTCTGCCTGTTGGTAAACCTGTCTCCTTTTCTCGAATATAAACTGGAGTTAATTAAAACGACGGTAGACAATAACTAGTATTTCTACCAGACGTTCAGCCTCTTTGTCCCTCTCTCTCTACCTTATACGCACGTGTTCCTGGTAGATTTAGCAGGTTTCATCCAAAATTCATGGTTTCATCATCATGCAGGACGAGGCTCACGCACATACAGTTCAGTATGAACTTCCACCAGCTGACCACAAGGTCGCACAGTTGCATTGCGACTAGAAAACTAATTAATTGCACTTAGTGGTGTTTTCAATTCATCCACTCATTTGTTTTACTGTTCAATAACTGTATTATTCAACAGATGGCATCCTCTGCATTGTTGGTAATGCTGGTACTTCAGTTTGGATTTGGACAGGCCTCTCAAAAACATCTCCATGAAGATCATTATAATGGTCAGCAGCACAACCCTGAACATGACTTGGACATCCTGCTGGGAGATGAGGTTTGGAAATATTCCTTACTCATTTTCTTTTTGCTCTTTAGCCCAATTTTAATCTTCATTCATCCCCTTCTCACTCTTCCCTCTACTGACCTCATGCACTTCTAGGACACAGAGGAGATAAAGACACTTAGTCCGGCAGAACAGAAGAAAAAGATGATGGAAATTGTCAAGCGGATTGATACAAATGCTGACAATCTGCTAAATGCGGGTAAGTCTCTCTCAACATTTAAAAAGAAAGCAAATACAAAGATGAGAGGTCATACTCGGTCTGCTGTGTTTTTGTCAACAGAGGAGATCACGCTGTGGATTCAGCACGTCTACAGAAAATATGCTCTGGACGACACAAAGGAGCGGTTCTCTGAGTTCGACACGGACAAAGATGGTGTTGTAACATGGGAGGAATACAACATGGTCGCTTATGACCAGCTTATTAGTTTTGATGATGACGCTGTTCTGGAGGATCCAGAGAAAGAGTCCCTCAGAGACGTTGGTATACTTTAATTGTCCTGTTAAGAATCCCATTAAAACCACAGCCTGATTAAGCCGTGATAACCTAACGTTGGCACATATCCCCATTAGCTCCACCTGAAGGAGAGGAGACGCTTTGACTTTGCTGATGTGGACGGCTCATCCGGGCTTAATGTGACAGAGTTTCTTGCCTTCACCCACCCGTCTGAAGTGGATCACATGGCCGTAAGACGAGCTCAGACACCTGCAAAACCTGATCATGCGTTATATGAGTGCCCTTCATATTTCATCTTAAAATTTAATAATTTACCCTTTTTTCCCCCTAATAGGATTTTGCCATTGAAGATGTGTTAAACGAATATGACACCGATAAAGATGGATTCATCAATCTGAATGAATTTATTGGAGATGTTCGTGGTGAGGGTAAGACAACATTGATTGTTTTAAAACATAGAAGGACCTGTTTGTTTTTAGTTTCTTCTGCTACGCCCCAATTTTCATCCCAAGTGTTGACACTTCATTTTGTTGCCAGAGGATTCCCCTTCACAGTGGGAGATTGAAGAAACAGTGCGGTTTGAAGACCTCTATGATCAAGATAAGGATGGCAAGTTGAATCGAGACGAGCAGCTCCGCTGGGTCGCCCCCAATAGCTACGGCTCGGCAAGAGAAGAGGTAAGACTCAACCGATCCAACTTGTAGATTTAGAGAGACAGCGTCTGACACCTAGTGGCAGTCCCGTGACAAGTGGTGACACTCCCTTGACAACTATTGGCACTGGCAGCTCGTGGCACCAACTGACACCTACATATACAAACAAAACAAATTCTAACATTTAGGCACAAGCACTTGTCAGTGTCAGTTGGCACTCTGCAGATGCTTAGATGCCACGAAAAAGTGAAAAACATTGTTTTGCTCTCTTGTCATTAACAGGCTCTTCACCTCATGAAGGAAATGGACCAAGATGGAGACGGGCAGATCTCAGAGGGTGAAGTCTTGAAAAATCAAGAAACATTCATGAACAGTGAAGTGACAGACTATGGCCGACAGCTGCATGCGTCACATGATGAACTATAACTATACTTCATGTTCTTGTTTTCTCATTTGTTTCCATGAAGACGTAATGTTGTTTATTACCTTGTACTTCGACATTAGTCACGGGATTTACGTCATGGTTGATCTTATCCGTCAACAAGCGTTTGCAGTATTGAATGACTTGGACAAAATAACATGAAAAGACAAATGACAACACCAGCATAACACAGCACAGGGTTCCAGCCCTGCCTGGAGAACTGAGAGAAAAAGTCAAATGTCCTGCAAAAATGTTTCAACATTCTCCTATTTCCCTTTAGCTGACAATGAACTACTACTCTATCTATCAGAGCTCCCCAAAACGGATAACATTGCCATCTGAAGGGGTTAAATTATGTTCAGGATCATGTCAACGGTTAAATGGTAGTTTATGCAATACGCTAGTAATATGATTGTGTCACTTTTTAAGGACAATAAATTGACACGTGCCAAAAGTGAACTGACACAAGTATCAGTCCAGTTGTGTTAAACACTGACATGTTGCAGCTCTTCCTCATTTAAATAAAAAAGAGTAAGTGAGTGAGTGTTGCTGTTAGAGGGCTGTTTCCTGAATGTGTCATGATCCGTTTCACTTGCATCAAGCAACAGCCTGGTACACTGCTGGGTATTATAAAGTGACTTAAAGTTGGGTGGATTCATCAACAGGGACTATTTTTTAACCACTGGCAAGATGTCGTTACTATTTAAAGATGCTTTCTGGGTGAGTTAGTGTGATGCTACTAATCCAAACTTTGTTCTGTTGTGTTGTGTTCACCGGAGTTTTGAGGTAATTTATGTTGTGTACCTTTCCACTTCTTCTGTATTTGTGCTTCTCATTTTGTCTGGACAGTATCCATGCTACCATTCACTAGTAATGTATTAAGTTAGTCTTTGACTACAGTTAGCTTAACACTTTGTCTTTAGACTTCTGATCTGCTTTGATTTCTTTCCTTTTTCTCATTTTGAAACCCACTGAACAGGTACTGAATTGTTGCTCGGATTAAAACATTAACATTTTTTTATGTATACAGTCTTGATATGCAATACAATTGTTCTCTTATCTCTGGGCTGTGTACAGTTTCCATCTAAAATCAGGTGTGTCACACAAACTAATCAGCTCTTTCTCAGTACAACTTTTTAAAATAGTGCTTTGATGTTAACAGTGTGTTCTGTAGAGTTATTGAGAGTTTCCTGTTAATCTCGTCTCTTTTTTGTGCCTTTGGTCTTCTGACACTGCCTGTTCAGAACTGTACAGAGCACCTGTTACCAGACCAGAACTCAAAATGGTCATGAAACTCAGTACAAGTCTCTTTATCATAACTGTAAGCAAAGCATCAGGAACTGGTCAGTCAGAAACAATCGGTCAGTGTAACTCTAGTGTAGCTTCAGTTCACATTATGAAGTTGTGTGCTTCCCTTTTCCTCTTTATTATCATCCTGCTATCAGTATCCTCATGTCAAATGTAACCCAGCTACATTATCGATGAACATCAGAGATTGCTACACCAGTAATTGTACTTCCACATTGTTTAAAATTCAGCAAAGTATGAATACTTTTTCACGAGAGGGGGTTCTCTCATTTGGTTGCTTTCCATTCAGACCTCAACAATGTTACAATTTCCATCCTTGATGAGAAACCACCTACGTGTAAAAATCTCACAAGTAATCAAAGTGAAAGTTGCTGTTGAGTATCATTTAAATCATCAGCTATTGGCTAAAGGTGATCATTAGGGTCTCTTAAATACTGAGCAATAAAGAAACTGTAATATTTTATTTCCAATGGACACAAAACATTTAGTAAAACAGCGTTTATTTAGACTGTTATTCATGGTTCCAGGGAGTGGACTTCATCAGTAATACCGGCTATGAGACTATCAGTCTGAAACTTAATGATGGTCGACGGACATGCAAAGACATGGAGGAGCTCTTGAAAATGAGGTGGGCACATTTCTGATGAAGTGCATTTGATGAATCATTGACATGACCTCAGTGTAATGTGGTTCAGTGCTATTGTGGTATTGTCTATGTAGGGCATCAGCAGAGGAGAAATACGGCAAGGAACTGGTCACAATCGCCCGCAAGGCTGGGGGTTTATATGAGATCTGGTAGGTATGTGTGTGCATTTGAGCATTGATGCCCTCATCACACGTCTAAGTCTGCCTTTCTAAGCAATACATTTGTTCTGCACCATAGGGACTATTTATTGCATGGAAAGATGCATGACATTTTATTCCTTATTCATTTTGTTTTCACAGCACTTTGAGAAACTCTCTTGACGAAATGAAAACACGTAAGCACAGGATATATTTCTTTTTTCTTGTGCACTTCACACACGTCTCCGTCAGCTCTGAGTTTTTACCTGTATATGATTTGGTGTTTTTTCAGAAATTGAAAACATTGGAAACTTGCACATTCAGCTATCTGCATCGCTAAAGGAGGAGGTGAAGAGAATGGAGCAGTTCAGAGAGCGACAGAAAGAACAGAGAAAAAAGGTACAGACGATGAGTTTCTTTTTTTCTCATTTGCACAGGAAATCTAAAAAGAGTTGCCTCTCAGTGTGGTTTTCTGATGACGTTGATGCTTTTTAATGTAGCGTTATGTTCCTCAATTCCTAGTTTGAAGTCATCATGGAGAAGGTCCAGAAGACAAAAGTCTCTCTCTTCAAGAAAACAATAGACGTAAGAACAATTTATATTATCATGATGATCTATGATTAGACCTCGTCTGTGTGGGAGGGCCTTGTAAACAGTTTTACAGAGATCTGTTTTTTCCTCTTTATATAATTGTGGCAGCAGTAAACTGTATCTTTTAGTGCAGCTACATATTGCTTTGTATGAGCAAGAAAAGTGCATTCTGAAAAGACTTCAGCAGAGAAGTATTGTCGTCTATATTTAAGATGAGCATAAGAGGAAGAGGGTTTCGCAAGACAGGTCAATGTCAGTCATAACTCACTGGTGTGAAGGACAAACTGAGGAGCTTAAGCTCATACCCCTCTCTAATCCAATCAAAAGGAGGAAGTGAGGTCTTACTTGCTGCACATTAATGTTCCCTCAGATACATGGCACGTCTTAGTTGACTGAACATGCCCCCCCCCCACCCTTCCTGTCGAGGGTTCAGAAAGCACTGATGAACAACGCATGGGTGTTACAGTTTCATATGGTGTCTGTTGTTTTCCTCTAGTCTAAAAAGTCCTATGAGCAGCGCTGCAGGGAGGCAGATGAGGCAGAGCAAAATGCTGAGAAGATGGCCAACGCTCCCACAGCTACTCCCAAACAGACCGAGAAGGTAAATCTGTGCTGTATGACTCATTAAAGGTCCACTTCAGAAAGGAAAAGCTATGGCTTGACTTTCTAAAAGGATCAGTGCTGTTTTTTTCCTCTTAGATATAAATTCAACCAATGAAACCCGCACCAGACATGTTTTAAGATATTTAAAAATACTTTTTCATTTTCAATTCCCTAGTTACACAACCTTTCGTGACATCTACTCCTCCCTTCTTGAAAATAATCTATGAATATGCAAATAGTGTTCATTTCAATAATTCAACTACTGGACTCAAGATGTCTCTGACTTCACTTGAAAGTCTATTCTCCGTGTAAAAAGTATGTGCACTGGAGGTGTTACGCGTACTGATCACATTTGTGTAAACCGTGATTCATTTCGAGACTTGTTGTGATGTCACCAAATCTTGCTTGTGCGTACGTGTCTGAAACTGAGGTTTAAGGTGAACAAAGAGAGACTTTCCCCCTCAGCAGATTCATTTTATGAATACAATATTCTACACAGTGATGGCCAAACATCCGACTAAAGTAACATGTCCCCCACCAGTCGAGACATCAATGGGCTGTACAAACAAGCGGCGATGTATGCAGGCAATTGGCTTAAAATCGTCACGTAAAACATGCCATATCTTGTGGACAACACAGAGGCGCAGACACGCTTATTGACTCACATATGCACGCATGCACACATACGACTGATACCATGATTATCTTGGTGGAAATAATAAGAACATCTCAGTCTTTGGATTTTTTACACAAAGGCCTGGTCTCTCATTTTTAAACACTGTAGACATTTATGTATTTGTGTCTCTGTAAAAATAGTTTTTAGTTTCAAGACAAGAAATATGAAAATGTTGTTACTGTAGTTTGGACATTGCACTGACATTGTCATTTGAATGTTTTTTGCCTATCATAACTGTATTTGCGAGTATACTGGGCACCTCACAAACAAGGTGTGGTATTAACAAATGCTAGCATTAAATGTAGGTATATTTTAAATACTTTTTACCATGGAGAAGAATAGAGATAGTTTCTCAAACAGCACTGCCAGTTGTTACACAGTTACTCCACAACCGACTGGGACATTTAATTCTCTTTGTCCTTGCCTTTATTATTTAATATAGTCATTTATAAACTGTGAGTTACTGTTCTCATTGAGAATGTCATTTTTAATGATTATTTTTAAGTACCTACGCAATAAACTTTATTTATTTTTATTGGGGAAACTACAGGTTTACAGATATAAAATAAGTGTGTAATGTATTATTTTGTATTTTTTCAGATGAACAACAAATCTAAACAGTGCAGAGAAGCCGCAGTGGAGGCTGGTAAGGACAGATAATAGCAGCGAGATGCTGTATTTTGTCATTTCATGTAGGAAGCCTCTATCATTTAACATTTATTTTGAGGATGCTGGTTATTTACTTCCCTTTCCATTGAGGATTCCAGAAACAGAGTTAGATGCAGCATATAAATAAATCTGAAAGTCTATTAAAGCATTATAGAAAATCTTCATTTATTTATTTATTTTTTACAATGAATTCTTGAACTTGTCTTTAGAGAAACAGTACTTGTCAAACATTGAACAGCTTGACAAGACTCGCCAAGAGTGGGAATCAACACACATCAACACATGTGAGGTAAAATACAACACCAGAACCTGTATTTCTCCTCTCACTGCATGTATCAATGTAGGCATGCAAATTACAACATGATGCATTTCAAAATGTACAGACTTACACCAAGATTGGCAATACCCGAGGCCTGTTTTGTCAATGACGACGTACGATACGTCCTTTTAGCAGACTATAAAGTGAGTCATTAATTTGCAAAACTTTGTCCGGGCAACAAAGCCTTCCTAGATGTGATAACACCAACAAATCTTAGGCAGCCATTCAACTACATGTGTACAGTGTACATACAGCACTGTATAGTGTTGTAAATGTACCGTGCTTCAATGTTTTCTAGATTACTTATTATTTTTGTAATCATTTTGTTTTGCAGGTGTTTCAGCAGCAGGATGAGGACCGCCTGAGCGTACTAAGGAATGCTCTGTGGGTGCACTGTAACCATTTATCAATGCAGAGTGTTAAAGACGATGAGGTTTGTGCAGCTCTGTATGGGATAGACTTTCAGCAAGCCCTTCCAATATTCTGTACTGTTTATTCAAATCTCACTGTGCAAACTGCTCTTTCAGTGTTACGAGGTTGTGAGGGAAACACTGGAAAAGTGTGACATCATTGGTGACATTAACAGCTTTGTGGAGATGAACAGCACCTGCTCGACCCCCTCAGGTAAGCACCCGCCCTGCGGCTTTTTCCTGATTTGGATTTGAATATGTTCCAAGGTGGAAATTTTAATATTATCTCTCAGCTGCTGCTGAAACACACAACAAAATGTTTGACTCCTTTTGAAACAGGTGATTGATTGTGTGTAACAAGTCATCGCCCCTGAAGCATTCGATTTTTTAAATTTAATTCCAATGGTTCTTCCACAGCTCCAATTGAATACCAAAGTTACTACGAGAGGGATGCTGCAGATGTCAGAAATGGCAGTGCTGGATTCATAGGAGGAGTGATGAAGAGGTTAGAAATACACAATGTAAAGCTTTTACACAATTCAAAATGGATGATGATGACGATGGTTATTATATATTTTATTTCTTATTGAATTCTTTCCCCAAATTGTAGGTTTTCAAATCTTCTGCAGTCGAACTGTTCCAGTGGCTCCAAATTGAGCATCAATGAACCAGTTGCACAACCTACTGGTATAGTACCAAAGTTATTCAGTCAGTAACACTGCAATTTCCAAAATGATGACAGAAATGACTGTGAAAGCCACATTGAGTCTTGCAACACGAGGTGTGGAGCAACTATAAGTTATATACTGTAATTATTATTCTTCACACCAGTGATTCACAACTAGGTGACACTCCTTGTACTACAAAGGGAACTTTGGCAGTTATGAGGGCTTATGTGGAAACATTGTGGCGTAGCTCAGCTAGTTAAGTTAAGATTTAGAAAAAATGAATATATACATATATCCACCTTTCTTATGGACACAAATAGGATTAAAAAATGAATGGGAGGAGTGAAGTGTTATTTTTTTGTGTGTGAAATGACAGTATCCACCTTTACACATTAAACAGTTTCAATTAACATCCAGGTTAAAGTCAAAATGAACACATTTGATTTGTGACAGGTGGTGGCGATGAAGGGATACTTGAGATCACCTGACATGTCGTACTATCAGTTTGGTAGCTAGTTTGGGAAGTTGCAAGTTACGAGTGGCTTCACACAGTAAATGAACCAGTGCTGATTATGTCTGAAATCCTGTCAACTCCTCAGCAGAAACATCAGAGGGAGTGTATGCTTCCATACCTGCATCTCAGGGGTCCCAGATGAGCAGCGAGGGGTACAAGGTCATGTACGACTATGCGGCACAGGTCAGCTTCTACATGAGACACATTCAAATCATCTAATTCTTGTTCATTTGAAGTGATGACTGTTGACTGAATGTGTCTGTCCTTGTTCAGGGGGATGATGAGCTCTCTGTGTCTGCCGGGGACGTTGTGGTTGTCATAGATCAAAGTGAGGATGGCTGGTGGACGGTGAAAAGAAATGGCCTCACTGGATTGGTCCCAGGCTCTTACCTTAGCAAAGAATGAGTTTACCTGACAGCCATATGTAGGACTATGACTACCACAGTCCCTCAAGTCATATTTTGTTCAGGCCTTGTCATTTCAAATTGCCTTATATTGAGCTTATTTGTTGTACGTATTTGTGATTGGATGCATCATCAAAACCCATTTGAGTAGCATTTGAAAATGGGGCTGTCACATACAGTAGCACGAGACAGTGTGGAGATATTTATTGCTATGGCACATATTCATGTTACTTTGCCCTTATTGCTGGTGTGCTGAGTGCTCCTCATACCAATTACAGCTGGGAGATTAAGTGATCTGTTGCACAAGGTCTCTGCACTAAGTTTATTCATATGTGGCACTCTTGTATACCTGCAGTCTTAAATATGAAGCAGAATGCTTTATTTCTGTTGTTGCCGTGTGTATAATTTCTATGTGTAGTTATTGTTTCTATTCTGAATGTTACCAGAACCATTCAATCACAGTAGCTGAAATGCAACCAGGCACTGTACTTGGGTAATGCAGCTGAGCGATCTGCTCCCTCTGGTTCAAACGTGTCTGGTTACTGAGCAACAGGGGAGACGTTACCAAAGCGTAGGCCATTCACCAACATTTTAAGTGTGTATACATGTCCACAATGGTTGTTTGGTGGTCACTAAACCACAAGTGGATACAACTACATCTCATGATTCCAGGAAGAGCTCATATATAATATGGATGCGTTATATTCTGAGCCCACGGTAACCTTGAAACTAGTTTGAAAACAAAAAGCTACAAAGCATAAAAGATTAGACACAGACCAAAGTATTTGACTAAATATGTGAACCTCTTACAGCCCTCCCTCACGGGAAACACCTGAACCTTGACCTCTCTTGTAGACTATGAGCTTTGTCCAGACAGAAAGAAAAGTAAAATCACATTTTGGGAAGCAATATCATCTCTTTGTAAAGAATTGTCAGAACAAATACAACAATAAATACAATAAATGAAAAAACGCACTCATTTAATTTCAACTTTTCCCCACATTTTATTTACATTCTTGAGTCCTGCTATTGCTACAAATCAGCAAATACAATTCTTAAACTATCAGAAGTGGACTGCTGAGACAAAAACAAACAAACCGCTATAGGACAAAGTCTATCTTGAGTTAAGAATGCATTACTACTTGAAAAACCCCCACACACACACCGAAGGGGATTAAAAAGCTGGAGTCTTAAAAGAAAGATCAGACAAGCAGACGCCAGTTGAGTTACACACTTTACATGCAATAACTTGTCACTAGCTTGGGCTGTGGTGTCCACTATTTCCGGACAAAATACTGCTGCTGAAAGGTGAGCTTTCAACCAAAACTGAGCTGTAATAGTAGAATAGTAGTAGTGGAGGTAATTTAATTCAAATTATATGTAGGTACAGAACAGATTTAAACATGAAATACTCAAAGCCATACACATAGTGCAAACCAAAATATGAGGAAACATCCCATCGGTATTTTACTCCACACAAGAGGTTGTACGCCCTCGTGCCATCATAAGCATCAGAATGCGTTCTACATGTCATTGACCATTTAAGAATTTGGTCTGTAGCTTTTTTGGGGAAAAACAGGTAAAATATAGAACTATAGTATGGTTGTTGTTTAAGGTTAGTGCGGTAATATATTATTTTCATGCTCTCACCAATTACACGTTAGTTCTGAAAGTGTGTGTTATGGTGTGAAAAATGTGTTGTCCTTTATGCATAGGTGCCTCCTGTAATAAGAAGCTCGTAGGTAGGATCTCTGGCTCTGCGGCACAGCACGACGCATGTACACAACATCCCCAGCATCTAGAAGAAAGAGACAGATACATTATGATTTTTGAGGCGTGAATGCAATCGCCAGACCTAAAAAAAAACAACAAATGTTGAGATTATTAACATTCTACGCCACGGTCGCGTAAGCGAGAGTATGCACAACACAGCTGTGAAGGCGGACTAGTCGGCGTGATGACGATTTGTGGTCTCATTTAGCCACCGCCTTTTTTAAGACACTTGAAGCTTCAAAAATTCCCATGAGGGGTATCTACTGACATATTTCATATCATAGTACAAAATATTAAACACATTGACTAATGCTAACTGATACCTGGGTTTTAGGACTCATTCCTGCAGCACTCTTTCATGAGACAGAAAACAAACTGACCCAGATAATTAAAGGAATAGTTAAACATTTTGTGAAATACACTTATTTGCGTTCTTGGTGAGAGTTAGATGAGAAGATCAATACCACTCTCATGTCTGTATGGTAAACATGTAGCTGTAGCACAATAACTAGAGACAGGGGGATATCAGCTAGCCTGGCTCTGTCCAAAGGTAACAAAATCCACCTACCAACACCTTTAAAGCTAAATAACACCTTACAATTCACACAAAAGCCAAAGTGTAAAAACAACAAGTCGTTTTATGGGGTGTTATATGCCGCACTATTTCTTTGCCGTGAGCAGTGCTAAACTAAGCTAAATGCTAAGCTAAGCGGCTGCTTGCTGTATGATCATATTTATCGGATAGACATGAGAGTGGTATCGATCTTCTCAAGCATGTAGGAAAATGATGTACGTCGTGCCACGATTTTTCAATACTACAGAAAGTATCTCTTTGTTATAAAAAAAAAAAAAACTGAGGCTAAGGCTGCTGACATTTATGTAATTATTTCACTACTTCTCCTGGGTGCCTGTCGCTCAACGTCCTATAGAATTAGAGTAAATGTGGCAAAGGTCCAGTTAAAAAAAGAGAATACAGGTTGTGCAGTAAACATGTCATGTCCTACAAAACAAGGTATCTTAATTACAGTTACATACCTGGACTGCAGCAAATGTCAGTGCAGTCCAAATGACATACATCATGATCTCCTTCAACTTCTTCACCACCAGAGCTTCACAACCCTACACACACACAGAGAGAGAATATGTTTAAACGTAAGAAACTGTAACGAGTCACTCCTCTTTAGAAAAACATGACACATTTAGAGGTTGTTTTACTTCTTGGTAGAGATCTTCAGGATGAGTGAGGGACCCCGTGCAGCTTCCAAAGTTTGTTTTGCAACAGCTGATGGGCACGCTGTTGTTTTTGGATTCTTCATACCAGTGTGTATTCCGCCAGTCTGAGTAATTGTGGATCCCACAACACTGAAGCTGTAAAAGGGAAAACAATGAAAACTCAAAATTATTTTCAACAACTTGCTCAGTCAGCACAAGTCTAACAGAAATACAGAAAGCGAACAATATTATCATCGTATGTGATTTACAGAGGAGACAGGACTTCTGTCCTCACCTGTCTCTGAATGTAGTCGATGGCACGGCTCTGGGCATTGCTGTTGGTGCCATTGTACTCATCGTACACTTTCTTGATCGAAACATTTACTTCATTTTCAACCTGCCGATGGTTAAGAAGTGTGAGACTTAACATTTAATCAGTAAACAGTAAAAAAACAACTTGATTGCGAGCACAAGGAGATTAGATTAAGTTATCTATGGTTGACAGATTCAGTGATTTGGAAGATCTGCTGGATTACAAGTTAAGCAACAAATGAGGCTAAGAAAAACAATCATGTACGCTTGTGTTGAACTTTCACACCTTTGCTCTGTAAACATATCCGAGAACCACCACAGCCACTTCCGTCATGAAAACCAGCAGGAGAATGACGACAAACTGTGGATCGAATTTCAACATTTGAGACGCAGAGACAACAGACACGCATGCATATAAGCAAAAGTGAAATGATGCATGACACTTATAAACTGGTTTACTGACCGTTGTGAGACCACAGTAGCTCTCTCTCACTGTAGCCCAGCATCCAATGAGCCCAATGATGAAAAGGAGGGCTCCAACTGCAATAATGGTCACCGCTGGGATGAGAGTGTACACATCTTCAAAGAAGTGATCGTAGTCATCGTATGTGATGAAGACATAGGCTCCAACATAGCACAGGATGCCAGCAGCAGCCTGAGAGTGACAAAAAAAGAACAGAAAGCAAACCATCACCACACCAACACATTGCAAAAGGTTTAAAGGGTGTTTGTCGAAGTTGTCACAAACAGTTTTCAGATATTTTATTTCAGTACAGAAAGCAGTACCACAGGGTAATAATACTCTATTGCAAGCAAAAGCCATGCATTCAAAATTATACTGAAGTGAAAGTACAAATGTAGTAGTTTAAAAATAGTGCCACAAGTAAAAAAAATTCTAATTATGCAGAATGGCCCATTTCAAAATCATATATATCATATTTGCTGGATTAAACTTAATGTTAGTGATGTGTACTTTAATGTTACAGCTAAACGTAGAGCTCACTTTAACTACTTTATATACAGATTAACGTATAATAATACACCTGTACTTTATTAGGTGGTTTACATTATGTATTAATAATCTACTTCTGCAAATACAAGTAAAAAGTAGCTTAAAAATGGAAACAGTAATGTAAAGTAACTCAAAATGATAGTTGAGTTCAATGTAACAGATACATTCCACCATTGGCGACATTGTATATATTAAGCTGAAAAAATGTATTTTTCACTCTAACACGAAATGAAAGGTGCTGCATTTAACAATGACTTGTTTGCAGTAAATCATTAAAACTAAAATAAATCGTTTGACGTGATGTCTGTCCTACTGCCTTGGCAAACTAATCCCTCCCTGGGTAAACAAAGGTCGCAGCTGACCTGCGCACACACAGCAGCTAACATAGCTACACACGGCTAGCTAGTGACGCACGTTTCAAAGCGTCCATTAAAAACCTCCAAACTTACCCAAAATATCAGGTTCAGGAAGACCAGGACCGTCTTTGACGACGTGATGCCACACTGGCCCATCTTCACCGCGGGTTGATGCTGAACGTGTGTGTGTGTGTGTGTGTGTGTGAGAAAGTATTGCAGGTTTCTACTCAGACATGTCCCAGCTGCTGCCAGCTCCACCGCTCATCCCAGCGCTGTGTCACCGGATCAGTCTGTGGGCGCAGCGGAGCGACGCAGCGCCACCAACACAACCACAGTAACCACATCAAGCTCCATAAAACAAGTCGCTGAACCACCCCAAAATGTAGAGGATATTATTGATCTAGTTACCAGAATACGATGCATGCGATATGTTAACTATTAGCATCGACTATATAACATATTTAATTGTGATATCAATAGAGGTACTTTTGTGACATCTAGTGGTGGATGTGTAATTCGACTTAGTTGTCCCTTATACATAAAACATTTTTTGAGTGTATCATTACAGCCAGTATCACTACTCTGTGATCACTGGTCAGATTACATGACCTAAAACACATCAAGAGATGCTGGTGTCACAGTAGAATTCCACATATAAGGTGATTTATGGTTGAAAAATAAAAGGGAAAACCTACCAATCTTCAGTCAGCGATCACTAAATCATCAATATGTGCACTTTTTTTGGATGTACATATAACTCGATTGTATGTATAACAATGACATACAGCCAGCGGATCTTGTGGTGGAGCAGGTGCCAGATGAAGTACTGGAAGTCAAAGAGCAGGAGGTTGCTTATCACCCCAGCAATCAGTTCAAGCAGGGACAGAGCCCGGTCCGGCAGGTCCACAGGGGCGGTCTCCATGCCCACTGGGCCACCGACGCTAGGAGCACAAGAAACGCATGGTTGTACAAGGTGACGCCTGCACAGTGCAGCAGTTTAGAGGCTGTAGGACGACGGCTAGGTTGTAACTTGAATTGCTGCACCCATGGCCACCTTTCTCCCATGATGTCGCAAACAAGAAAAGGAATGCACAAGACAAAGTAGGAGGACACAGTCAGATCAATGGGGAAGAGTGGAGATCTCAAATAGTCTCTGTAGTTGAGCCTCATGCTATCCCACAGACGCTGCAGCAAAGAGTCGTCTCCTAAGCATCTTATCCAAAGATCTACGCTGATATCTGCAAGATCCATCCTGAAGTAAAAGTAGCAAGGTGAATGGCCTACAAATGTCTGAGGAATGTTGACATTCCAGTCAAAATCAGTAGCTATGGTAAAGACTTTATCCCATGAGTGTCTCCTTCACTGTGGGGTATCAAGTGACAGCGGGGTGCAAGAATGCAACACATTATTTATACACCCTGGGTAACTGGAAACAGATCGCTCTCCACGTGATAGGTTGTTCAGTATGGGAAAAGTATTTATTATCTACTTATTCTTATTTTGATTATTTATTCTTGCATAAAAAAGACCAGCAAAGCAAAAGGTGCTTAAAGAGACAGACACAAAGAACATATAGGTAACACTTTTCATAACGACAAAAATAGAACAATGATGCATGACACTAAATACAATGACATATTAAAAATATATATTATATGTGGTGTTTATTTGTTTTGTTCGCGTCTAAGTACTTTTACTGATGCAGTACAGCTTTTAATAGCATGTCCATTTTAATGCAAACCAAGTGCACAATCTGGCTAATATTTAGTGTAAAATATATAAAATACAAATATTTCTACATATAAAGTGAATGTTAAATTTATACGAGTAAGTACAACAGCCTTCGTTGTTCATTGTGCTGATGTTTTAAACTTCTTAGCACTTCAACAGGCCCACATGCTACAGCAGGCCTACGGTGGGAAAGAAGAAAGAACATCTCACCTCGATTGCCATTCAGTAGCTGTTCTGGAGCTTTTAATCATATCACATGTTTTTCAGCAGGAGAGTTGAACTCTTCAAGGTTTAACAATGTCGGCTTAATGCTATTATGATCAGAACGTCTAGAACAGTTACTTAATGTTACTTCTGTAGTAGGAATGAACTTTTCACCTCAGCCTTTAATAAGCCAACATGGGGGATAAGTATCACAAGCGCTCAGAAAAATGGAAACTCCATTACCCCTATAAACTCCATCTGCTGATACAAATTGGATTGAAAACTCCCGAGCAGCTACTAAAAAGACCGATGACAAATTGTTCAGACCTGTGGAAAGATCATGGGGATGAAGCAGTCTGTACATGACCAGGGCGGACAAGATCTCATACACTTTCAGTGCAATTCTAGACACTCACAAACTATGTTTAATAAGTCATTTATTTCTATGACTATAACCCAGTTTAACAAGCTGTGGTAGGGTGAGCCCTTTTTTCTCTTTTGATTTCATGATCATGAGTTTTTGTTGTTGTCTCTGTTGTTCTGTGATTTAATTATGTCTACATTCCGTTTACTGTTTATTGTGCTGTACCACAAATTGCCCCTTTGGTCCCATTTAAGTTGTCTTACGTCTAAAGTCGTTGTGTTGAGTTGAAGAATGCATTTTAAACGTCTTCACGTCGATGTCACACTCCCAAACTGTAGAGGGCGACAGAACTTATATCCAGTGTACAACAGAGGACGTTTCGACCGTCTGTAACTAAAATCTCCATAACCGTTTCACACGATAAGCCTCGTTTGTTTACATCACGAGAGAGGATTTGTTACGCACGTAGGGGCGTAAAGCACTTCGCTGTCGTTAAAAAGGCACTGATACTGTTTCCTGAAACACTAAACGGTGCAGCCGCTGGGCAGGTAGCGGGGTAAGGCCACTTTAAAAGGTTATTCACAACGTTTGTATTTTTCTGTCCATATTAAAGTTTAGCGCAAAAATGCCACGCTGTTGATAGAGGGGGTACTGAAGAACAATGTCAGATGATCCGGTGATCAATGCACCCCATGTTGGGTCAAATGTTACCAATTCCAATATTTCACATAGATCCTTCACGTAGAGCAATAATACAGGTGGTTAAAGTCCATTTCTAGACATGGCTTTATTTTAAGAGAAGCTGTTGTGTGTGTGTGTGTGTATATATGGCCCAACTTTGCTAAGACTCTCGTGGCTGAATGAGAGCATAATACCTGCATCCAGGTACAACAATCTTGTTGAAAGTCTTCTCAGAAGAATGGAGATTGTTATTTTACTGCCCCTATTAATCACAAATGGGTTTTTTCTGTTTCCACATATGTTCGGCCATGTAGTGTTTACATAAAAGTAAATGACTACTTCTTTTACTGATTGCCTTTTAGTTCTACAGTGTTCTACGTATGAACACTGTCATGTTTAAACACACAAAGGGATTTCCCAAAAAGCTGCCACAAAGTCAGAAGAACACCATTGTCTAAAACAGTGCTTCACAACCTTTTGTTTAAAGCTGTGTCGCTGTGTTTATTTGTTCAGGTGTCGATACTGATGGAGCATGCTGAGGGCGACGAGATGGGTGAATCAGAGCCTGTGCTCTATACACAGCCGCCGTGTCGCTTCTTCTCTCAAGGAAGACACTGCAATTTTGGGAAGAAATGCAGATTCCTACACGTAAGAGATGATGCCAAAGCTCATGAGAAGAAAACCACCGGGACACACAGTCAGTCATACGTCCCATCTCCAAACTCTGAGGTCCCTGGAGAGGACATGGGGCACAGGCCTCCTCCTAGTACCTCTAGGGTTGCCCCAGCAGCTAGCCGCCGCCCCTGTCGCTACTTTCTCTCAGGCCACTGCACCATGGAAGACAGATGTCGCTTCTGGCATCCACCACAGTTCCCCCCGGTGGATCAACAGCCTGTTCCCGTCAATAACCCAAGACCTGCACAGAGGATGCCGCCAGTCCCCCGTCCCGGCAACCTCCAGGAGGTCAAGCTGTGTGACCTGACGGAGGATGTCGCCGAGCAGCTACGAGACACGGAGATCGAGCAGTTGAAGAAGCGCTTTCCCAAAGATCAGCTGATTATTCAGGAACGTAGTGATGGCAAAGTTACTTATTACAGGCTGACTGTGGAGGCCACTGATCCAGACTGGGTGAGCATTTCTTTCTCCTCTTCTCCTCTGAGAGTTTAGAGCGAAAAAATCCACCCACATATTATTTCTATAATACAGTACAGCTGAGTTATAATTGGGGAACTTGAGCAAGTCTCTTTTTAAGTAGTTAACCCAAAGTGAAGCCTCTCCATAGACAATAAATCGTAGAACCATTTCTACTATGCTGGGCCAACGCCCATGGTGATTTTACTGTGGAAGTGGAATTGTTTATTTGCTCAGGATATCATGGGATTTGTATCAATTAGGTTGCACCACTGAGATTAAATCAAGCATATTTCTTCTTTGAGAAATTGGGTAAAGCAGTGATTAAAAACTTGGCTATTTAGGCTCATTTAAAACACATTCCCTCATTGTGTGTATTAGCCACTAAACCCCAGTACAGGGCACAACAGAGCCAGCTATTTAAGTGAATGAACATTACTGCAGAATCACAACTATTAATCCATTTTATCAGCATTGTTAAAGCCATAATCCACAAGTTTCTACTTTAAATCCCGAATGAACGAATGCTTTGGTTTAGTTAGTAGATTCACCGACAATATTATCTGGAAACATACTTACCCTGCATTTGAACTTACAGCCTTTCGATCTGAAAGAAGTCGACATCATGGTGAGCTTCCCAGACAGTTACCCCAACGAGGTAAAGCCCACTGCTTCCATTTACATGACAGGTTCTGTGATATACTATACAGTAAATGGTTGCCATCCTTATCATCTTGATTCACTTTCTTAGATTTTGACATTGGACATACCGTTGGACCAGGAGCTTCCACCAGTAATGGCCAGGTAAAAGCATGTACAGGTTATTTTAGACATTTAATGTTTAGTGTCATTGGTGTTGATATTCATATATATATATCTTATATAAATCTCGTGCTAAATAGACATGTACAGCAAGCGTCACTGGAGTGGCTTCAAGCCAAGCATGCGACCAATCAGCTTCTGGGAAAGGTAGAGCTGCTCTTCCGGCCTTTTCTTCGCTGGCTAGATCGTAGCATGGAGAGACTGTTCACGGAAGGAGCCCGGCAGGTGAGGCTGCGACTTGCACTAGATTGTGAATTGTGTGCTTTCCTTTTGGAATCTACGAAATTACCTGTAAATAAATGCTTTTTAACGCTCAACGATTCTCTCTTGAATATTTTTTGCAGTTGAAAAAAGACGTTGATTTAGAAAAGGCTGGATTGCAGTTCATACCGTACCAGGAGCTCCAGGCAACGATGTGTGAAAAATCTGGGAACGATCATTCTTCTGACACCGCTGCTGATGCAGATGAGAATGTCAGTGATGATGGAAAACTGGACGAGACAGAGGGCACGAGGACAATGGAGGGAGGGACGTTGGTGCAGCAGGAGGGTCCAGGTTGTGATGAAGGGCAGGAAGAGGAGGAGGAGGAAGCCAGTCATCTGGTGGAGAACATTAGGATCAGCGATCCCCGCAGAGGCACAGAGATGAAGCTGCTGGGCCTGAGGATGGGAGAGAACACAGCCACAGTAGTGGCCCAACAAATCACTGTCTGTCTTCAATGTAGCCGGTGAGGAAAACGAGTTAAATGTCACATCCACGTCACCAATTAGAGTTTGTTTACTTAGAACGACACTCGTCTGAAAGCTTGACTGTTTGTGTGCATTCTGCAGGTGTAAGGTAACTGCAGACCTGTCCCTGACTGGGAGGACACCCTGCACAGCTCAGTGTGAAAAGTGCAGCGCAAGCATCACTGCTGCGTTCAGGCCCTGCATGCTGCACCATTACAGCGACGTCCTGGGATACCTGGACCTTCACAACGCTGCGCCTGCTGACCTCGTGCTTCAGGACTGTGAACTCATTGTGGGCTGCCTTAGCTGCTCCCAGGAAGGCCCTGTGCCGGTGATGAAACACAGTCCTGCCTAATACTGCCTAATCTGTTTTGTCTGTTTTTTAGCTCTGGCCTTCTCTGAAATTGCTTTTTTTCTGTCTTTTAATTCTCACCAGAACCTTTCCTATGGTCAAACACAGGAGTTTAATTGTGAACACTGCCACAGCAAGCTCAGTATTCTGGCCGAGAGCACAAGATTCCAGTACATTCAGCCACGCGCCAACAAAACAGGTCACCCACATTTGCTATTAAAGGGCTCAGCAAAGGTTTAAGATCTGGCACAGTTTGTTCTCTCACCAATGTTACCTCACATTATTTAATATTGAAAAAGCCACACAGTGCATGGAAAACTTCACACATGAGCATTTATACGTCCGCAAAGTGAAATGTTTACTGTACCTAAACAGATCAGAAAGACCAATATATAGTTTTTTTCCTTTTTGCAGGTCCAAGTGCTTGTGCTGTTAATCACAAGACGATAAGAGATCCTGCTGTGCAAAAAGGGAAGCCGCTGCCGGACAAAGGAGGATGCAAACATTACAAACAGAGCCATCGTTGGCTGAGGTATCACCGTCTCTGTGTCCCATCACTTTCTCACGTCTCTGAGAAGAACATGTAGAGTATTGTGAAAGCTTTGTGCCACTGTCTGCCCTCAGGTTTCCCTGCTGTGGACGTGCTTACCCCTGTGATGTGTGCCATGATCAGGACCAGGACCACCCCATGGAACTGGCCAACAGGATGATCTGTGGCTACTGTGCCAAAGAACAGGTGAGCTAAAGACATTTTAGCCAACAGAGGAGGCAAGAAGACACTTTATTCATCCCGAGTGAATTGGCTTGTACGCTTATTGATAGGTGTAATATCCCAAATCAACAACTAGCAAAGAGCATCGAGGTCTGTGTGGGAAGCATTAATGTATAAGGCTCATGTTTGACTTCTGAACGGAAACATTTTTTACGTGTTTGTCGTCGCAGCCGTATTGCAATGGAAAGCCCTGCGCCAGCTGTGGAAGCATGATGACTAGAGGTGCACGCACCAGCCACTGGGAAGGAGGACTGGGATGCAGAAACAAAACCAAAATGAGCAGGTACATCTAACGACATTAAGGTTCACATTTGTTTATTGTTAACATTACTGACGAAAACATAATCATGGTTGTATTCATTAAAATAAATTACGCTTTGTTTTGTTTCAGAAATGATCGACATAAATATGCAAACACCAACAAAACGGTTTCAAGGAAGGCCGTCGCTGAAAAGAAGTAGCTGACGAAGAAGAGCATTATTGCCTTAATTTGTGATTCATTTCAATGAAATTGTTGCATATTTGACCCAATAAGTCCTGTTGTTATGATCATTGTGTGTGATTGTGAGAAAAGATAAGCTGGTCAATTCAAGTAGGCCAGCGGTCCAATCTATCTGTCCGAGTTAATTGTTTTATTTTAGGAGAATGGAAAGTGCAAGAAAAGAGGTAGATACTGCTTTAGATGACACATGGACTAAAATACAGCATGTAGAGTTGTGTCTGACCATTTTATGATGCATCAGCTGCTCAAGGTATAGAGGAGTTGCATAAAACACTGAGATAAATGTCCTTGGCTGTATCGACACACCATGGCATGAACAATTTAATCAACTCTGAAATAAGCAGCTTTTTTGATGTTGGGACATTTCTAAAAAAACAAATTTAGGGTCTATTCTGCAATATTTTTTAGATTAGAAAACAAAACTATTTAGGACGTATTTCACTTTGATTGTCTTTGTCCTCCTTCCATGCATTAAAATACTTAACCTTGTAGCTGCAGTACAAGGTTATCGGTTTGTTGTGTCTAATACATATTCTTGAATGGTTCTGTTAATCTTGTGATGGTCTGCTTGTTGTTGCTGGTCTGTTCTGCCCCTTCTGTTGAAATCCACTATATAAAGGCAGAACTTTGTCTTGATCCTGAGACTTGCAGCAGCCTTCAGTGGTACCACAGCAAGATGTTGAACGTCAGTGAGCTTCCTCTGCAGCGCCTGCCCTCCGGGTCCTCGGGCCGTCTACTGCAGCCATTCTGGGATCATTTGCTTTTCCACCACCTGCCTCTCATCTCGTCTCCTTTTTTACCCGTCCTGCTCGCCTTCTCCAGCTATTTCTTCTTCAGCATACCCTTTGCTGCACTGGACCTCTTGGGAGAAAGAGTTCCTTCATTCTTTAAGTACAAGATCCAACCAGACAGGCGGCCGACAGTGGGAATGATGGCTAAGAGCTTCATGAGAGCCATGTATAACCACATATTCTTTGTTCTGCCAGCTGTATTAATCGCCATGTTCATACTGCCTACACCAAGAATGCCACAGGATGCTCCTACTCTATATGAGGTAATCATTGATGGACTGGCTATACTTCTCCTCTTTGACACTCAGTACTTTGTTTGGCATTTCATACATCACAAGCATTCACAGCTTTACCGGTGGATTCATGCAATCCACCATGAATACATGGCGCCTTTTTCTTGGTCGACTGAGCAGCTCAGCATCCCAGAGCTGATGACTATTGGACTCTGGAGCAACCAGGACCCAGTTCTTTTAAAGTGCCACCCGTTGACCACGTGGTTGACCACAGTTTTCAGTATCTGGATGTCTGTGGAGGACCACATAGGTTATGACCTGCCGTGGACCCTGAACCACCTGGTGCCATTTGGTCTGCTGGGCGGCGCACCGGCTCATGACATGCACCACCAGAAGCCGAGCAGCAACTACGCTCCTTTCTTCAGCCACTGGGACAGAATCTTTGGCACCGCTGTTCCTCAGCAGAAAAAGACTTTGAAGAGATGATGTGAATGAAATTCTGTAAATACTGCACATAGTGGTTTTTTTTTTCTGATGTTATTGTCAATTATTTTAGCATCGTCGCATTCACCATCCATTGTTTTTTTTAAATATGTTTAACTATTAATTCTATAGCACTTGCTGCCTCTTTGCTGCTCCTCCATGCTCTCTTTGTGAGGCTGTGTGAGATGAAGACTGTATTTTGTATGGCCTGTCATTCAATAAAATGATTAACCTTACAAGTCTTGGATTATTGTTTCTATTGGTGTTATATGGGCTAAAAGTCCTGTACATGTGGACACATTCAATACGTTATTCTCCATGCATGTATGGTCAGAAACCAGCAGTAAATAGTAACACTTGCCAGCAAAGCATTTCTGTAAACAACTTCTTGTTCTTGCAATCCTCTTACATAATACAAACATCTTTGAAATAGCTTAAAGCTTAGTGTGAACTTGCTGTAGTGATTCCAGCGCGAGGTGCGCGCGCCAGTAAGTCAGGTAATTACGGTCGGGGTGTGGGGCCCAATCCCAATCTCCCCACTCAGGGTTTAGGGCTGTCCCACTGAGTGTCAGAGATTCCGCAGACATTTTGAGCCCTTTTTGAACCCTTTGCCATAAATCAGCATTAGATGCAGACTTAGCCCAAGGAAATTACCCACAATTCATAGCAATGTGATGTTTAATATGGTGGAAGCATGGAGATGTCAAAAAGGTAAACAAAGAGGACGGCACATGGGTGTTCAGCCTGGCAAATTACATTTACTCAGAAACATATAGGATTATAGATGGAACATAAAAACACATGAACTCAGAGGAATTGAAGCATTGATTATATTACACAGATTTATTCATCAAAACGAGTAAATTGTATTATTTGAAATGACCTCTGGTCTTGTGAGGAAAGAGTCTGGAAGATGTCACATCATGGAGTAAAAAGTTGAAATAATTACCCACAATTGTACATAATGTTTTTGACGTTGTCATGGTAAGTTTAGTTTAGTTTATGTATTTTGCACAATTCAAACAATAAAATCAAAATAAACAAAATTAATATCACAGTGCAGGAAGATGCAAAAAGCCAACTATTTGAAGCCTCCACCTATATAATATTACAATTTTACTAAATTACAGAGAACATAAAATGAAAGCAAAGTGCTGTCTCACTCTTATTTACAACATTTAAAGCTTGTACAGTCTGTGCCACTAAACCTACCAGGTGACGTCGGTAAGTTCCTGGGGTTCAGGGTTTAACATTGGGATTGGGACAACGGGTTACACTCGCTGTTTTTTTGGTTCTTCACAGTTCATTTTGTTTGTACGGCCTCTGGCGTTTAGGAGATAATGCGGAGCTCGCGCGCCGCCAAGCGCGAGAATAAACAAAGCTTTACTCAGCAATAGTTTGCTTACAAATCTAATTAGGCATAAGAAGCTTTTGAACAAGACAACCAAGCACTGTTTGTTGGGATAGTCACCAAGAAATTGGTCAAGTACAATAAGAGGAATTAAGGAAAACCCATACTTGAGAAAGTGATAAGCTTTGACTGAAAGACTTACTTGGATTTGAATTTCTTGTCATTAAAAATGCAATAACACACAAACATGCAACTACATTTATTGAATACATTTATTTGTCACAGAAAATAAAAGCACTGAAACCAATGCTATTAAAATGTCAGTGAAGACTTTTATTTAAATACTGCACAAACATGTTGGAAATGTGTCCGGTGTTCTCGGTCGGGTGCATCTTGGTGTAGCTGATGAACTGGCGGCGTAATTTCCTCAGCTCTGCCATGTTGATGCTGCTGCTGACCTCAATGTTAAACGTCAGGTTAAGGAGATTAAGTACGAGAAGAAAACAGTTCAGCTGAACACGAGAAGCTATAACTAACTGACAAAAAGTTTCTGAATGTCAGTGTCACGTCTCAACCTTTAAGGAGAACAACAGAAAGTATTGAACGCACTGACGTCGTCTCTAATGATGCACCTGTCATTAAAGGTTGACCAGAACAGAACCTCATGTACTTTTGATTTAGCCTCTGCCTGGACTGACACGTTCAAAAGGAGAAAATCAAAGGTTGTTGTTCATGTTATTACGCAGGCAAGACCTTTAACCGTGATCAGCTGCTGTGCCTTTCATTTAAAGTTTCCTGCATTCATCCACCTTCTCCTTCAAACACGTCATTTGATGTCGAGGATACTTTGCCTCCTGCTGTTGAGGGAAAATGTCTCCTTAGCACAAATTAACAGAGTTAATATTAATTTCATTACAGCCATTAGCTGTAAAAGGTCACTGCTATCTGGACATCCCACATGAAAACAGAACTACCTGTGAAATGATTCTTCAAAAGGTGGCTTTTAAATTAAAATGTGGACATGCAAGTGTGTAAAAAGGATATCTTCTCTGTAGCTCCTGGTACTGTGATGAGATCCCCGGCAACACTCGTCTTCTGGGAGTTAAAAACTGCCTGAAAATTATAAGACTTTTATCAAACAGACACATGACATACAGAAAGTTGACCAATACCGCTCCCCAGGTGCTTTGGTTTGTCAGGAGTTTGAGATCTGCACACTAATAATTGAATTGGACTGAAATAAGAAAAGTACTTGTTCTTCTAATAAAAATATAATTTACAGGGAATTTGTGACAAATTAGTTAAAACATGCACTCAATATCAAATCAAGGGCACAGACCAGGTGATTTCTTATTGGCTAACAACCTATCACATAAACAGGTAGATAAAGAATTACAGCAGCAAAGTTATTTGCAAAACAGGACACACAACCGCATCCCAATGAAGGACACCTGACGCTACTTGTTTTCAGAGGGGGGGCACACTGGTGATCGCAACGCATTAGACCCAAATACTTCTTATTAAGTGCAGTAGAAATCATTACATTCTTCACTTACTGAGATAATAAGGCACTAGAACGTGTTGTCTGCTGATCATATCGACAGAAAGATCTCTAATCAGAAGCTCCATCAGAAGCGCTGTGAGCTCAGGGTCAGTCAGTTACAGAGCATCACATAAGCAGAGCCACACCACCAAACTTAAATGCATATCGCTGCAATTAATGGACAAAACCATGACGCAAGTGTTTCATGTACCTAATACGACCTCCACTATACTGATAAAACAAGTAGAGTGTCATAATCAATGAACATAAGCGTACATCTCGAAATTCTACAGTATTGATAGGAACTTTCCCAGCTGCAGGGAAGTGAATTTGGAAGAAATACTAAAATTATTTGTGCTTTGTCAATTAAACTTTTTACCATCGTGATCTTGAAATATGACATGATTCAAAAGACAAGACCGGCTCCAGCAAAAGCAATATCCCAAGAGAAAAAGTCTGAGTGACTGAGAAATAACCACAAATTCCAAAAGAACATATGAAGACATACCAATAACACATCTTGTGTGATCTTGTCCAACTCGTGCAAGAAGTTTGCAGATGACAGTGGTTGCTGCGCAGAAAAAGGACATTACCATGAGATAATCAAAAAGGCAGCATGAAAGAGCACACATTTACATCCAATGAACGCTTGTAAAAACAAAAAACAAGCAGCACGTGTCTCTCACACTCTGTGTAGACTGGTTAGGCGGGGGTGCTTTTCTTTTGAAAAGCGCGTCAGAAATGTCCTCATATGGAAGCGTGTCGTCTTTCAGGACGGTGAAGAGGGGACTGTCCCATCGGTTTCTGGAGTCTGGAGCTTCAAATCTCAGCACTAATGCATCAAAGCTACAAAATAAAAACCAGATACAAAAACTAAATTGCGCAGTCTTCATTTTTCGACAATGACAGGCATAGAAGTATTTAATACCCTATCCAAAGATGAACACAAATCCTGACTTGCTGACACGCTACCTGCCCTGTGTGTGCAGCAGGGCTGGGCGATACGGCCCAAAGTCCTCCATCACAATGAAGGTCATTTCATCATCATAATAATTGCCCAGCACTAATGTGTGTGGAGGCTTCTCACTCACATGTCCTGGGTGTACCGCTCAGCAGCATCTCTGCTGGTGTTCCACGTTGAGCTCACTTCATCCGACGTCAGACAGTATACCTTCATCAACAGGAAGTATATGATTTTGACTTGTGCGAGTAGTGTTTGGGTAATAGTTTTATACAGTGGGTACGGAAAGTATTCAGACCCCTTTAAATTTTTCACTTTGCTTCATTGCAGCCATTTGCTAAAATCAAAAAATTTGATTTTTTTAAATCAAAAAAGTTCATTTTATTTCTCATTAATGTACACTCAGTACCCCATCTTGACAGAAAAAAACAAATGTAGAAATTTTTGCAAATTTATTAAAAAAGAAAAACTGAAATATCACATGGTCATGAGTATTCAGACCCTTTGCTCAGTATTGAGTAGAAGCACCCTTTTGAGCTAGTACAGCCATGAGTCTTCTTGGGAATGATGCAACAAGTTTTTCACACCTGGATTTGGGGATCCTCTGCCATTCTTCCTTGCAGATCCTCTCCAGTTCCGTCAGGTTGGATGGTGAACGTTGGTGGACAGCCATTTTCAGGTCTCTCCAGAGATGCTCAATTGGGTTTAGGTCAGGGCTCTGGCTGGGCCAGTCAAGAATGGTCACAGAGTTGTTCCGAAGCCACTCCTTTGTTATTTTAGCTGTGTGCTTAGGGTCATTGTCTTGTTGGAAGGTGAACTTTTGGCCCAGTCTGAGGTCCAGAGCACTCTGGAAGAGGTTTTCTTCCAGGATATCTCTGTACTTGGCCGCATTCATCTTTCCTTCAATTGCAACCAGTCGTCCTGTCCCTGCAGCTGAAAAACACCCCCATAGCATGATGCTGCCACCACCATGTTTCACTGTTGGGATTGTATTGGGCAGGTGATGAGCAGTGCCTGGTTTTCTCCACACATACCGCTTAGAATTAACGCCAAAAAGTTCAATCTTGGTCTCATCAGACCAGAGAATCTTATTTCTCATAGTCTGGGAGTCCTTCATGTGTTTTTTGGCAAACTCTATGCGGGCTTTCATATGTCTTGCACTGAGGAGAGGCTTCCGTCGGGCCACTCTGCCATAAAGCCCCAACTGGTGGAGGGCTGCAGTGATAGTTGACTTTGTGGAACTTTCTCCCATCTCCCTACTGCATCTCTGGAGCTCAGCCACAGTGATCTTTGGGTTCTTCTTTACCTCTCTCACCAAGGCTCTTCTTCCACGATTGCTCAGTTTGGCTGGACGGCCAGGTCTAGGAAGAGTTCTGGTCGTCCCAAACTTCTTCCATTTAAGGATTATGGAGGCCACTGTGCTCTTAGGAACCTTGACTGCTGCAGAAATTCTTTTGTAACCTTGGCCAGATCTGTGCCTTGCCACAGTTCTGTCTCTGAGCTCCTTGAGCAGTTCCTTCGACCTCATGATTCTCATTTGCTCTGACATGCACTGTGAGCTGTAAGGTCTTATATAGACAGGTGTGTGCCTTTCCTAATCAAGTCCAATCAGTTTAATTAAACACAGCTGGACTCCAATGAAGGAGTAGAACCATCTCAAGGAGGATCAGAAGAAATGGACAGCATGCGAGTTAAATATGAGTGTCACAGCAAAGGGTCTGAATACTTATGACCATGTGATATTTAAATTTTTCTTTTTGAATAAATTTGCAGAAATTTCTACATTTCTGTTTTTTTCTGTCAAGATGGGGTGCTGAGTGTACATTAATGAGAAATAAAATGAACTTTTTTGATTTTAGCAAATGGCTGCAATGAAACAAAGAGTGAACAATTGAAAGGGGTCTGAATACTTTCCGTACCCACTGTAGATACAGTATATAGTTATTTCTATACTTACCAGGCAGTGTGGTGTCTGCACATGTTTGATGAGACAGAAAAGTTCATAGCGGTAGCCTGAAAGGTATTTTCAACTTTAAAATCACAATGTTTGAATACATAACATAGCACACTATTGATAGCAAAGATTACCTTTTATGTAATTTAATGAATCAAAAATGACAACGTCATCCCTGTTGACTTTCCTAAACAGCAAATAAATGAAGGTTAGAAGGGATGCGACAGCAGAACATCACTGATGAATCTGATCCAGGAACAGATCTGAAAGACCTCACCTCTCTACTTCAGCTTTCAGAGATGCTCGGACATTTTTTTCCTTTTGGGAATCTGCAACATATCCAACCAGGTTTAAATTACAGCAGTACACAACAGTCAAAGGTTACTTTTCAGGAATACAGTCTTCTTTGAGACCGTTAGACTGCATTTAAAATCTCTCTTTGGTCTCTATTCTCTTGGGCTTTTTATTTGCACTGTCTGTTAATGGTTGATGTAGATCACTTTGAATTGTCTTGTCGCCGAAATGTTCAATAAATACAAATTCATTGCCTTGCTTTGTCTTATTGCGGCGAGATCAAATATTTTGCAAACCAAATCTAATACCCAAATATCTAACTGATGTAGTATTACCAATAGGTAAAACAAGATATTCCTGTTATGTTGTTCATAGGGAGAGCCTCTATCATAGGACAGTGGGGACATTTGCACACCACACTTCATTCGAAATACCATTGACTTAATGCCAAACCCTCGACATGCACTCACTCTCCGTAGTAACGTTACCCGATACATTTTCCACAAAACATAACTAACGCTGCCTGAAGCCATAGCGTTAGCTGACATGAGCTTAACTTGCCTGCGTAAACTGTGTTTTTCTCAACGCCCAGTGCGCCGTCTCCTATAATATGAACCTTTCTGTCAGTGTTGCGTTCAAAGCACACCTTCAGCTCTTCTGCCCGTCGTGTTTTACCACTACAGGGGTAACCACACATGACTATCAGAGGCATAACTCCACAGACAGATACCGAATGAACTGAAAAGACGTGAGGAAAAGCATGCGGGGAACCTTCACCCGGATATGATTAACTATTAATAGACTAAGGACGACCAACAGGAGGCGCCACCAAGCTGACGGAATTTAACTGATTTAGCCATTCCCTATGAGTAAGACAACATTTCAACTATCATGTGAAAAGATTTCGGTTTAGAGAAATTAAACACACATTTTCATTACATTCGTTGCTATTTTTAATACAATTAAAGATACATTTTCGACATAAAGATGAAAATCATGGCTGACAAATGGTCTGGATTTCTGTACTATAGTTCATTGACAGGTGGTACTAGGTTAATACATTATTCAAATAAGTGGACGCAAAAACAAAGCATTGTCATATACAATGTAACATATCACATTCAAAACGTCACCATATTCATATTAGAGCTTTTTTCAAAAAAAGGATTTTAAAACTCTCCTCCTCGTCAGTGGGACTTCATATTGTTGGTTGAAATGTTCCTCAAGCAGGATCCCCTCTTCCTCTAAATGGATGGGAAAAAAAATAATTAGCTGTGCAGTTAATGAATTTATATAATTATAATAATAATAATACTCAGCTTACATGTTCAATGCATGTTTCTGTTGTGTTTGTTGGGCTGTTTTCAACATCTGGATGAGCAGTGCCTGCAGGTCTTCCACTCGGTACAGAGGACTAACAGCTCTGGCAGTGGGAACGTGTACATCTTCAAAGGCAGACTCCATTAAGGAACTATCCGCAACGCTTTTCTTGCCCATGAAATGCCCTTAAAACAAAAACATCAATATAAACTGTCAAAAAAAATAAATGCTATACATATATATTTTTTAAAATGGCACAAAAACATGAAATAATTAGCCAGAAGAGTGTTATTTCTCTTACCTGTTGCCCAGAGATTCCCCTTTGGAGTCATCTTCATCTTTGCAATGTTATTTCTCAGCTCAGTTAAATCAAGAGTCATTGAAGATGTCATGGCAATGTATAAGACAAGAATGATAGAAGACAGGAATCCTGCTCTGCAGATCTTTGTCAAAGTGCCTTTCATTCCTCAAACGTCTTCTACGCGATTTGCTGCCAGTTAATTAAAATCTCTTTGCTCTTCTGTTACTTCAGGGCCAGGCGGTTATACTGAGATAGGATGGGCTTAATATTCTAATGGGATGAAGTCATCCATTGGTGGTTGGTTTCTTATTGGATCCATGATGCACATTAGAGTGCTTTGTGTCAATCTGACCTGCTATGATGATTGTAAATGACTCACTTCAAAACCACAAATCACCCGGTCCAAACACCATTTTAACACAAGACAAAACAGCAGATGTATAATTAAACGCACCAATTTATTTGTAGGTACTTTGACGTAAACATTACAGCAAGGCACATGGGCCACTGCATGCTGAATAGATGTAATGGCTTAAGAAAATGCTGTGAATCCAGGGTTCAATTGGCTACTTATGTACACAGGTTACTTTCCTACACAAGTCCTCGCTTTACACAGTATCAAAAGTACAAATATCTTTCAACAAGCGTTACAAAAGAACAAGTCGTCACTCTTTTCAACCTCTGCAGTTCAACAGCTGCAGCGCGGCAAATGAAGGATCTAAGATAAGAGAAATAAAGAGCTCACATAGCACTTAAATAGAAAAGTTCACTTAACTGTTAAGTCAATATGACCGTATAGCCTTAATATCATTCCCAAACTAATTTATAAAATTCAATAATGTGGGATAATACATTTTTATAAACTATTTTTTTTTTTTTTTTTACATTGCACTGAGATTACCTGCAACTCCTCAACTCTTCTTTTGTTTAACAATCACTGCCATTGACCACAGAGGTAGGAACTGTCATGTACTCATAACAAAACAAGAGGTGCTGCTTTACAAACCAGGACACGCCAACAGGAAGTACCCACCAGTAGGAGCGCTGAGCGAAGACATTTCATTATGGAATGAACTCATTCTTCTAATCCCACTGGTGTCGTTATCGTCATGTTAAATGGGTCCTGACTTATAAAACACTATCTCCGATATGCCGCCAAACTTCACTTTCACACACCTGCTCTGGATTCTCCAAAACAATGTACCCTGATTTGACATTACATCGACGGTTCACTTGCCTGAAAAATACACTTCTGGCAATTTGAGGTATTTTCAATACTGCTGCATCACACATACAATACCTCACCATGTTTCACCTTAACACGCGTTCCAAAAAAATAAAAGGCCAGATTTGGGACAACACATGCAGCCACAATTCAAACACGTTCACTTGACAAAGAAAGTGTAAATAGTAAAAATAAAGTCTTGTTCTTATGTGTGAAAGAAAGTAAAAAGAAAGTCCTGTGTAGCCTAACTTCAGTAGGCTTTGCTTAGCAAGACACCTCGCCTGTGTTTCATCTCACAGGATAGTTTTACGAATAACCGTTTACCAAGAATACAGAAATACCACGTTAAATGAATACCGAACTATAGCATGTTTCGGCGACTACAAATATAGCTTTGTACTGTAAAACATTTGCAACACAGTCATGACATTAAAAACTGCAACCTGACTCCCATTCAGGTAATAATGCGTTGCATTAAATACAAAGAAAAAGCAAATTAAAATAAAAGTTGATTACAAAAGGCGAAAATCCACCTCTTCACTGTGACATCAACCAACACTGGACCTAAACACTCTCGTGTAGGGGTGGATGGAACATTTGGGGAAAGAAGAAATAAAAATAATAAAAAAGCTCCAGGTGTGATATGAGTGCAGGGCAAGATGAATATATATTACCAACATGCAAAGTTAAATAAAAAACAATCGACAACCTAATATTAATTTGTCCTCTCATTTATGAAAATACTGTTATTAATTAAATGTTAAGGATGTGCTTGAATACACAGCACAGCCTCTGAATAACTAGCGAGAGATAAAAGTTGAAAAGGCCCAAACACACCCATGCAGAACACCGAGCATCCCTTGTTACTTTCACATGACAGCTGAAGATATTAAAGCAGATTTAAAGAGCGCTCACTACCGGAGAGAGACGGCTTGTATCTGAGAGTGCGTGCTCTGTTTGGAATCACAGTCCGAGGTCTCGTCACAGTGCGGACTCGCCGGCTCTGCTGCTTCTTGTGAGGGCTCTGGCTCATTTAGCGCCGGTAACAAGTCATTGACCTCATCAGTATCGGCTGATCTAACCGGCTGATTGACCTGCACCTTCTCCCTCGCCGCCTCCTCTCCTCGTTTCTCCGCCTCCTCGGTGTCTTTGACTTTGTGTACAATGAAAAGATGTCTGGTGAGAGACAACAAAGACGTGAAACACAAGCCGCAGCGAAGGCACTGAGGAGTGTTTTCATCCGTTTTATGCTGCGGTATATGCTGCTGGAACTGGGCGCCGTCGTCTGTGACGAAACCGCATTTTGAACAGCGGAACTGAGTTCTCAGACGTTTCGCCGGAGGAGCCTCGAGACTACAGGCGCCATCCAGTCCCCCCACCCGTGTGTCCACGGAAGGCCTTTCTGATAAAAAACCCTGCCAATCACAGAAGCCACACGCTTTAAAATGATCATTAGTAAGATTGCGAACATTTGATTCGTGCCTGCAGTTATTATTTTGTTGTTTGTGCTAAAAAGAAAAAGATAAATTACTACCTTGCCAAAAGCCTTTTTGGATTCCTGGACGGCTGTTTTCGGCATTTGGCGGAGATCAGGATTTTTGATTCCGTGCATTAAACTGATGTGGTTCTTCAACATGACGCTTGTCGTGAACGTTGTCTTGGCGTCCGTGCAATACCTGAAGTGGAAACAAAACGGACGTGGAATCGAGTCATTTGATGAGATACTCTGTGACAGCGAGGATTGGCTCATTTTCAAACATAAACATCTTACCAGCAAGTGTAAATTTTCTTTTTCCCATCATGGTCATTGCGAATATGTCTTCTCAGACTGGTTGTGGTGCTGAAAGACTGTTCGCAATGTCGACATGGATACTTCTTAACTGACTGTAAAGAGAGATAGAAATAAAAAGGTGTGACAAAACAAGATGACAAAGAGAAGTAAAGGATTCTTTTGTGGTAATTATAAACTTCTAATGAGTCCATAATCCACGACAAGTAATCATTAAGAGATCATCACTTAATGAATTCTAACCCAAACTAACAATCTAATATCTCAAGATTCACATTAAATAACATCACAACTGTGCCACACGTGGCTAAAAAGGGTAGTTTTAGTATGTGATACCAGGCCAGATAAAAATCTAGAAGGCCAAATAGAAGCAAATAAACATGATGTCATGGGGCTGACAATTACCAACAGTGTAACACAGCTTGTTTCATGGCTTCAGTCTGTTAAATCAACTCGCACTCTGACCTCCGGTACAAGACACAATTTCCCCACAACCATTTCCTCATTTCTCAAAGGACAGCCGTGTCTCATATTTACATAATGAGATTTTTAAGAGGTAATCATTAGCATGTGTGAGGAATGGGAAATAATAGAACTGAAGAGGTAGGACGTTTACTAGAATGAAACCTTTAAAACCAGAAAAAGACACCACTTCAGCCATCTACACTATAATGTGTATTATTCTGTTTCTCTGAAGGCTGCCAAAGCACAGGTGACCTACTCTCAATACTGTGCCTGAACGCATCTCGTGCAGCTGGTGTGATTCCAGCAGTCTACGGAGATTACACTTTACTAGACGCCTCAGAGAGAAACAAACAATTGGTGCATGTCACAAACTCTCTGCGTCTGTATCGACCAATACGTAGGTTAGTAAACACTTCTAGAGTTCTACCATATTAAGAAGCTGCTGTAAGCACGAAGCATGCTAAACACCTGAACTAGTAGAATACAAACAGCACATACAAGTTAATCTGGGACCACACTGCGGCTTTCTATTACAAGTGAGTGCAGCAGTCATTCATGATTTTGGGGTCAACGTAAACATTCCAGCATGGGTAGTTCATGACCTCTCACCTTCCCGTGGTTGGTCTTCACGTGGGACACATAGGAGTCTCGTTCGGGGAACCACTGGAGACACTCCCCACACGTCCAGCCGGTGGGCTTCACGCGGGGTCTTCTGTCCCGCTCGGCCTTTTTTCGGGGACTATCTGTGTGTTTACCAGGCCTGTGACTCTTCTGCAGCTGGACAGATTGAGCGTCCATGTCGGGATTGTCTGTTTGTTCACCGGTCTTTTCCGTCTCTGCCGTCACGTTTCCAACATGAACTCCCTGCGAAGGAGAGAAAACATGGCAATCATCCCGAAAAGTGACCAAACATAACAAGACCCCTTTTTCTCTCCTTCGTGTATATGATCATGATTAATCAGGGAAGGCTCAGGTTCAAGTTCACTTTTTGCACCGTTGCAACATAGAGTTTTCATGAGAATAATGGAAATTAGTATACAGTTGCTATTTGTTTGCATTATGTAAGTTTAAAATAGGTACTTTAAACTGACAAACCTTGAAGTGCTGCATTAACAGCTGCTTTTGTGGAAACACCGAGTTACATTCGGGGCACTTGAATACACACGTCACACGCTTGGTGGCGTTCTGATGGAAATGCTGAAACAGCGACTGCTTTTTCTTGAAAACCGTCTCACATGAACACTTAAAGATTAACCTGCAAAAGAAAGAAAAACACGTTAAAATTAACCGTAAAAAGAAATGTGCCACTTGTCTCTGTCAGGTCACGAGGTGCTGACTTACAGCGGGGATGTTTTGCTCGCAATGTGTTTATTTTTCAAATGCACTTCACAGCTGTTGGAGGTCTTGAAGGCGACGGGACAGAGGGAACACTTGTAAAAGACTTCACAGTGTTTCTCCTCAATGTGAGTCTTTTGTCCTTGAAGGGTCTTGAAAACCATATCGCAGTGAAGACATCTGGAATAAAGAGGAAACACGACTGTTTTGTAACAATGTACTGTACATTTTGAGGCCTGTGCTATCTTTCCGCTTGCTTACTTACTTGTACCAAGCTTTGCGAGCATAGTGCAGACAGTTCTCCCTGACGTGCTTCTGTATGTCTGCAGAGCGACTCTGGGCACCACACTCAGGGCAGCAGTAAGGAGACTTGTGTGCGTGGATGCGTTGGTGAGCTCTGAAGCTGCACTTGTTGGGCAATAACATGGAGCACACCTTACACATCTGTCGAGGGAAACGAGAGGAAAGTCACAAAAGATAAATGCAAAAACATGGAAAACATAACTCGCTGGTCACAGGGCCTTTGAAGGATGAGTCTGGTGATGTTCTATATTGTTCTTACCGTCAACAAATCCCATTAAAATATATAAATATTACCATTTTTAAAGATATGTGTCTTCAGTGGGAACGCACAGGCTTGGGGATGAGTGCCACAGACGGGGCTTTTATTGGATTTGTTGACAAAAACAAAAACATCCTTTAATAATTCAATAAAACATCTACTCACAAGTCCTTCCACGTCATCAGACGGCCTCTGGTAATGGCATGCAAGTGCTTTGTAGTCGGATAACGGCTTGCTACACTCCAGGCAACGGAGTCGGTGGCGAACGACATTGTCTGGATACAGGGGCAGGACGGGCTGGCTCTTGAGTGAGGGTGAGTTGTAGGAGTCCACATTCACAGCGCTCTGAGGTACAAACATGTGTTCCTCTGCTATGGGTTTCATATGGAGCTGTGTGCACTGCATCACCGTGCCGTTGTTCTTGTGCTCCCTCGCATGTGCCAACAAGGCACACTTGTTGAAGAACACCATGGTCTTCGCACAGTGCGTACATCCTACTTCGATGTGAACACTCCTCCTGCTGTAATGATATGCAAGGCTACTTTCCACCCCGAAGGAGTCCCCGCACTCCAGGCAGCAGTACCCGTGTGGTGGTAGGCAGATATTGCTCTCCGGAGGGGGGCTCAGGTTGGGCACGTATGTAGGCACAGGGTTGGCTTTGTTCAACAGTCTGTTTAAGGTTCCCGCCGCTGTGTTGGGAGTGGACGTGCGAGGACGAGGGTTGGCCGATTTGACCTGATGCACCAGCGGGACGGTGCTGTAGACCGTGGAGGAGAGCGTGTGTGGGCTCTGTTGATGAGATGTGGATCGTGCGGCTACGGAAGCAGCAACGCTGTGAGGGACCAGGTTCAGACTCGCTAAGTGCATTGCTTTGGGTAGAAAACCGGTGGTAGTCGTATGGCCTGCCGCGGCCGATCCTCTCTTTGGTTTCTGCCCCTGGTGTGCAGCAGATCGTTTGACAGGACCGCTGGTGTTATGGAATACTGTTGCACACTGGGTTATGCCCGGCCTCCTGGAGTTAACCTCCGATTTGTTGCGTAACACTTTTGGTGAAGGCGTACTGGCTGGCACACCTTTAGTTTGTACTCCAACAATACTATCAACTGGCGCACTCTGAGATTGATGAGGAGACATATTGCTATCGGAATCTTCACTAATCATACTCTGCGATGGAGAGGTTTCATATGCAGAGTGAACTTCATCGGTTTCTGAATCAGGCAGCACACTGGTGACAGTGCGCTTGATCTGCCCCGTGGTGGTTTTGATGGTTTTAATTCTCACCCTGGGTATGGCCGGGGGTGACCCAGCTGCCACGGCAGGGGATGCTTTGCCACTACTGTCGCTGCAGATGCTTACGGGACTATCAGAGGGTTTCATTAACCGTTTCACAGCTTCTAGTGGACTTCGTGGGGATATAGGCACGCTGGAGCTCGCTTTCACGCAGTCATTCTGAACAGCCGATGACTCGCTGGAATTGATCTGCTCGCTGGGATCTTTTCTAGCATTCAGAGCCACCAGAGCCTCGAGACAAGAAGATAATTTAGGTGCCTGAGATTTGACGTGTGGATAAGCGGGAACATCCGGTGTGGTTCCTGAATTGCAGGTGGTCTCATTAAAGTTCTGGTTGATGCTTAGTGGGGGAAGTGCACTGTGTAATTTAGGTGTTTTATCTGTTTTGTTACTGACACAGTTGTCAGAAGACTCCTCGCTTGTACTGCTTTCATCTCTGCTGCTCTCAGTGTTCTTGGGAATATAGTCCTTTGGGCAGTCATCAAACATGCTGAAGTCCAGTTTTTTGGGATCGTCTTGGATAGAAGGTTCCACCAAATCTGAAGCTTGTGGGAAACAGAGTCCATCTTGTTTCGATTGCATTTCATCTCTACTACACTGTGTGTCTTCAGACTCGGGACTGGAGATGGGACTGAAATCCAAAAGTGTTTGGGAAAATATTGGCGTTCCATCAGGTTTGTGATGAACAGGTGCCTTTCCAAGAAGCTCTCTTGAATTATCCCCATTCAAAGCTGAGACAAAGGATTTGGAAAAGCAAGTGTCGGTTGTCTCAACAGAGTCAGCGGAGGTCTCTTGTCCACTGAATCCGTTTTGCAATGCCGGTTCGAAATCTTCCAAGGACTCCTGGCGACTTGTGTTTTTCACAATTACACTTACAGCGGGAACATCTGCTGCAGTGACAGCTTGGTCACTCAGTAAGCTGTCATCAAGACACATCCCTGTGTGTTTCAGCTGACTGTCAGTCTCCTCGTGACTCCCCTGGATGGGCTCTTTGGCATCCAACCCAGTGGCATCTGGGATGTCAAATGCTGCCAGAAGATCATCAAAATCGGGGGTTTTCATGTCACCCATGGCTGCACAGTCTCATGAACCTACAGACATATACAGAGTTAGCTTAATGTCTTATCTTTCCATTCACACAGTAAGCATTACGGGGAAGACGTAAGAAGCTGGGAAACGTCTTCTATACTAACATTAGCTTTAGCTAGCAAGTTAAACGTCACCAAGATCTGTTGGTCTTCGTTTATGCAGCTAACGTTACTATGTCGTACCAAAGCATGCATTAAGACACACACATATATATATATATATGAACAAATATACATTTAATACAGGCAACTAAGCATTACCAAATATCAACTCTTTCATAGGCCGAACTAGCTACATTAATGTTGTTTATTGGTAGCGTTGCTAACAAGCTAACAAGATAGAGGCAGCTAGCCGAGTAGCTACATCACGGAGCCAAGACAGCAGGTTAGCAAGCTAGCTTAGCAACATAGCTATTGCGTAAATCATTTAGCCAAGCTAGTAAACTCGCCACTCATCGATACACGAGTGGGCTTACCATTTGATCCGGTTATGTTTACCAGCTCTAGTAAATCAGCTATAAAGCTCGTTAACTGTGGGCGCTTAGTGTGAGCCAGCTAGGTTAGTCTGTAGCAGGGTTGCATAGCTAGGCTACTAGCTACTAGCGTTGACTTCGTTTTCCTATTCCTGTCTGTGGGCGATCCAAGCCCTCGGCGATGTCTTACAGACGAGAGGCGGCTCCATAAAGCGCAGGGTGCCTTGCTAAGTTTGCATGTACCCCATAACAAGGATAAGTGCAATTAATTGTGACTCAGCTGCTAACACGACACAAACGTTGACACTATGGAGTGTGGTAAGTAGTCAGAGCCAAAGGTAGGTAGGTAGGTAGGTAATGCATCATAACCATAATTAAATAAGACACATATGCATGCCTGGCATTGCTGGAGCATGCCATGGTCCAAGATATCAACCCGAAGGCCCCTGGTAAACTGCATTATGGACCCCTAACTAATCACTACCGTGCAACATTGTCTACTCCTTCTTGCCATACTTTGAAACTTGCTTTCTGTGATAAGTTGATATCAAAAAAACCTAACTGTACATTTCTAATAGCCCAGGTTGTGTGTCAAATGCCAAGTCTGGCATGTGAAAGGGGTAATCCCAAAATATAGTCTTCAAACAGAAGCCGCAGTGGTTGCAATGTCCTGACTTTTTTTGTCTCTACTAGTATAAGCCACATCCCTAAAACACTGGGTTCAATTTCCATATCAAGCATCTTTCGTTAGACCCCTCTTCCCTGGTGAAAGTCCAAATTAAATAAAATGGCCAACATTGCACTGCACATACAGTGAAATACAGCTTAAAACTGTGTTCATGATCAAAATACCTTTACTTGAGATTTTGTTGCAGTGGCATTTAGCTGATGTCACTCAGGCTGCATAATTTAGAGGAAGAGTTATCAAAATCACATTCATGATAAGTTGTTGAGTTTAACATCAAAACATGAATCCTTTTTTATGCTCCCCATCCTCCTTAGTGACAGTTTGCTTTAATGGCGTTTTGTTGAGCCTTGTTTGTTATTTCATCATCAGGATGTAAATAAAGGAAACCAGGCATCAATACCACTGTTCTCCTTTTTTTTGCTCTTCTTAGCAGCCTGGATGTGCTGTAAATCACATGGTATTATAGATAAAGATATTTGTTTTACTGTTTATTTTTAATATTAAACACCAAAGATTTCCTAGAAGTCAGTATTGGTACTGAGTTGAATTAGATTGATCAGTTTTCCATAATTTCAGACATCACAACTCATACTGTGATCTGGAATTGGCCCTAAACTGGACCTTGCCCCAGCTTCCCAGTGGTATTTCCTGTGGGTATTTCCCATTTAAAGGCAATTGTCACTTTAAATGTTCAGCTGTGATTTACCAGTTGCATTTGGGGAGGAGGGGCAGGTTTTTAGCTTTCGGGGTCACTGGATCCATGACCTTAGAAGTCTCTGATTTGGGAAAGAGCACAGCCTCTTGAGAAGGAATTAGTTTTTGATGTCCTGTAAGACAGCAGTGAGGGATAAAAACTAATGTTTGGCCTCCAGCCTTCGCTTTCTTCCCGATAGTCATGCTGTGCAGTGGTGACACCAATTCCTGCACTTTGGTATAAGATTAAAGGAGAAAGAAAGCTTCGGTAACTGTAAATGTAACAGGAGCAATTATGTAACAGGATTTAACAGCTCTGTGGAGTATCAATGGCCATAAATACGCTTTAATTTGTTAGATTAAAGGGAGAAGTGAGCACACTGAATGGTGGGACATTGCATACGTTCAGTTTATTATCGAATACATCTGGATTTAAAAAAAGGCTATGCATTACAATGTTATCTCAACAAGGGTTTTCTCAGTCACAGCTTTGACTGTCACATCTAATCGTTAAATTGGGGCTGTTGGCAAACAGAGGTGATGGTGCACATGAAAATAATGTCTTGAGTTATTAAACCAAGGTGTTTAATGTTGTGCTGCAAAATCTATTAGGTCATTAACATCTGCTAAATCATTTCAGGGTCTGCAAGGCTTTCTGAAAACGTATTGCACTCAAAAATATCCTTTACTTTTAAACAAGAATTCATGTTTATCATATCCATCCAGACAGACAGAGGCCCCATTGAGTGTTATGAACCATGGACAAACAGCATTTTATGAAGAATCAGAGATTTATGTGTGTGATGAGATCAAATTTGAACAGCAGCGAGTAGAACAAATAGCTGCCATTATATCCAACCATGAATCATCGTACTGAAAGTAAAGTGCAAATTGCACTGGAATATATTTAATGGTCCAGATAGCTACAACTGATTTCGAGGCTATCTGATTCTGCACTCTCGTACTTAAAGATATGACATTCTGTCATGAAAATGCTAATTAATTTGAGATTGCACATACAGTAAGTACTTTGTGTTCATCACAGTAGCATTTAACTTCACATAGTCGTATAACAGATTCAAAGTTCACATACTTATCTTTAGACTGTTTGACTGGAGTAACATGTGCTCTCTCATGTTAGTTCTTTCTATTCTAACATTATAAATTATTTTTTTCACAGTAGCTTGTTTGAAAATGAGAAGGGTCACCTGCAACAAACATCATTCACAACTAGTTAGTAGTATAGCTGTATGTCTGTCTGTTTATACAAGGGAAACTTACGTTTTGATCTAAGGGGGACACCATTAGACTTTGTATAAAAAAAAAAAAAAAATGCTCAAGATGTTTAAAGTTGTTTTGGTGCAGACAAAATAAATTGTATTGTAGTTCAGTAAAATTAGAAAAGAGTTAAGCCTCATTCATCGTAAAATAGTTGAATCATTGTTAATTCACATACTTCTGAGGAATGTTTTCTCTATGAATGGAACACAAAGGCTTCTTATGAATGACTTAAAGCATGGGTGGATCACTTCCTCCCACACCTACACATTTGATTAATCCATTGTGTATCCTTGTATTATTATTAGCTTTTTTTAAACTTAAATTCAGACCCAATGAATTCATACCTGTCAACAAGAATTCATATTTTACCATCTGTTGCCCCAGTGATTAGGCAAACTTGTTCAAAATAAATCACTCCTTGTCAAATGTTGCTTCATATGACCCATTAGATAATTTCTGTTGTATTATCGCACTTACTGTATGACTGTGTGCTCTACTTCCTGAGAAAGATCAGAGCCACACGCAACGTGTCTGTTAATTAGTGATGAGTTTCATGGATATACTCTTTTCCGGCAGTATGTTTTACAGGACAGCATTTGACTGCTGGGTTTAGGAGGACGCACAATGAGTAAGCCAATTTCTCTGCTTTTCCTTGAATTAAGCCGTTTTGTTTCGCAGTTGTGAACTGGTATTTTTGTGCACCGTTCTTCACAAGACAAGCCACAAGGACTCTGTGGAGTTATTTTAAGTTCTGTTTTGGTTATCTCACAGAGTAAACAGTGATTGTGTTTTTCAGCAGAAACAGACGGTGTCAAGCTTGCAAATGTAACCCACGCCCATGGAAATGGCTTGGACAACCAGGCTTTTGAACTGGAGGTATATGTCACATGTCATTTTTAAAGTAAAAGGCACAACATGAACTTTTAAAAAAATTAATAAAATGCCTTTATTTTTCTAGGACGACATCAATACTGATACTAGCAACGTCAAAAGGCAGAATAAAAAGGGATTGAGCTCATACTTAAGGTGTGTCAGTTCAAGTGACTTTTTGTGAAGTAATACTTGTTTAATTTAGGGTGCAATTATCACAGCAGGTGCACAGCATTAAGCCTCTGCCATGTTGATCATGATTATATTATGAACAGTGCTTAATATACATCCAACAGAAAATCTGTTCAGCAGTTTTCTGTGCGATTGTAAACTTGGTTAAAATTTGATGGAATTCAATACAAACTTTGGCAAATATATATGACTTGATATTGAATCTATAATTATGTGAAGGAATTTTTTTAATCACATTTTTTGTCCTGTACTTCAGCCTTGTTTCCAAGCCGATTAATGTCACAGAGGATTACATCAAGGCTCACTCACAAACCTTCAAACTCTTTGTGCTGGGCACACTTGGAGCAGGTAATATAAATAGACTGTTAATTTGTGTTCAAAATGTAGAATCAGTGAATATAGACCGTGTTTTTTTCGATTAAACGCTCTTTTCTGTCCTGTAGGTTATGTGGCATACTTTATTGCGGCCTGTGTTTTGGATTTCCAGAGGGCCATTGCTCTTGTAGTCCTAACCAGTTTGGCCGTTGTTGCTAAATCATATGAACTTCTGAAGGAGTACAAAGGAGAGAGCATCAGTCAGTGTTTCAGACCCGCAGTCCGATGCTTTAAATCTAACTTCAAATGGTTCAAATGGTGAGTGAATGTCTTGTAATCCGTTAACGATAATGTGCTAAACATTATGCGATCTGTTGATGAAGTGTAGGTGTGTTTTATCGTCTTTTCAGGCTTTTCATTTTAGCAGCTGTGGCCCTGCTTGTTCTGTGGCTCGTCTTCGACACAAGCCAGCGTCCCGAGCAGCTGATCTCGTTTGGAGGTGTGTGCACGTTTGTCGTGCTTGTGTTCCTCTTGTCAGCACACAGGACGGCGGTGAGTTTTGCATGGGGTCACTGACTCTACTAAAAGATGAATAATCACTGTGATGACAGAAATGGAAACATGCTCGGGCGTTATCTCTGATCTGTTTTACTGAGACTTTGGATATCATTTGGCCTTGTTCCTGTATCATCTTAAGGTTTAGCAGAAGTGCTTCCTTGTGATAACATAAGGCGTTATGGAGACTCCCTAATACACTAACTACTTACATAGAGTAACTTATAATCACACTATAATGCATTATAAAAATATTATAAAGTATTAAATATATCAGAATTATAAAACACCATGATCCTTGCAAATAATGACAAGTCATTATAATACCCTCCGAGCCTTAAAAATGTGACCAACAATTAGGATACTTGACCTTACAAGTCATTATACAGTTCTTGTTAATGTGTTATGATTATTGTTAAAAAGCATTATGAATAGTAATGAATGCTTTAAATTAGATTGTACAGTGCTATAAACAGGTTATAACACATTATATGAGTCATTATAGACATTAGCGTCATAGAAAGACTTTCCTAATCTTTTATAGGTGTCATGGAGGCCTGTGTTTTGGGGTCTCGGATTGCAGTTCTGTATCGGCATTTTTGTTATACGGACACAGCCTGGACTCATAGCATTCGAATGGCTTGGAAACCAAGTGAAGGTATTGGATTTTTCCCTATCTAAAATAAATATCGAACGCTGTTATAATAAAGGAAACTAAAAGAAAGTAGTAGTATCAACAAATACTTAGGCATGTGTGTGACCTAATATTGATCGTTTCACAGTTATGAATGTTAATATAATATGTGAATGACATCGGCTAACAGGAAATAAACATGAACCGTTGAATAATAGGATACACACGGATGATTATTACACAAGCTCCACTTTCAAATCATGAGCATGCACAACATGAACAGTCATTTGTACATTTGTTTTTTTCATTATGAGCGTAGATTGCAAATACCATCCATTTTATATTAATACCAAAATAATCAGGAATTTACATTTATATATATGTTATCAAGGAGTAGTATTACCGTACAATTTCTAAACAGTCACATCATATGTGATCCTGAAGCTCTTGGTTTGCACAATATACTTTGCTTGTATGGCACACTCAAGTTTCTTTTTTTTTTTTGTCTTGGGAAAGGTTTGTTTTTGTCTGTTTATGTTTCTGCTCTTGTTAACTGTCTAGTGCAATTGTAACTTATCTACCGGGGCACAATATCCTTTAACTGAGTGGATCATACATGCTTATCTTTAGAGCTTCTTTATTATGTTGTTCACCCTTGTTCTTGGGTTTACAGGCATGTCCGGTACAGACTATATGGTCTTTAGTTCCATGACTTCCTAGAGTAAAATCTGAATTAATAAGTAATTGCATCATAAATGTCATGAAAAAATCAATCATTTGAAATACTGTAACCCATGTTTCCCCATGTCTGATGATTACAGATATTCCTTGACTATACCAAAGAAGGATCAAATTTTGTTTTTGGGGACCTGATCGACAACATTTTTGCCTTTCAAGTAAGTGGATGACATTTTAGTCTTTCTTGAATATTGAACGTGTTAAACTTTAGTTTTCTTCATGTAATGTTATTTCTCCTTCAGGCGTTGCCCATTGTTGTGTTCTTCAGCAGCGTGATGTCAATCCTTTACTTTCTGGGGATAATGCAGTGGCTCATTCTGAAGGTAAAGAAAGTTTAAACTGCCTCATAGGCTCCCTCTAGATCTGGGTGAATATAGCTTACACCTGCAGTGTCATGCTATGACCAATATCCATGTGTTTTTGTCCACGCAGATCGCATGGTGCATGCAGATAACAATGGGAACCTCTCCCACAGAGACCTTGAGCGTGGCAGGCAATATATTTGTTGGGCAGGTCTGAGCAAGACATGATGCAACACTATCTTTGATACTAGTCTGACTGTCTACATTTTGCTTTGACTTTGATTTCATGAGCTAGACTGTCTGTGTACTTTAATTTTATGGTTATATAAAAACTGCAGTAAAATATCATACAGTTACTCTGCTTGTTTACTTTTGCTCCACATTGTTTGCGTATCAGACTGAAGCTCCGCTGCTGATCCGCCCTTATTTGAGCAAGATGACCAAATCTGAGATCCATGCTGTTATGACTGGCGGATTTGCCACAATTGCAGGCAGCGTCATGGGAGCGTTCATCTCATTTGGGGTAAGATAAGGTTGTTGTTATACCACCACATATTACATACATAACATAGCCCACAAATAATGATGATTAAACATATCCATATAGGACATTTCATACACAAAGATTATTTCAAGAAGAGAAAAATTAAAAGTAAATGTTGGATGTAAAAACTTTCTAAAGCAGGTTTTAGTTTTCTTTTAAAAGTTATTAATGAACGTTCTTAAATCTAGAGGGAGACTGCTCCAGAGGCTGGAGCTGTATACATTAAATTCAGCATCACCATAGGCTTCAGTCGTGGAGGGAGGAACAGCTAATGTGAGAGTATCGAACATAAACTGTGAGGAGCATGGTGACAGGCAGCTGGTGTAAAGATTTTAGTCTGAGGGTTGATAGCTGCACTCAGTTTTATGCAGTGGCGGGCCGTGCATTTTATACCTGGGCCTTCTGTGCTGTCCTACTGAGCTACGGTTATTTGTTTCTATTGGTGTAATAATACACATATTCATATTAAACAGTTTGGTACGAGGCTTACGAACCGAACAATACGTTTGAATAATACTAGTGCATTTGGAAAATGGTGTCTGTTCGCCGGCCGGCGTTTTTCGGTACGCCGGCCGGCGAATGAACATCAGCTGTTTTGTTTTTATTTGCAGTTTTACCATTTCAACAACAATCATGCAGACTATCAAATACTGTATCTGTTGATTATTGCAGTAACTCCACCATGGCCTGCATTAAAGGACATTTCTTTGTGTTTTGCAGATTGATGCATCTTCCTTGATATCAGCCTCTGTAATGGCTGCTCCTTGTGCCTTGGCCATCTCCAAACTTTCTTACCCAGAGACAGAGGAGAGTGTCTTCAAGGATGAGAAGAATATCAAAGTGGCTACTGGGTGTGTATATATGTCCATTCATATCTTCCCTTCTCCTATTGCGATTTTTGTGTAAATTCATTCATTTGTTTACTCCTTAGAGATGAACAGAACATCTTGGAGGCTGCTAGCAGTGGAGCGTCTGCTTCAATAGCTCTTGTTGCTAACATTGCAGCAAATTTGATCGCCTTTCTTGCCATCCTCGGGTTCATAAATGCAGCGTTGAGTTGGTTTGGCAGTATGGTGGGATATCCTTTAATCACATTTCAGGTACATTTGAGCAAAAGACTGATAACTTAAGTGTGACCATTTTTACAATGTGCAATACGCTTTTGGATTTTTTTAAATTGTATTTATTGATTTTTCAAAATTTTGGGGGGTTATCCAAAAATGTGCAGGTGGTCAAAAGATAAGAAAGCTAAACTGACAAAAACAAAAATGAGTAATGAAATGAATAATATATGTTTTGATGATGGATTTTCTAATTAATGCTGACAATTTAACTAATTATTTGGACATACATGTATTTCTTCATTTACACATTTCACAGATTTTGCTTGCTTGTACTGTAAATTCAACAAGTGTGTCTAACAATATCCAAATAACCGTATGCCTCTCTGTGCTCACAGATAATTTGCTCTTACATATTCATGCCCGTGGCCTTTATGATGGGAGTACCTTATGAAGAGAGTTTCATTGTGGCTGAGCTAATCGGCACAAAGCTCTTCATCAACGAGTTTGTGGCTTATGAGAAACTATCTGTACTGAAGGACAACAGACTCAAAGGACTTGATGAAATTATTGGAGGAGAAAGACAATGGATATCTGTGAGTAAATGTTCTTAATTGGAGTGAGTGCTGCGGTGTTACAGGTATAAATTCATGAGCACTGGACAACAAAAAGAATGAGAAACGATTTTACACAATGCAAAATAACATTACGTGATTCGTTTTTTTCTTTTTTCAGATCCGATCAGAAATAATCTCCACTTATGCTCTTTGTGGGTTTGCCAACTTAAGCTCACTGGGTATCATGATTGGAGGCTTATGTGAGTATTTCATCATTCCATCGTCATGTTTCTGTCCTGCCACAGGATACTCTCTCAGTAATGATTCATCTTTTCTCAAAGCCTCTATATGCCCATCCAGAAGAGGCGATGTCTCATCTCTGGTGTTGAGAGCTATGATCACTGCCACTTGTGTTTCTCTCATCAATGCTTGCATTGCAGGTGAGAACTTTTGAATTTAAACTGGCAGTGCAGTCCTGTTGTAATGTAACTGAGTAACCTTTTTTTCCCACTTTATTTCTTAGGGATCCTCTTCGTTCCTCCACCTGACTGCGTGGAGCTGTTCAATGCACCTGCTTTCAATGCTACAGATGTAAATATACAAACTTGCTGTAAAGACCTCTTTCAAAGGTAAGCATGTACATTTTATAGTGGCGGGATATAAATGTTAGGGTGACATCAGTGACACACAGTGTTAAAAGATTCTTACATGTGCACTCAGGTAGCTGAGTATATCTCTCTGTGATGTGGGGCTATTTGGACTTACATCTCAAATATTTTTATTTTGCAGCACTGTAAACAACGGGACCATCTCATTTGAAGGGTGGTGGAGCACAGTAGCAGACGCCACTTTGTATTTCTCTAATTGTTGTCAGTGCTGTGGTCTTTCTGATGTGGCAGTTTGTATTTAGCTTGTTTCCGTGTTTGTATATTTGTGTAACAGTTGATGTAAAAATGTAAAGTCTATATGCATATCTTTTAAAGATGAATGCATCTTTTTTTATGGATTATATGGTAAATTAATTCAGATATTGGCTTTTATTTAAAGCCATGGATTAAAAGGACACCCCTTCAGAAATATAGATCCGGAAATATCCAGGCATCAACAGTTTGATGAAATTAAATATTTGACAATTATACAAACAGTCGTACTCTTCGAAAAAATTAAAAACCTATAATGAAAATGTGATCTATGGTTGAACACAAATGTTTTAGATATTTATTTTAAAAAAAAGAAAATGTGATGTGACATAACAAAGACAGCACACACATGCATTCCTCTCTCTTAATCACTCATTCATTTACTCACTCACACACACACACTCACATGTTTTTGTTCACACTACTTCCGATATTCATCCTTTGACTTTATGTACACCTGAACACAACATAGCGTCACACCACACCTTAACATTACAGTATTTGCACTATCATTAGCTGGTCAATATTTCAACCTCTTTTAGAATTGTTCTATCATAAACAGTCATGCAAGTTCAGTGATGTAAATATAAGGTCAGCTGAAGTGTAAGAGCGGAAGACTTTGAAGACTCATTGATCATCAACCAATAACCCATAACAGGAATTCCTAAAGATTTCTTGTCGGCTCTTTGTTATTTATAAAAGGCAAATGACTCCTGTTTGAAATGAACAATGAATACCTGTGCAATCTCACAAGATAAATAAATACTTTTCATTCTGATTTGTATTTTGCTGACTAACTGTACACTAGCAAAACTCACATTATTTTTCTTTTCCTTTTTCTTGTTCAGTGGAAGGTGATTGTCAGTTGCTGTAAAACAGATTTCATTCAGGGAGAGTTACTTGGTGATGACAGGCTGCTAAAAGTCCTGAGCCTGCACTTTTCATTATTTTGTTCAGTGTGCTTTTATCCCACAGTCCATAGGTCAGATAATGTACTGTGTGGAACTCATTCAGCAGCTTTCATACTTGAGTATTGCATGTCGATGAGCATGAGCATACCATTGTTAAAGAGTTAACTGGTAAGCCCCTACTGCACATTCCTTTGCATTTATCAACATATATTCTGAAATACTATGAGAGGACCTATTAAAAACACAGACACAACGGATACAAAGTACTTAAAAACTACTAAAAAGTAATGCCGAAAACAAAGTGCACACAAATATCTTTGATCTAAAAATGGTGCTGTAATTCCACAGCATGGGCTCAACTTTGCTGCTTAAAGAAATGCATAGGCATTTCTAATACAAGCCATACATAATGTCTCTATAATTAACTGTATGTCCTACTCTCATGCTGTACATCACAGATGAACGTGCAACGTTTAATATGGAACTCCCTCTGTGGCTGTGGTTTTATTCTCCACAACTATTTAAATCAAACCAGGAAAATGTTCAACTCTTCATTGAAAGAAAAGAGCTTCAATGCAAATGTCCCAGTGTGAAGTACGGTTGATTTTTCAGTGCTGATGATTTTGAGTTTACAGATATTTCTTGGAGAGTTGTTTCTCCACTCATAGATCTGATACGAGTAAAAAATTAAAAACACGGCTTTTGCTGGATGTCTTTTTACTGTCATTGTAATGGCCACTGATAAATTCACAGTAATTCTTTGTAATAAGTCAGGTCAACAAACTTTTGCTTTTCTTTTAATCTTACTCTTCAAGTCCTTGCTGGTTTTGGTAACTGGAAAGAAACAGGTAATACTAAACCATTACAAGCAGTAAAATCTTGCTTGTCAAAGAAGAGCCGCTTCTTCCTACCTCATTTCAAGGACATCAACAGTTTCTGCAGGCTGGGGTTTGTCGCCTAATTTATTGTCCTCTGTCTCCTGATTTTTTCTGGTCACCTTTGGGCTAGAATTAGCCTTTCTAGACATCTGAGGACTGTGTTCTTTTCGTTGCAGCTGGGGGCTGTTGGAGCCCAACTTGCGGTTGAGAAGGGGGCTTTTGGAGCTCTTCATCTTGGTGGGTTGCTGTAGACTATCCATAGTTTTAAGTGAGCGCAGGCCAAGAAGTCCACAGTAGTAGTTGCACTGATGGTGTGTCGAGAACTGTTCTAACACTTCAGGAGAGCCGTGCTCTGTTAGTCCTTGGTATCTGAAATACAGGTGTTAACTTTTTATTTCAGACAAACAATAACATTTGCATTTCCTGGTTTAGATACATACCCTTTTGACTTGGTCACAACTTTGACATTTGTAATCTTCGTTTCAACTCCTGAAAAAAAAGAATCCCAGAAGATTATCAATATTATCATTCTCAGAAATAGATAATTGATTGTGCTGGTTATGACCTTTGATGAGTGTCTTACCCTCGAGCCGAGTGACCAGCAAATTGCCATGCGTCCACTGATGGATCCAGTGCTGGAAAGAGCAGCATTTTTGCTCCACCTCAGAAAGGTTTTGTGTAATCAGCCTGCCTTTAGGATCCATCATACAGTAGTTGAGGAAGACACCCTCAAAATAAGCCTCCACCGTAGCGTATGGCACAGAATTCGCAGGCCGGTACATCAGATACTGAGCAATTACTCTGTGGGCAACACAAACAAATAGGCGGTTGATCACAAGGCAGTGTTGCAGATTTTGATATAGGAATCAGAGCTACTGTATAAAAAGCATGGTACTTACTCAAGTGAAAAGCCAAAGTTCTCAGTAACTCTTGCTTCAGCCGCAAAGATTTTACAGTATTCACGTATCATGTTTTGGACTTTGCATTCCTGGCAACACAAACAATTTAATAAAGCAGATCACTGTACTGCAATCATGATCACTAGGAAATTAGTGGAAGCAATTTACTAAAGATTCTTGGACACTAAATCCACCACTCACTTGCTTAGTAATCTGTAGATTTCTCTCTGTGAGGTTGCTCTCCTGTGTGGTCCCGTAGGCGATGGGGCTTTGAACTTTGATGATGCAGGCGCTTCCAGAGTCAAAAATGGGATCCAGGCCGTAAATGACCTTCACTCTGCTGGCTTTGTGAGTGCAGCCCTCCCCGATGTGCACCGTCTCGGTCATGATGCGGCCGAAGTACTTTTCAGCCCAGCTGCCACAGTCGGCCAGGCCTCTGTTGAACAGCAGCGGGGTCATCTCAATCTCCTCTCCAACTAAGGGAAAACAAGACCCGTATTTACATGAACATTGTAAACTTTGTAAAAAAGCTGATATGTTCTAAAGAAAGCTACCGTATCCTTCCAAATCCTCTTTTAGTAGTATCTCAGACAGAACTGTGAGACAGAAAACAGAAAGACTCATGAAGCATTATTTATATATAACATTTAGAGTTCACACTTGATTTCTCAAGGCATATACTCACTGTCTACGCTGAGCAGGAAGTCAGTGGTATCAGTCCCATATTCATTACTGATCGAACAGCCATACACTCCACAGTCGTGGCTGGATGCCAGAACAACAGCCAGTGCGACTTGGCTTTCATCTCCTCCACTTGAGGACAAAAAATATGAAAACATAATCATAAAACACGCCAAGTTGAGTTGTACAGAACGTCAAAGGTTCAACTTTAACCCACAAGGTGTCACTGCGAGACAGATGGCCACGCTGAGAGGCAGCATTCTGCTGACACAGCAGCCAACAGCACACATATAGACTTTTAATGCCCCCTGGAGATGGGAAAGATATTGTGTCAGGTTACAGTTTCTGTGTCTAGCCAGAGATTCACCTCTCTGTGTCATAGCTGTGGGGCTCACAGTCACATGAGGTGGACGTCTCTGCAGTGAGAATATGAGAATGACAGAAGGCCATGGGATGCACGCTGAGGCCCAAATAAATCCTGCTCCTCCTCGTTGCATTATTGTTTTAGATTTGGAACCTGTCCATTTTTACCGGTCATGTCAGCTGGAAATCCTCAAAACAATAGCAGCGGAAAAAAAGGTGACAAGTAATACAACAAATTCAACACAATGTGACATTGCTGTTGATTTGTGTTACTGGTGGTTAGAGTAGGGTGTACACTGTGCAACAAGAAGGTCGGTTTTACCTTCTCTTCAGCTCTACTATTTCCTCCTCTTCTCTGTACCACTTAATGGTGGAGTCACTGAGCACGTTGAAGAACTGGCACCACATCTTCAGGTGTCCGGAGGCATCTGGGAACGGCTCTCCCCTGATCTTACGGATGACTTGTGGAGCTGGTGGTGCATGACAGAGGGAGTGCCAAAGTAATTATATACTGTCCTGGAGAGGGGAGGCTTTCTAATGTTTCCACTTCCTCGCGCACTGGTGGACTAGTAAGACTAACGTGTTGACAAACTAAATATTTCACACAACCCTTTGTGATATTGTGATATTTTGTAAAAACTACACAAAAGAGTCAAATATACTGTAGACTGCCACAGCTAATCCCCTGTGATTGAGCCATAATATATTATATTGTGCCTACAAGTTCATACAAATGTTATTGGAAAACACGCACAAAATGGGGACTGAAGGATTGCTTCTTTACCTTTCAAAGGGTTTAGCTTCTTTTCAGCTGGTTTCTCATCTTGTTTGGTGCTAACAGGCTCTTCTGTAGGAGTCTGCTCCACGGATTTTGGCACCTCCAAGGTGGCCTTTCTGCGGCTCAGCAGCGGAGAGCGCCTTTCCATTGGTGGGGTATTTTGTCCCGTGGGAGTTTGCAGTAATGCTGCTCTGCGAGCCTGGCTGGGTGACATGTAAGGGGTCTCTTTCTTGCCTTGGGTTTCCAGCGCACTAACTACAGCTCCCTCTCCATCTTCTTTAGTTTTGGGGATGAAGATTTTGCGACGAGCTCCGGAGGCCAACTCTTCAGGCGTGGCAGAGCGAATGAGTGACAGACTGTCTCTGCGCTTCAGACGGGGACTGTTCTCACAGGAGAGGGATGATGTTGGCGTTGAGCCTCCACTTAGATCTTCGTCTGCTTTGTCTATCTGACGGTCACCCACAGTGATTACTTCAGAGTCTGGAGCAGCTTTGGACATGAATTTACGGAGACTGGCTGGACTCAATGATGGATGTGCCGGAGGTTTACAGCAGAGTCTTTCTGCCGATCTGTTTCTTTGAAGGTCCTCAACAGACACAGAATTCTCCATTTTGGCCTCTTTAAGGGGTTTTGTCTTCAAGACTTCAGGGACAATGTTATCTTCTATTGAATTACTGAATGATGGCACATTGTCACCAACTTTTGGTATTAGAGCTTCATATAGCATCGAGGGAGTGCTTTCTTTGATACTCTTTTCTGCTGTTTCTTCTAGGTTCTGTTTTCTACTTTGAGTTATTTCAGGCACAGCCCTTTGCGTGGCAGCTGAAGTTTCTGTTTCTGTCCACTCACTTTCTGTGGCCAGTCCAGAATCACTTTCATGACAAGTGACAGAGATCGGTGGCACCACAAACAAAGGCACTGGTGGAGTTTCTAAAGGCTGCTGTGTATCTAAAACATGGGTGTTTACATACACATCATCCTCCTTGTCATCAGTGCACGAAACGTTTATAACAGGAATTGATGCTAAGTCCATCTGAGGGAGCCGTTCACTACTTATCACGTGTGGCTGCTCTCGCTCTAACTTTTTACTCTCGTCATCTAATTGGACAACTTCCTTTACATTCTCTGTGAGTGAGAGGTTGGTATCATTCTGCATACTTTTCTGTGTGGGCAGCGAGCTTGTAGAATCAGCCAGGCTGTGGCCTTGGATTATTACTTTAGACACACTAGTTGCATCATGTTTTTGCAAAGTAGCAGGCTCTGATTCTTGCTTGTTTAATCCCAAACTAGTTGGTGGTAGAGTGCACTCTTTGAGCTGTGGCTCCATTATTTCAATTTTTGGGATTATAAAATGCTCATTTGGTTTAACACCTGCCACAGTTGGTTTAATATCTGGGGTGTCATCAATAGCAGATATTTGGATTTGTGGGATATTCACTGAGGGCTGACCCTGCTGTCTCTCACTGCTCTCTTGATGTGCAACATTGTTGTTTTCCTCCAAAACATACACATTGCACATCTTGTTTTGTGTTACCGAGAGGCTCTTTGAGTCAACCAACTGTTCTTCCACTGGATTTCTCTTTTCTGTCTCCACTTCAAACTGTAAACTTTCATTTCTTCCTTCAGCGCTCTCACCTTCTACAATGACTTGCTCTTGGGTTTTAAGATTGCTAGCTGAGTTTACTTCTACATCTACAGCAGAAATCAATACCTCTTTCAATTTGCTTCCCTCTTCACTGCTTCTAAAACCTTTGTTTGAACTCTGTACTGCATTGACATTGTGGACTTCAGTGCTTTCCTCTCCTATAGAAGACGTGTAGTCTTGCAGCATTTTTAGGTCACCCTTCTCTAAACTCTCCGGGGGTGCAGTGGGCGGAAACCCTACATTCATTTCCTGAATCAGTGAAGTACATTCGGCCTGTTCCTTTACATCATCTCTCTCTACATCGTATGCTGTCACAGCAGGCAGAGACGTAGGAACATGATGTGCTGTTTTAGATTGACATGGCCCTATTCTCTTTTCCAGTGAACATGGTGTTAATTCAGAAATCTCAGATCTGTTTATTTTTGAGAACGGTTGTCTGTTTGAATTCACTTCAGCTTTCTCTTCCTCGCATAACTTATTCAAAGAGCTGCCCTCCTCCGTGTCAGGTTCGCCTTCTTTGTCCATCTTATCAACACTCATCTTTTCTTCTCGTGAAGTTTTATCGAATGCCTCTCCAAGGCTGTGACTGTTTGACACCGAGATTAAATTGTGAGGGAAAGTCCAGCTTTCTTCCAAACTCATGAGGGTGGATGTGGAGGAGTATTCCTCTTTAAAGCAGTCTTGGGTCTGTGGCAGCACAGATACTTCTTCCCTGGGTGAAGACTTATCTCTTGCAGCCTGGTGATTAGGCTGTGGTGAAACTACCAGGCGAGCTGGCTCTTGCTGGTGTATGGGATCCTCTTTGATAACTGATACTATCTGAGGATCTTTCTCTTCAGCCTGATGAGAGAAGTAAAAAAATAAATAATATTAGTACTTCAGTGCATTTGCAGCAGTGTTGTTTTTTTCACAAAAAAATACATGAAACACACATGCCTTACACTGCTGGTTTTACTTCTCATGCATGTAAAATAATACATTTTACATGCATAAGAAGTCATTCTAACAGTACGATTTGTTAGTGACCACGCAACCTACTGGAAAAAAACATGCTGTCATGTTGAGGAGTTTTTTAAGAAGCTTGTTGGAACAAATCTACTGCAGTGACCTTTGACACCGTGACACGTTTAGACTGAGACACATTTTGCAATCATAAATCAACAGAAGCATAAACAGTGACAGATTCTGAAAAACATGCATTGTGTTATGTGTTACCTTCCCCGACATAGAGGAAGAGCACTGTAATCAGTTTGTTAATAAAGTTGATCAATAGTTGATATTAACCAAGTGTTTACACATGCAAGGTTCCAATTCAATATTTAAATTTGTGAACAAAGTGGGATTAGCTTAAATTGTCTGAATTTAGCCATGACCACACTTGATACTAACTTTTATGTCTATGATTAACCTTCATTTGAAAGTGCTTGTGTGCTCTGCCTTTTATGCTGAAGCACGGACAGGGAAATTCCTACATTCTTGACACAGATGTTTACTCAAAGAACCTCTTGGGCAGTGAATGAACGATCGCTTGTCTCTCGATAAAAGACGAATCATAACATGAATGATTCACCTAAATATGAAACTAAACTGAACTAAAAAAAATAAATCTTACATTTGAGTGTGCATAGTACCAAAGAAAAGATTTACAGGTAAAGCTTCAAGCTACATATCAAAGTGTTTGGTTTTCCCCCCTCATTGTCCCTGCTGTTCACACTATTAAGATGAATGCAGAAGAGTAATGAAGCCACATGCTGCCTCGTGACAAGATGTTTGGCCAGCAGTGACTACTGAGAAAAAAAGAAGTTGCTGCTTTCGATGGAAGGGTGTCACATTCTAAAAATGAAGCTGTGGCTGGCACTACACTTACAGTGTAAATAGATGTCACACACATGTGACAAGACACTGCTCAGGTAAATCGTTTGACTTCCTCGAACTAGTCATTCATGAGGGCACAGAGTTTACGACCAACATAGCAACGGTAAAGTTGAAGTTCCACATTATGGACAAACAATTGCTTTGCAGGTTGATCATGTTTAAACACACATGTCAGTTCCCCTTTTCCCTTGTCATCGAGCACCCGCAAACTGGATGTTAATGGAAAATGCAGAATTAATTACATCCACTTGACTGTGTTATAGCATCTCATGCAAAACTCACGGAACAAAACAATTCACAAACTCAGAATACATTTACATACAAATATATGTAATACAAATTCAGATTTTGATTAAAGTAACCACATAAAGGTTCAGAAATTATTGTATTTCAACAAATTCTTCCCAACTTCCTCCTTAAGCATATAGACACATTGAACAAAATATGCTGAATAAATAACTAAAACATTTAATTGAGTGTACAACTAAACAAATCTGGCTAGATTGGATTTTTGAGAATACTTGCATGCTTGTATGTTTTGGCAATTACTTCAGTGGATTTAAATATATTATAGCCAAATATGTAACATGCTTTTCATAAACTATGTCTAAGCTAGTATGAACTGAATAAACTAGTGTCACTCTGGCATCAATAGAGGCAAATTTGTCTTATTTAAAAATAATTTCAGCTACAATCTGAGAATTTTAATTTTGAATCTTTTTGTTTAAACTTTGCGTCCTAGACGAAAATACATGTTCACATTAAACCATTGAACCATTAAAAAAAGTGTTATCACTTCAAAGAAAGTCACAACACAAATCCATATTAAACAGCTAAGATTGTCACAGTCACATGACCAAACTGAACTATATAAGTGCAACGCCAAACAAGGCCAAAATTATAAGTGGCAAAGTATCCCCACCAGCTTTCTTACTGTATGGGCATGTACTATACAGCATATTAATCATAGCATGATCATCCTAATTCCCTACACATGACAGGCTTGAAGCAATTCTCCAAGCTGAACGCTGAGATGACAGAAGTACTGCCTTCCTCTTGCTGCTCTCGATGAGGAAGAGGTTTATTTAAAGATAAAGGGAGGGAGGGAGTGAGGAATGTGTCCAATGTGACGAGGCCCTCCTTTCATGCAGAGGCCTGCCGCTCTACTCCCACTCATCCAGAACACACAGCCGTCTGTCCTGCAAAGCCTGTTTGTAACTTGAGAACCACTTCTGACATTCAGGTTTCATCATGATCTCTGACGCACTGGTGTCCCACTCATTGCAGCCAGCATCTGAGATATTCCCCATCCTATCTTAAAGTGTGTCGATCCACAACATCCCCCACCCCCACAGATATGTATAGCGCAAGCTGCTCGGTTCTTCTGGTTCCTTATTTCTCTCATACTATCTAGCTTGATGCGTTTGAGTGATATTGATGCAGTTAAACCACAGACTCACATGTTTTAAAGCGGCTGTATTGTCTGACTGTCCCACACCATGAATATAACATCTAACTACGAGTTGCCATATCTACCACATTTGCAACCAGCAGCAGCTCAAAGCCTAAACTGTCTCATAGTTGACATAGTTCAGGCTTTGGCCCTGAAGTAGCTCATCTTGTATTATCTTTTCACACAAATGCAGCCTATTTATAACTCTTAAGTGGCAGCCAGCTGCCCTTGAAGACCACCGTATACATACCTCAGTGAGGACTTCTTGACCTGGACTGCCGCTCTCTTGCCCCACAGACACCTCCATGGCCTCAACAGCAGCATCAGCCACATTGACACTCCGCGCTGTGGACACCTCTACGCTCTCAGGCAGCAATTTATGAGCTGGTGGCTGGTCTGTGTGTAGAACCATGTCTTCATTGTTAAGTTCATGTGGCTTCTGTGACTGTTCTGTATCCACAGTCTCTGGAGTTTCTTTCAGTTTATCTATTTCCATAGCCACAATGTCTTCTGTAAGAGGCTTGCAAACTTGATTTTGTTCTGTTTGCAGCAGAAATGATGGTGGCGTTGCGGCATGCGAGTGGTCAAACGCTCTCTCCTTGTTCTCCATGTGATCATGAGAGTCCTTCTTGCTCTTACCAAAGAAGAAGTCTTTGACTGTGTGCAGCACCGAGGAGATGGAAGCCTGAATGTTGTGGTGGTCATGATCCTTATGAGCCTTGATGTGATGGTCATGATCCTTATGAGCCTTGCTGTGATGTTTGACTTCTGAACTATGTTTCGTAAACGGTACTGTATGCGACGTCTTCGACAGCCTTTCCCTTTCTTTCTCCCTCTCTACAGCCAATTCTTCTTCTCTCCTTTTCTTTCTCTCATACTCTTCTTCTAAGGCTTTTTCTTGTTCTTCCCTCACTTTTTGCATCCTCTCTTGCTCTCTCTCTTTCTCTTTACTGACACTTACAATAGGTATATCCATCTCGTTAGGGTTCTCCCCTGGAGATGAACTCTGTTTCTCCTCAGCACCCCGGGACTGGAGAGTCTCTGCCATAAATTGTGCCAAACCCATTCCTCCATCGTAACAGTTTTCACCTCCATTTCCCATCATATTGCTTCTGCTGCTGCGTCTGCTGCTGTTGTTAACCCCGTCATCTACTCCATTAGTGATCTTTATTTTGTTTTTGGTCAAGGTGTCCTCAAATGGAGATATCTCATCCAGGTCTTTGGATGTCACAGAGGCTGTTTCCTTGACTTCAGAGCTAACACCATTAGGTTCTGCAGAAGCTCTCAGTTGCTCCTCAGCCTCAGCCTGGACCAATGGCCTCTCCTCCTGTAGCGGGATGTGTTGCTTCCTTTGAGGATGTTCAGTGTTTTCTTTATCCCCCTTCTTGGTGTGTTCCTCCAGATCTTTCTTCTTCTTGTCTGCTTTCTGCTTCAGCTTGGCGAAGAACCTCTGGTGGATCTGGAACTCGTTCATGGTGCCGACCTCCAAAACTCCCGAGCAGGAGACAATACCTTTACTATTGCTGGCTGAAACCTGATAGATGGCTGCATCATCCAATGTGCAGCTGAAAACAGAAACACTTATTAACCTCACATCACGCTATCAGCATTACAATTCCCAACAAAAAGCTGCACTTCTAATAATTTGATGTAATAGATTACTATTTTTGCAAGGTTGTGATACATACTTGTAAATATGGAGGGTGTGGATTTTATCATTTCGATGAATTTCATATTTTGGGAGTCCACAATAGCGATCCAGTTCCATATCATCTTTATACCATTTCAGTTCTGGAGCTGGGTAACCTAAAAGAAAGACATCGATAGACTATAATTAACTGATTGCCTCTGGATTATAAACGTGCCACAAAGCACTTTATCTATGCATATTTGGTACACAGGGAGCACGGTCAGTTTGGTTTGCACTAAATATCATTTTGTTTTGGAAGTTGTACAGTAAAAAAAATTACAGTGTAGAAGCTTTGGCATGAATGTGTTTTTAGGCAGTTGCATCATGTTTGTGAAGTGACAGCTGCTGGAACAGCTGTTGCTGTTGGACGAGCCCACCCATCCAATCTGCCTGCAGTTAAAAACACAACATCCTGAAAAACCAGCTTGAATATGATATGGTCTGTTGAGTTTAAGGATGAGTTCAGGAAGATGAAAGCAGTTCCCTTCAAAGTGAAATCTTTTCTTTGTTTTGAGATTAGTCACACCCTGTCTCTGTGCACCACAAACAATCTGCTAGGTTTCAGTTCCTCCAACAGACAAAAAGCAGAGACATGCAAATGAACAAACCTACCTGATACCATACAGGTGAACTTCACGTTACATTTTTCTGACACTGCCTTTGATCTCAAGGTGGTGTCAAAGGATGGCTGTATGTCCTCAGTCAGCTGAGCCATGACGCTGCACAACGTGCTCCTGGAAGCAAACACTGATACATTAGAGAATGTATTGCTTTCAAATCGTAGACAGATTCACACTATAGTATCATTTCAGTGACCTCTATACCTCTGTGCAGTACATTCCAAGAACTTGCTTAATTAAGAAACAAGGATGTTAATGGAGATTTCGGGGAGTGACGTGATTGTGAAAGAGTGACACAGAGACTTGTGAGGTATCAAGCAAAACAAAGTTGTCAATCCAACACTAAAACCGATGTTCATCACTAAAAACTGAACGCAACACTGGACAAACTGGACATTTACATTACAGTTCAAACGTGTGTAGGTTTCATTCTTGGGGTAAATCAGTTTTTGAGGTTAAGATGTTAGTTGGGAGGAATGTTTTAAAAGTGTGGATTACCTCGTTGGCCTGTAGTGAGAATACCTTGAATAGCTATTCGGAGAGGAGGCAAACGAAGGGACGTCAATGATTAAGTTCTGCATATATATAGATAACCCAATTACATGAAATACCTTAATAACTGCCCTCCTCTTTGACAAAAGGAGCACTTCCTTGTTCTTATGGTGTGTAGATTGAAAACAGAAACAGGCATAATTGATGTGGTAAAAGTGATTTTTGACCCACAATGTGATGTGCTGAACAATGTGGAAAAAAATGTTTGGTTTGATTATTTTTATCATTCATTCTTTCCCCAAACCCAGATGTTTTTTCTTTACCACCATGCAATATAGATAAATAAATAAAACACAAATCTGCTTCACAAGAAACATCCTCTGCATATATGTGGACTATGTGAGGCTATACCTGTTTTCTGGCCTAACACTGGAGAGGTAAGGATTGCGGCTTTCTGTGCGGCCATTGGAAGAGCTGCCCTCCTCTTCACCGAAGCTGCTTGTCCTCCCATTGCCAGAGAGAGAGCGAGTCATTGGCCTTCTGGAAGTCATATTCCACTGAAGCAATTCACAAAAAATGCAAAATGTGTGGTAAATGTATCACCAACAGTATGAAACTACTCCTTGTTCAAGTCCACAATTCGTCAAATCTTAAATATAATGGTGTTATCCATGTAAAAGCCCCTGCAGAAGAAAAAAAAAAGAAACACTTTAGAATAGTAAAAGAACATGTTTGAAGTTAATGAAATAAAGTGAAGATACACTCTGGATCATTTGCTGATATAAAAATCCAACACACAGTTCAGTCTCAATGCTTGTCCTTTCTGACCAAGCAAAGTACTTTGCATTGGAGCAAGTTATAAATAGGATCAGCTATCAGATTGTGGAAGAGCTGTTAGTGGTCAAACATGAACCAAAGACGTGTTATTGACTTGTACGTGTTAGGAATATAATTCAGGCATTTCTTGATCACCTTAAAACTAGTAACATTTTCCAACTTACCATTGAGATGTTGTCAGTGTTGCTTTGGAGCCACAGTCTGTGAAGAAAATCTCTGTAACTGCCTATCATAGACACGCATGTGTTGCCAGAAGGGGCCTATTTATAGAAGCCCCACAAATAGGTGCAAGATGCATACGATTTTCCAAAACTAGACCTAAGAAAGAAATCTAAAAACCAAACTAAATTGAAAGAAAAAGCTAACCATTTAAACCAGAACATATTAATAAAAATAAGTTCCTTGATGGTGATATAAATGTCACTGCTTGGTTTTGATCTGTCTTAACAAGTTGGAAAAAGGGTGTCCCATCTTTGAGACACTGTAGTGGAGTGGATGTGGACTTGCAAAACATGTCTGTGTCCTTAGCTGATGACAACCAATAGTCTAAGTGCTATGCTTTGCTCAAGAGTTGCTTAGGGACAGCCCCCCCCTCACTTTGTATTGCAACACATGGTGACAACATAGAGATCCACTTACTGCTGACGTTTCACATCAATTTGAGGCTTTTCCTGGTTAAATTAAGGTTTAATAAAATAATAACAAAATACAATCTAGTTTAAACAACAAAAAAAGCACCCGCAAATCAGGCAAATATCATAATTTATAAACTTATAACGTTTTGTAAACAGGCCAGATATATTGCGACAGGGATACTAAGAAATAATATAACTATTCATTTATATTGCACATTCCATGTTTCTGTATTAAAATACACTTGCCACTTTTTTTTAAGGTACTGTTATTTGTTTATTTCTGTACCATATTTTATTGTAAATTTTATTATTTTTCTATTTTTTAATTATGTCTCGATTATTGCTCAGTGTTCATTGTTTATTGTTATGCACCATTCACCAAGTCAAATTTATGTATGTGTAACGTACTTGGCAATAAACGGTTCTAATTCTGATTCTGATATACGTAACTGTACACAGAAAATACACACATGTTACAAAGTAAATATTAATAAACCTTTTATTGAATAGATTTGATTCAAATGCTTCAATGAATGGTCAATAAAGGATCATAAACACTTACTTCCTATATATTTTAAGACATAACCCTTAACTCTGTGTTAAAACGTAACATACACAAATGTTGTGTTGTTATAGTAAGACACTTAATCATGATTAACACACATTATGCAAGTGAATTTCCTGTGTAAAGGTCACATGATCTACGATGTTGGGCAATTCGTGGGAGTGAAATGCTGTTTTTGTGTACATAAGCCAAGAATAGAATAATTCATCGTCACAACATGGTGACAATATTTAATTTGACATCTTTGTAGGAAATTTAACACAAATCAGGCAAAATCTAGACTATTGAAAACACAGTGAGTGTGTCCAGTCATCTCCCTAAACCTCAGCCTGTAGATTGTACAGTACTTGAAAAAGGGCCAGAACGATCGTTACCGTAATACTTGTAAAAGTGGCTCCGCTTGCATCTCCCTTACATGATTCGCATGGACCTATCCAGCACAGGGTTCGTTTGTTTAGACAAATATTAAATTAAAGCTGTACCATTTAAAAATAAAATAAAATCTCTGTATTTTTTCCAGTGTGCCAAAGGTTATATTTTATAAGATGCTCTCATATTATAGGCCTACCGGTAATGTGTGCGTACACTGCCTCGTTCCGGGAAAGGGAGAGTTTTCTAGATATAACTGAAGTTGAAGCTCAAGAGGAAAACATTTACTGGCTGAGGTCCGACAGCTGCTCAACTGGCCCGAGGCTGACGGCAGGTATGCATTAATTAAAGCATTTTGAACACTGATCATATTTATGTCTAAATTAGTGGCATTTCTAACCGAAACTACATGATTGTTCACTGCGGTATAACCTGAACGTTAGTTAAACTTCACGAGAAAGGAAACGTTAGTGCCAGAGGCTAGACATTCATTACGTGGTGTTTTCATCGGTTTTGGGCCTACTAAAGGGAGTTATTGAAAAATACTAATTGAACACTTTGACTCCACTTCCTGCAGTCTGTTGTGCTATAATAATAATAAGAAGATGCACTGACGACTGGATCCCGCAACAAACCCTGTCCAATGATGATCTGCGGTATGGCATGCGTCTCTTCACCACACTACATTCAGGGACTTTTCAAAAATAAAGACACCATAGTATGATTTGAGATGACTGAGATTCTCTCTTGATTTGTTTCAGAAATTGTCGTTGTGCGCCATCCTGTTTCTGTGTGTGTACCTGTGAACCACAAGGTGACTGTGAGTGTCCGTGCTGAGGGAACAGGTATCCTCAACTACCAGTGGTTCACTGATGAAAAGGAGGTTTGTTGATTTCACTTGTGCATAATGTGTTTGAGTTACAAAAAACTTTTAAATTAAAATCTAGTTTCTTTTGAAGGTTTTTTTTTTGAAGACACACTCGAGCATTTTGAATGACATTTATGACTGTTAAATGTGGATACTGTGTGTCCCTGTTTGTCTATGCTTGTGCATTTTTACTCTGGTGCACATCTGTCTTGAGCTCAATGAAACCACCAGTTTAAATATAGGACCAATTAGCTACTGAACATGACAAACTGAAACGAGTCATATCGAGAAAAACTCACACAGTCTCGCACAAATCTTAATCTTTTCTCCATGAACCTTTCTGTTCTTTGTTAAAATATGATTTTGTTTTGTTTTCAAGGTGTCTGGAGGCACTGAAGCAGACTTGACCATCAAAGCTAAAAAAACTCAGCTCTATGTGTGTCGAGTGAATGACCGCTTTTGTAACTGGGTGTTCAGCGACTGGGTGAAAGTGAAGGTGTTGGACATTGATAAATCAGGTATGCATTCTCATGTTGATTTATATTGTAGTAGGGTGGTGCTTTTGTTTCCTTTTTGTTGTATTGCATATTGCAAGATAGCCTCTGCCTGTCAGCTGTCAATCAATCAGTATCATGCACATTGCTAGAACATTGCTTTGAGTTTAAATCTCTATCTATCATCAGGGTTGCCAGAAAACTGGCTGGGTGAGCCACACATTGCTGTCAACCCTAAACCCCAGACAGTCCGACAAGGTACGAAACTCACTCTCCGCTGCGCTGCCTTTGGCATCCCCACTCCCCACTATCAGTGGTACAGAAATGGACAGCCGCTGCAGGACAAGACTAGTGGCATGCTGCAGGTGAGGAGGGTTTTTTTTTTACAGTGATTGTTTACACTGTGCAATATTTACTGTGTCAATTCAATGGCTCTGAATCATGCACCCTCTGTTTAATATCGATGTTATGAGTAATCTTACATGTGGGGCAATAGCCAGAAAGACAAACAATGGTAGGAATATAATCAACTGTGGTGCCTGCAGATCGACCGTGCAACAGCCGAACATAAAGGATCATACCTGTGCTCCATATCTAACGTGCTAGAGGAGACGTGGGCTGAACCAATCGATGTTGACATTGGTAAGTCATAACTGAAACTACTTTTATCAACGCGGTTAAACTCTGTCTTTTCCCAGTTGTATCATTGTTTTTTTCCTCAGACCATACTGCCTCCATTTCCAATGAAAAGGCTGTGAAGAAAATCTGTTTTTTTTACCACGCTTTTCTTTCCACTGATTTAGCACTGAGAAGTTATTTCCATTATGCAGCAGGTACTTTCCCATTTCTAAAGACTAACAAGGAAGTTAGACTCCAAATAGTACTTGATCCGAGCCTTAAGACACACGACAGGAAAGTGATGTAAAGTGAAACTAGTTCTGGCAGTGTTTCTCCGGTTTGTAACTTATGTTGTGGCATGTACAGTGCAGATCACAAAAAAAATATATATATATATATATGATGAAATTGTTAATTGTACTGCCTGATATGTGTCCTCTGGACAAAATCATAGTACACTAAATCAGATTTTTGTTTATAAAACTAATTGTGTGCACCTATATTTGTTTATATCCTCTAGTGCAAACTGATCAGCTTCCCCCTGCAGCACCCACAGGTACGGATTTATGGAAAGAAACTCAGTGTCAACCCTTGCTATTTTTAGTGTGCAACAGTAGAACGAGATCACGTTATGTATGAGCATTTCCTTTTGTTGCTATAATTATAATTCTACTGTGATCTTTGTTCTAGCCACTGATAAAGTTGCCTTACTCATTGGCAACTTGAATTACTCCAATCACCCTCCCTTAATGGCCCCCATTATGGATGTACATGAGTTGGCCAACCTCCTGCAGCAGCTTGGCTACAGAGTGGTTTCCCTGCTGGATCTCACCAGGGAGGAGATGCTGGCGGCTATTGAGAAGTTCATTCAGCTCCTTGACAGAGGAGTTTATGGTGAGTAGAATTTGCGATACCTAATTTTTTTCTCGCGTCCTGGGTCATGAATCCCTGCGTGGTTCACTGTACCTGTAGCTTCACACACATGCATGGTTGAGTGGGCAGACAAGGGGTAAAAAAAAGCGTAGGCATTGTTAACTTCATATATTATTTATGGCACTTCCTGTGTGCCTGTAACACTTTGAGAGAGACTTATACAGTAGTTGAAGAGGGTCATTCACAATTAGGCAAACAATCAACTAAATGTAAGTCTTTCGACATGTGATAATCAGTTATACAGTTTTAAACAACAAAGATAGGTGGCATTGAAGTGTATGAAGACATTCAGCTATTAACAACTAGAGCATACAGCTGCAAGAACAAGTCATATTGTTCAGGGGAACAAAGCCACTACTGTTATTAAACAGCAGACAGATACGCTAATGATAGAGCTGTAATATGAAATGATATTGATGACTGTATAGAAGCAATGATAAGAGAACTGACATGCTGTATCAGAATGATACTCTCTGTTACTGTTCTCCACTTTCTCTTGCTAATAATGAAACGAAGATGGAAAATAAAGAGAGTTTTGAAACTTATCATTCTGTATAGGACTCAGTGTCTTTCTCCCCAGTGGGACCTCCAAACATTACAAGGATTGCATATGTTCAATGCAAAATGTGATGATTGTAAGTGGTAACTAGATGCATTTTAACACTCTTGACAGGCCTTTTTTACTATGCGGGTCATGGATATGAGCGTGCTGGGAGGAATTACTTGGTGGCTGTCGATGCTCCCCAACCGTACCGGCCTGAAAACTGTGTCTGTGTGCAGAGGGTCATGCTCAGTATGCAGCAAAGACGGACTGCACTCAGTGTAATTCTTCTGGATACCTGTAGAAAATGGTAGGCACAGTTATTCATTTATGTTTTCACTAATAGAAGACAGTAACATGTGTTTTCATGTTTATTTGTAAACTGATGATTATACATACTGTATTATACATATGTACATACTATTATATACTGTACATAATACTAGATTTTTTGATAATGTGCTAGTTATCAGGCTTGTTTTTGATTGCTTACTGTATTTCTCCTTCTGAAGGTACAACCAGGATTGCATAGCTTCAGGCATCATGCCATTGGGACCCAGTGGGAACACCGTTTACGGTTATGCCACGTATGTACCTTTTTATTAGCTCTTTTATAAATATCTAATTACAAATACAGAAACCAATACCTATTTATTCAGTCAACATGCTGTGGAATGGAAAGTTATGTTTATTAAAAAAGCAGAACTAAATCCTTTGCAATCTGTTTTTTTTTTTCAATAACATTTCCTTTGTTAACTAATGCAGATGTGAAGATGCTGAGGCGTACGAGGTCCAGGATGGAGGGAAAAGTACTGGAATCTTCACTAAATACTTGAACAAGCACATCCTGCAGACCGAGAAAGTCACACATGTCTTAGAGAAGGTGTCCGAGGGTAAGTTGATTTTAAAAAGGACTGCGTTTTTTGAGAACATGATGACAAATCCAAAATGTATCAGCCTTAAAATGATTCTAAAGTGATGCTGTAACAAGGCTAGCTGTAGTTGATCAACCATGCTTCGAAGGAGAAGATAAGCTTGTTTGTCACTAAAATCATATTTACTTTCATCCACTCAGTAGGTTGACAGTTGTGGTAGATTTGGGGTAAACAGATCTGAAGGGAACAGGTTGTTCTTTGGTGCACTGGAGTGAACCACAGACACGTTATATAATTGTTGGAAACTCATTTTATTGTTGTTTACTCAGGACTTGCAAATAGCTGTGACAGAGTTATGAAGTTGTCCCATCTTGAGAGTGTGTTTGTCTGTTTGATGGGTCTCTGGTTGAATACTTTTTCGAGGTACCATTAGCTTGTGACCTCATTCTCTGGAAATTCACACTGTTGGCAAGAGAACAGCAGGAAACCTGAGAGCTGCAGAGTGCAAGACAGCTGCTCTGCCGTTTGGGCACCCCGGCCACTGCGCTGATGGGTTCACAGGACGGCCTGCTGACGGAAAACTGTGTGTCTGTGGATATATTTAGATGGACAAATGAACCATGATTGTGACGTTCTTAAAACAGGTTTTCATCCCTTTTTACTTCTTATTTGAAATCCTTGAGCCACATTGTGGGCAGTAACTTAAAAAAAATCCCAAGCCTCTGTTTGTGATATCTGCTCATCTTGTCCGGGACTTATTTAGAGATGGAAAAAGAGCTGATGATGATGAGCTGCTGGTTGCTCATCCATTATAGCGAAGACAGCTGGCCCCAAATATTCCTGATGCCATATGCTCTCATATACGCCAAGAATACATGTATATTAAATTATTTTACCATGGTTTCACTACTGGCCAGCCATTCCACCCTGTTAACCTCTTATATGATTCCTACGTTTGCATGTATTTACATGTATTTACTCTATAGTGAATAGGGGTTTTCCAAAACACATTTAGCCAGTCAATTACTGTGAATATTTACTATCGTGTCACATTTCCCTGAGTTCCTCAAAGCCAGCCTTGTGAATCTGATGAACCTTTTCTCCACGCTATTGCAAAACTCAGGCAGCCCCATGAGCCAAAGAGTAGGGGTGGACAGGCTGTTGTTGTTGCTAACAATTTTATGGAGGTTGTAGTTGTTAATGAAGTGTTGGTTTTCTCAATATTGGTCAAAGTGGACTTAGTACAAAAGGGGAAAACACCTTGGAAATAATTACATTTGTTTGAAAAGTTGCTGTAGAGTTTTGTTATCAGCTCTTACAGGCATCATATTTACCTGTATTGTCCTCCTCTCTCTACAACAGATCTAAGCAGAGACCCTCTAGTCAAAGGCAAGCAGCAGGTGGAGATCAAACACACCCTGAAGGAACCTCGATCCCTTGCAGACCCAGTTCGGACCACCGGCCACACAAGGGAGCTTCACCAGCGAGAGGCCTGCTGGAGACAAGCAAATGGTGAGTTAAGGAAAATCTGTTTTGTCTGTGTTATGTGTTTTTCCTATGTTTTTTTTTTTTTAAATTCTAGGTCAAATTGCATTGCAGAAAGGATATGTAAAATACATCCACATTCCAGTTTATTTTCCATTAAGTAAAACCCAGTTCCGTTTCGTGATCTGATGTCACCTTGATTGTGTGACAGATCGTTCTCTTTACTCTTACTCACACCTCCTACACTACAGCATGTGACAAACCAAGTGCAGACGTTGTGGTTGATTGTGATATTTTCACTGTTTTTGTAAATCAAACAAGGAACTGGTTCATTTTACAAATAGTATTTTCCTGTTTAATGGAAGGAAGTTGACTTTTGACACCATAACTTCCTCAAATTGACCCAACCCTTTTATAATAGAGCAGTCAGCTACTCTGAGGATCTCCTCAGTCTCCCTCAGACATGAAAGATAAAAAGTCTGCGGCTTAAATGAACAGACAGGCTGAAAGTCCCTAATGTGCTTAATCCAGGGTTTGGCTAAATCAGCTTCTCTGTCTCAATGTTACAACACTTGTGGAGCATGTTATATGTAGTCATCATGAAAATATGATTTAAAAAAAACACTTTTTCATATATCCTTTCAGAGCTACCACCGAAGAAGAGGCTGAAGTTTGCTTGCGGAGTAGAAGTGGAAGTCAGCTTCTCAGCTTTGTTCTCTAATGTCTTGGTGGCTTTTGCCACTGTAAAGACTAAAGGCCTCCGAACCCAGGACTGCACCGTCACCCTGAGTAGCATACCTGTAAATATTATGTTTTTTACTTAAAAACTATCCTTTCAAGTTTCATTATCATCCATATAGGAGCCACAACAGATCTATACAGTGACATTCTTGAGCCAAGGCACTTTCGTTTAATAGACACACACAGAAACACACTAGAGGTAAAAAGTAAATTTACAATATACAGAAACATTGACTGCCTTTGTTTTTTTTTTTGACACATCACTTCAGTCAGAGTTAGTCTTTTTAAGAGTTACTAAACTCAACATTGAGTTTAAAAACTCTAAGTTATGTCTACATCATGAATTCCATGTTGCTTACCCTGTTTCCACAGTCACCAGGAATTTGTCATGTGCTGTTGATGACGTGTTTCACATGGCTGAGGAAGTTCTGCCCATATATGGACTTCCAGCCTGCTGCAGCCACATGCAAAGCAGGATGTAGTGCTAGTAATCTGCTGTTCTTCTCTTAGTGTAATGCATCCATGCAGAATCTTGGCCCATACTGACATCTAGTGGCGGATTTATGAATGCATTCGTGTTATAGTGCATTTCTAGCAGTGAGTGCCAGGCCCGTGTAAATACAGGACATGTTTATTGACAGTGAACTTATAAATGTTATATAGTTGCTTAAAAATTGTGATAATGCTGACAACATATTTTATGCTTTAAATCCTTAGCCAATGGAAGACATATTTTCCAGCCCTGGCAGGTCAGAGGAGATGGACTCTCTACTATTTAGTAAATCTGAAAACACGGACTGTACTCTGCGACTTTGTGCTCTTCAAAAGCTTACGGTACGCAGTTGATGATATATGTCCCGATTCTGTACCTTTAATTTTAAGTATACATTTCAATCAAAACAGAGCAAGTATTTACAAGAAAGACCGTAAAATAAATGTGTAATTTTGTTTTATCATTTGCATTTGTTAGAAGACGCTGGTCATCAAGGTGGATCTACACTATACTCACATGGACAGTAAGCTGCGCCAGACAGAAAGCCAACAGGTGGACATAGGAAGGCCTCTGGTGGCCTTCTGTAAACTGTACACGAGGAATCATGGGACAACAGCCAAGGAACAAGAAGGTTCTTCCGCTCAAAGTATGGGCAACATGTCAAGCAGCAAACCACGGCTGCATCAGACTCCAGCTGGTCCATGTCGCCCTTTCACCAGAAAGGCAGATTGTGCTGCTGAAGTTGCAGTTTCAAGGAGCAACGAACCTGAAGAGAACGATGAAAATGAACTGCAAGACATCACTCTTCGGCACTAGACCTTGCTGGTCATTTTGTAAATACTAGTTTGAAATTGTGATGCTGAATCATGCATCGAAATCATCTGTGGTTAATGGTAATGATGAATGACTGGGGTTTGTGTTTGGTTTGCGTTACCAGCCATCAATTAACACTTAACTACTCTTCAAAGCCACAGATTTTCATTGTACATTGTAAAATACTTTTACATCAGTGATGAGCTGGCTAGCCTAATTTAACAAATAAAGACTAATATTACTGTTAATAACTTATCTAATAAAGACCACTACTTTCCTTATTTGATTCTCAGTCTTTGGAAACATGCCATTCTGTTGCTAGCTTAGTCAAATAAAATATGTAAATGGATTACAAAGTTGTATTGTTGAATAGACTACAAGTAAACTAACCATCAACAAAATGAATACTGTATGATGCTGAATTCTGGTTTGTTTAAAACCTGAGGGAGTTCCTTGAGGTAAGAAGTGCGTGCCTGCTTCTTTTGACTAGCTAACGTTGAATTGCATGAGTTCAGACGAAATGTATTAATAGTTTTGTCCAATAACCAGTTCAAATAAAAAATATCATCCTTCTCGTGCCTGTATGTCTTATACACAACATGTCTGCATGCAGCACCTGTCTCCGCTAGCTCGCCGTGATCGTATAGTGGTTAGTACTCTGCGTTGTGGCCGCAGCAACCCCGGTTCGAATCCGGGTCACGGCACAGAAGGTGCAGTCTAGGTACGGGCTGCGTTTTACAGAGTTTTTCAAATGTTACAATATTCCTAACGCTGACACATCATTATATCTCTGGTATGCTGTAATAAAGACATTGGACTGTCATGTAAATAAAGCAAGGGGTCATTGTGATAATGATTTGATCCATTTTGCTTCGAGTAACTTAAATAAGTGAGTGGAAATTTAGCGCGTAAAACGCACTGACGATGACTGGCCTGCAGGTGACAGTAGAATACATTCAATATTCACCCAACATGATCTAGGAAGAGGTACGATAAATAATGCCTTGCCCCCTTCCAGGATGCCTTACCTATGATCGAACTATTTATATTTAAACAAACCGTGGCTAATGCTTTTAGGTCAGTCTGGCATGGTTTTGGTTGAAAGTCAGTTAATCAACCCCACAGGACACTTCAAGAGATATTTTCTATTCAGATATTGTTTGGAGCTCTTCACAAAGATATATTTGATAAATTGTATTCAGGCTTAGTCCCACCGATTATTCACGAATACCTCTCAGCCAAAAGTTGCCTGGGTATTCTGGATGGAAGCTTTGTATCATTCCAGCATTAGGCTATGTTAAAATTGGGTAAGGCACTGAGACTAATACCCGTTTTGCTGTATGAATAAAAATGACCCTAAATTCACTCGATATTTCACAAACAGAAGACAGTTTTTCAGTTGGCTTGAGCTATCGGTAGCTGCTGTGTGTCAGGACAAATTGCGGGGTAAGAAAAACAATGTTGGATGTTAAAGCGCAGGGAAAACGCCACACACTCCCGTTGGCTCACTTTGACGTCAGTTTTCATTGGGACCCGCCCGCTCGCTCAAGTGGCGGCGGTGAATGGTGAGAGATAATCCTCGGCTCCGCCACAGACACACAACAGGGCTGCGCTGCCTTCTGGATCTGGATGCGGGCATCCTTGGATTCTGCTCTCTGCACGGGCCCACTGCACGGAAACTTAACGGGACAACAATGGTGCACGCCTCGGCGGCTGAATCCGTGGCTGCTGGTAGTTTAGGGGACCGGGGATTGTGGTCAATGTGACATTCACTGGCACGCTGGTGTTGAGTTTATTGTTCTGGTCCTAGACGCGGAGCAGCGACTCTCTGAGAAGATGTTGAGCCGATTCATGAGTGGCAGCATCAGGAATCTTGATCGGGAATACAGCTGCACCGTCAGACTGCTGGATGATTCGGAATATACGTGCACCATTCAGGTCAGTCACCTGTCGACCACTCTGAAAAACGATGCGATTGTGTCCGACCTGGCAGACGGAAAAGCGAGTGTCTGAGCAGAGGGACAGCAAGTGCCTGCATGTCCCACTGCTGGTGTCTAAGAGACAATATACCCTGAACAGAATTATATAGTTATTTTTGTAATTTCAAATAACACAAGGCTGGTGTACTTCCTTCACGTGACCCATCATTTCCAGAGTTCATGAGTGAATTTAGTGGCAGGCTTTCAGGGAGCTTTGTAGGACAGACATGGCAGTTCCCTCCAGCTCAGGTTGATGGGGTGTCAAAAGCAAAAAGCACTGTGCTCTGAAATTCATGACTGAAAGGGCGTTTTGGCCGGATTAATTTTTCAGTTTGTCTCTTTCCTTGTTGCTTGTTGGATTACTGCTTGTTGATATTAATTACCATCATTTAGTGTTGCTCGTGCAGTTTCCCTTGAACCGCTGACATCAATAATGCACATAAGGGATCCCGTTACTGCTCTGGAGAACCTACTAAGTTACATTATGTGGCCCTTCCAGATAAACACTGGTAGAAGCATAACTGAAGCATGTGGTGTTGATGCAGGACTGAATGTTGTCATTTAGTGACTACAGGATTCATATGTGCATCTATGACATTTTCTTTTATAATAACCGGCAATTTACCACACTGTGTGGACACAGTGGGAAACAAACAATTGATATTGTCAGCTGACATATATTACTTGTAAAGATGGAAACAGAACTAGGTCCTGATATTGAGATGCGCCTTTAGTCTCACTACTACAAGCACTGCTTTGATGATTGTGCAGTTTTATGTTCATGCTGATTTCATAAGAAAAGTAGGTGAGAGGGCCTGTCACATCAATTACAACACAACATTGTTCCCTTTGTGGATGCCGTGCATTTGTAGTTAAGGGGTGTAAGAAAATCCTTAGAGAATTCTCTGACTAGTCAGCAACACGTAGACACATTAAATCTGCTCCACAACATAGCAAGGAAACATTTAACCTGCAATGTAAAGCAAATTAAACATTAATAAGACATGCATGATTCTTGCCACTTTGATATCCGTTATCAGCAGCAGGCTATACTGCAATCGCTCCTTCTTTTCTCCCAGGAGCAAGTGTGAAATGGATACTGCCATATTGTAGGAAGGTGACTGTGTGCCCAGGTTGTAAACAGACCTGCATTTCTGCTTGGAGAGCCGAGCCAGAGACGGAGCTGGGCCAGATGGACTGTGAAGCCAGCAGGTGTGCTGAATGCAGCAGAGTCGTGTGGTCTAGGTGGCTGACGTCAGCAGGCTGGAAGATGGGAAGTGAAAGATGAGAATGCTCCTGCTCTGCTGTGACGGTCTGGCATCCTAACTATCTTTCTGTCTAACCTGGCAGTGGGAGGGAGCGGGTTAATCCACCTGACTAACGGCACTGCTACAGTGTAGTCCTCATTTAGTTCAAACTTTGCTCTTCCTTCCCCTCCAAGCTTCTGCTAAAAAACAAAATTACCCAGGGTACCTAGACTAAGGAATGCAAAATAAGAGGCATAACTAGGTCATATATTCTCAGTCTCTCGTAATCTCCTCTCTGTGTGTTTATGTCTCTTCATCCTTCTCTTTTTCACCTTCCGATCCTGTTCCCGGGAATTTATTCCCACTAGACCTGTTTCCAATACACTCTGATCGTTTCCCTTAACTGTTTGATGGCTCCAAATTCAGATGTGTCCCTGACTTATGTTAGCCTCCTTCCGTTCTCTGACATTGAATCAGGTATCAACCTCCTCAATGACAGGGACATCCCCATGGTGTCTACATTTATAAAGCCACCTTCAGCAGAAATGTCCTCAGCAGAAACACAAAATATGCATGCACCGCAGCTGACCGTTCAAAAGAAGGGCAGAAAATGTGTCCATCTTTCAAGCTGTAATGCATCAAGTTTTGCTTTAATGAATTATGGATCTTTCCACTATGTTTGGAGGAGGAAAAGTGAGCACTCATAATTACACAGACCTGTAGTTTTAGCTCTCATCTAGTCCCAGGTTGATGGAAGTGCCTGAATTCCTCTGTTGCCCTCAGGCCTCTTCTGATTTTAATGCAATGTAGCAGCAGAGAGTCCGACTTCACTAGTGTCTCTTATTTGTGTCACGTCTGAATAACAGTCAAATCACATGTAAAGAAAATACCATATTAATCAAAGACAAGAACCAAATGGATTTACAAATACAGCATGCGCTCTTATTTGTTTATGGGTCTGACCTGAAGGATGAGTCAAACACTATTACAATTTAGTTCTGTCAGATGCAATATTGATGATATCTAAATTAATTGTTTTGTCCCAAGTTAGCCTTAAAAGTTCTGTCTCACAGTTTGTGCTAATATTTCTTCTGCATCTCCATTCTTAAGGTGTCTGCGTGCCTGTTGTTACAGTAAAACAGTAGAACAGGTATTGTGAGATTTGTGTGGGGAGAGAAGGCAGAAAGAGAGCGAGGAAAGACTGTATCAACTGACAGGGAAAAAGGTATTTTGTCCATACCTGAAAGAATTTTACTCAAAAAAGCTATTTGAGTACATTTTTTTAAATATTAAAAGAATAGCTCCTTGGGTGGAAGGGTTGAAGCTCCCTTCCACCCAAGGCCTGCTGTTTCTGACAATTTGTGTCTTCCATTTGCTGATTTCTTATTTCTTATAAGTGTGATGATGTAAGATGTAGATCGTACTTATTTTCTCCTTTACTATCTCTCACGCATTGCGAAAACCTCCAGTGTTTTGTCGTTGTGCTTCTAATTAATTACAGATTTATTAAATGTCTTTCAGCACCGGGAACTGACCCACTCTTTTTCAGCTGCAGAGTTAATAATAGCCTACACCCTGTGAAACCTGTGATTTTCCCTTAGTTTTCTAATAACCGTTTTGTTTGTTGGAATCCACAACCACCAGCTTTCAGGTCACTAATCCACCCACAAGTAAAAAACGTGCGTGTGTGTGTGTTGTGAAGTCTGCACCAAGATGATTGAGAGTTGCTGCAAGACTTTCCACCCTTTCACTAGTGACCAGGCCTGAACAAGTTCTCCTTAGGTCCGCTGACATCTTGGTGAGGAGACTGCCGGGGGATGGGAGCCTGTGTGTGTGTGTGTGTGTGTGTGTGTGTGTGTGTATTTAGGATGCTTTACTTTGAAACATGGGGCCAGTGTCTCAGCTGTTGCTACGGTGACTCCACAGTTACCCTAACAAAATGTGAGATCACTCACTGGTCAGGATTCCCCTTCCAAAAGCCCTGACAAAGACTCGGCCGTTAGTGCTCACAGGAAGTTAATTTATTTCGCTGAATGCCATTTGAGGGCAGTGGTGGTGATGTGGCCGATGCCATGCTCACACCAATCGGGACAATCTGCTTGGGACTGTCCTACTGATCCCCTGACACACATTCAGTCTTTTACTGTGATGTCATTCTCGTCGTAGATAATCTGCAGTTAAAGCTCATATGAACAGCTCGATGTGTTGGAAAATTGGCAATTGCCTTCTGGGCTGGGAATCATTTAATCATTTTTGATACTAGCACAGCTGCTATACCCGAGTTGACATGTCACAGTATTGAAAAGCACAGGAGTGAATAATATAATTAATAATGGCTGAATTCCATTTTGCTGCTTCAGGGTACTGGTATTGTAAATGCTCGCTCACTGTCATGTCGTACTGGGACACTTCAATAGAACAGAGCCATCCTCAATGTTATTTGTAACACCTGTGCATTTCATACTATTGATGTTATTAGTCACACCTGTGCATTTCCTGCTATGGCACGTGAAAAACGTCTGCTATAAAACATACCAAAATTATACTTTTGACCTTACTTTGAAAAGTATAAGCTAAATCCTTTTTGTGTAACAATCAAACCAAAGTTCTCATACGTAAACGTTAACAATAACTTTGCTTTAAAAAGTTGGCATAATTATGACTTGAATCAGTATATGTGATCAAATAATAACCAAATAAAATTGCAAATCTGACCATACCTTTCATGACAGATTTTGTTCACAGTTGTCGATACTCAGCTACAGGTACATTTCAGTTGCTACGTTAAGGTTCGCTACCCAACTCTATGTGCTTTGAGTTTCACTGTTTTTGTTTTCAGTGAATTGTTTGTCTTTTGTTCATGTATCGAAATGAGACAAAATAATCTTTACTCAAGGTCTTCACCGTGAATGCGGCGAGCTCAGAGCAAAGCTGTTTTATATATAGTTATAACAGTTTTAGCTGCAGTGTACAATGTGACACTTCAGAGATCCCTGGTGACTGCAGGTCTTTGCTGACTTTGCAGTGTCAGGACCTTCAGACGTTTCCTGCGCCAGGTATGCTATAGGCAAATGTCATCCAGGGTTGGAAGTCTGCATACTTCTGTGTGCGTCTGTGTGCAGGTGTGTGTGTTCAGAGCTCACTGATGCTGACACACTGTTGCTATGCTTCATATGAATGATTAAAATGTGTGCTAGGTCTGAATGTTTCATGAGGAGTAACCTCCGGAGAACGTCACTTGTGTTTACCAGCATCACTGCGCACCAGCATCACGATTGGCTGAACGTGTGGCGCATGGCTGGTTTGTGATTAAGGATTACATCACTGTAGCATCTACACAGCAGAGCAGGGCAGGACAGCCCCTTGCAGCCCTCTCCAATCTCTCTCAAGGGGATTTGACATGTGGGAGCAGCCACTTGCCAGTTATACTTTATCAGTCACGTCTCGTTCGTAATAAAAGGGCTGGTGCATCGTGTCAAGGTTGCCTTTGGATGTGGTCCTTGATCTTCAGCCTTGTGTGTCATTGCTATCTCACACACAGCTCTCATACTCCAGTGCGGTATTACTGGGAAATCAAACATTGCCTGACCTGCATTAGCTTACTGGGATTAATGAAAGAGCTTAGTTGAAGATGAGATGGCTTTGGCTATGCACTCATGAAAAGCTCACACACATAAACACTTTTCTCAATTTGTTGCACTGCATCAAATCA